ACTCTAATTTAATTAAAATATTTTTATTTTCAAAGACAATTTTTGTAAAATAAAAATCAAAAAAATATTAGTAAATAAATAATTATATATGTTTTTTACTTAATTTTACCTCCAATATTTCTTTTATTCAAATCTTCTTCTGCATTTTTTGCCCGTCTTTCAGCAATTAAAATTTTTGTTTGCAAATCTTGTACTTCTTTTTTTAATCCCAAATTTTCAGCTGCGGATTCAATTAATTGTTTTTGCAAAGAATTTATAAGTAATTCTTTCTTATCAAGAATATGTTGACTTTTACGTAAATCTTCTTCGCAAAGAGAACATCTTTTCTTATATTTATGATACTTAAAAATGGGGATAACTATTTAATATTCCACCCCCCCTCCTCCCATTTATTTGAGTTTCGGACAGATTAATTTCCTTTTATTCTTTTCTGCCTCGAAATGGTCAAATCTCTTTTTTATAAAGGAAATTTCTTTTTTGAAAAAATGTTCTTTATTCCTTCCTAATTTTTGTTCAGTTAACCTAACTTTTACTTAAACTGGTTTTTTAACCTTTACCTAACTTTTAAATTTAAAAAATTAAATTAAAAACCTCTTTCTTAGAATCTTCCAATTTTTTTTTATTCTCATTATTTTCTAATTGTAATGTCTCCAAACATTCATTTAAGTCTTTATTCCTGTCATCAGATTCCTTCAATTGTCTTTGTAAACCAGCAATTTCATCATCATCAGCTATTGCCTAAAAAATCTAAATTAAATAATCAAAAAAAACAAAAAACAAACATCATGAACTAATTTTTCATTATCCTTCTTTAATCTATCATTTTGAAATTCCAAACCCTTAAAAATAAAATTACGTTCAAAAAATATTTTTTGATAAATTGAAACCTTATAATCGTTTTCTATATCTTCTAATTCGCTCTCAAGACGTTCATTATTAGAACCCAAATCCCGAATTCTTTTAGTTAAACGTTCTTCGACCTTTAAATTTTTTAATAAAAATTTGCTAACATTAAGAATTAAGGCAGTATTGAATTCCTAATTTATTCACTGATCAGAAATCTATTTGCAGCCAATTTTGAATTTTATATGTCATATTTTTATTTTTCTGTACAACGATCATTTTTATTATGTGGCGATAATTACCCAGCTCTGGGTGTTATAACCTGCGACTATGCCAACGTTGGGGGTGTGTACGACCCAAAAAATAAAATAAACCTCAAGTTTAGACTTTTCAAGTTCACTTAGACGAAGCTCACTCTCTTTGCGTTTTTGAATTTCCAATTCTTTTTCCTTTTTTAAATTGTCATAATCCTTGAAAAATATATTTAAAAATAGCTCATTTAATTAAATTAAAAAATAACCAATTTGAGTTTATCAAACTCTTTTTGAATCGAATCCTTTTCTTTTTCTAATTGTTCAATCAATTTTGATTGTTTTTCCTTTTCTTGTAAATGTTCATTTTGCTGCTTTAAAAAAGAATAAATATTACTTAAAAATATTCTAAAATATTTACATAATAATTGCTGGGAGTACATGGAATAAATTGAGTAGGTAAATTAATCGGTGTATAAGTTGGCGGCCCTGTATTTTGTGAATATATTGGAGGAGGAGCATAACCTGGAATTAAATGTTGTTGCCATTGCGGATATTGTGATGGATTCATTTTTCTAAAAAATTTTAAATCTTAGATTAAAATCATAAAATAAATTTAGACGCAATGAAAATTTAAATTATTTGAAAGTACGCAAAATAAGCCGTTTTGGGACACGCCCAAGTAGGGGCGCGGCCAAGTAGGCGCAGAGCCATAACTACCTAGAAAATTTTTGGACCTTTTAAATTTTAGTACCAATCTCTCCAGCTCGATGAGAGGAATCATTTAATACTAAATTTTGAAAGACTAAATAATCTTCAAGCAAGTTATGGCTTTGCGCCTACTTGGCCGCGCGCCTACTTGGGCTGTACCCAGCCGTTTTGTTGCTAAGACCAAAATTATGCCACGACAATTGGACATTGAGACAATTGCACACGCGACTAATGGAAAAATGACAATTGAACAATCGACCATTGCATCAAAGACAATTGGACAGTAAATTGTAGTTAAGTGGGATGTGTTCGGATCTTTTGCTCTGATAATTCTTTCCTCATATTTTCTTAAAAATTAACTTTCAAAATATTCAAAAAGTGATTTTTCGATTATTTTTAAATTTCTTTGTATTTTCCATATCCGTTGCCATAACAAATGACAACGAGTGAGATACGTAGTTTATTTAATAAAATATTTATATTTAATGTTAAATATTCATATACATATGTATGTAGATAGATACTTTTATTTTCACTCACAAATAATTTTATAAATATTTTAATTTGTTTAATGATATTTTTATGATTAGAAAAAATTACAAAAAAAATAAATTTCCTTTTCAATAATTTTTCTTATTTTTTTGTTTCTATTTATCTTTGTTTCAATTTAAATCGTAATAGCAACAAACTCTTATATTTTTAAACAGAACTTTTAAATCGTAAAAATAATTTTTATTACAAATCTTTTTGGAGGACAAATAAAAATATTTTAAAACCTGCTGAGTCAAAATATAAACATAAAATATTTCTTTTTACTTGTCACCCACCTTTTTTTACAATTTAACAGTTTAAAGACAGGCAATAACAAATTATATTTTTAATGTTTTTTTCTTCGATTTAGAATTGAGATAAACTTAAAAAATATTTAATTTAAAAATTTTCTTTCTATAGTTATGAAATAAATTTTAAAAATTTTAATATGGTTTTTTCATTATCAACACCAAAAAAAGAAACAGAAAAATGGAAAAAATTATCAAAATCAAATGGACTAATCTGCTGTTGTAATTTTATACGTAAAAAACCATCTAGTATATGTCGCTCACCAATATATACAACAAGAGAATTTTCTTTAGATAATTTACAAGTAAATTTAAATTATAATTAAATCCTAAATATTTATATTTAGAATCAAATAATTGGGGAAAATAATATTAATACATCCTCAAAACAACGACCTATTTCAAATAATGCAAATGGGCTTTTTAATAAAATTATTCCAAATAATTATTTTTCTGATGAAATAATAAGTAATAGAGAAGATTATTTAGATTGTGATGAAACACCTTTAAATGTTAGAAAAACAAAGGAGGATTTGTTGTATAATACAGCAAGAACGTCTAGAACTGAAGAATTAATTGAATATCCTTCAATGTCAAAATTAATTATTAAAATAATTGAGAATGAAAAAAGTGAAAAAGGAAAGAAAATAGATAACCAACAACTAGAAGATAAATTTGTTAATTCAATGAATGAAGTTAGCAAAGAATTGAATAGACTGGACGGTTAGAACTACATATGTAAATATGGATAATAAAATCTCTTAATTCAAAAATCCACCTCCAAAAACTCAGAATCTAAATTTACAATTGAATCTCAATTTTTTCTAAAACTAGATTTTTGTATAAAATTTTAAATGTTAAATTATATATTTTTAATTGAAATTGAAAAAGTATAAAAACTACCTTTTCACACATAAGTACTTACAATTATTTTCACACAAAATTTTTCAGCTTGCCAGTCGCCCACTGTGCTATTGAATCCAGCTTTACTTCCGTCTTCTCCTCTACCTCCAAAAGATTTGGAAAGTCAATCAGCTCAAATGGCCATACAACATCATAAATTTAACGAGTTGCCTTATTTTGCCTCAATTCTTTGGAATATTTATTTGTGGGTGTCTTCCTCTTTAGTTTTATTTTTTGAATGGATTTTTTAATCAATTAATAATAAGAAAGATATTTAAAATTTTCATTAAATTTTTCATATAATATTACAAGCCTTAGTAACATTTTTGTTAACAAAAGTATCTCTTAGTGGTGAAGATTTTGATTTTTTGTCAGGATATTCAGGTGGAGGTATATTTACTGGAGGTAAATATGGAGGTTCTTCAATTTCTTTATATCTATTAAGTAATTCATGTAATTCTGCTAATTTTGCCTTTTTAAATTTTAATTATAAATATTTTCGTTTTTTTAAAATTTACTTGTAATTGAGACATTTGTTTTTCATGCCCGCAAAAGGTAGATTTTTGTTCCTGTAATTGACTTCTTAATTGAGTAATTTCTTCACGAAGTTTTTGTTCACTTTCTAACAATTGAGAAGATTGTTTAGTATTAATAGATTCTCTTTTTATTGACTGAAAAAAAAAAGATTTCATTTTTTACTATAAACTAGATCAATTATCTAAACTAGATGAAGTTCTAATGGGATCCATATATTGTAGAATTTGAACACCCCTTATACAGAGTTTTCCCTAATCAGTAATTTATTTTACTTTTTTCGGTTTGTAAGGAATATACTCAGCGTCATCCAATTCATCACGTATCCATGTTTCCGTTGTATTACATAATGAAAGGTTATCTGGTGCTGACTTTCTTCTACCTATTTTTACTTTGTTCTGCTTTGTATTTGTTGAAAGTATCGGTCTAAAATAAGGAAATATTATCTTTTATTTTATTTAAAATAAACTCTTCATTAGGTTTTTCTATTTGTTCATTAGCAACATCTACAACACAAAAAACTCTTTTAGATGAGCAAACTAATCCAGCCAATCCAATATTTGAACGATTGTTTAAAGAAACATCATTAGATTGGTGGCAAACATCTAGTCTTTATTTTTTAAATAAAAAAATATTTCTAAACTAAATAAAAACCTAAGTACAAGTATTGGATGTAAAATAGTTATATTAACGGTTTCAGTTGCCGAAAGTTGCCATCCTTCTTGTGTTTTAGCCATTTTATATGCCCTAAATTTTGGCTTGCTTAATTCATCTTCTGTTATTTTTTTGTCATTTGTTATTATCTCATTTTCTCCCTTCCCACTTCCACCACCTCTTAAACCCCAAAAATATATTTCATTATCTAATGTTCCAACAATTGTAAAACCATCACCACAAATTAAATGCTAAATAATTCACTTTAATTAAAAATCGAAAAAATATTTACCAAACAAGCTTTATTAATCAAAGCTTTAACAGGTCTAGTGCTATCACTAAATGGTAATGTACTTCCGGTACCTAATTCTCCATAAGAATTTAATCCAAAAAGATGAACATGCCCATTTTCGAGCAAAACACCACTGTGATTATTGCCTAAAGATGCACTAACAACTCTTCTAGGGAATGGCCTTACAGCTGTTGGCAAAAGAGCATCATCCACTAGTTGTTTCTTTAATATTTTTAAATTTCATTGAATTGTCTTAAGCAATTAATAAACCTTTCCTTGAACTGTATTTTGTTCCTTTTTCATTTCTTTAAAAAATCCAGCTCTTTTATTTAACTAACATAAAAATAAATTTCAAATAGTTTAGGTAAGAATTTATACAAACATTCAATTTATTATATTTATTAGATCCCATAGCCAATATAGTTCCACTATTTGTTATTAACATTGTAGAATCAGGTCCACAACTTTAAATATTTAAATTTAATTTTTAAAAATAAACATACATAATTCTTTTAATTAATTGTCTTGTAGGTATTTGAATCCGAATTGGTACAGAAACTTAAATATAAAGTTAAATTTTTAATTAGTTAATTAACCATTATTTCTATTTCCAGTACCAAGTTGGCCGTTTTTTCCTTTACCCCAAACATAAACTTCTCCAGTTTCCTTAAAATAAATAAAAAAATATTTAAACAAATAAACCGTTAGTGCAATTGCATGCTCATCACCACAACAAATATCTACAATATCCTCTCTTTAAAGATAAAATTAATTCTAATTTTAAATATTTAAAAACAAACTAACGTTAACAATTCCTCGACAATTTTTGGTTTAGTTCTTAAATTAAAATAAAAATATTTTTTTTATTTTTCTACTTACAAATAGTCACTATTATCAAATAACAATTTTCTTCCTACTGTTAGTAAAATACCACGGCCAGCACAAAAAAGAGAGAATTTTTTACCTAAAAATTGTTTTTTGGACAAATTTAATTACTTCTCTACCTGCAGCTACTTTATAAACATCCTTACTTTCCAATGATTCTATTAATGTAGGGAATTGTCTTTTTCTTCTAATTATTTAAAATAATTAAAATGTTAATAGTTTAATATTTACTTATCTCCTTGTCCTAATTGTCCAAAAGAATTATCTCCCCAACTATAAACTTGTCCTTGCATTGTTAGAAGTAATTGATGACTTTCACTTACAGCAATCTTTAAATAATTTTTTATTCAAAAATATAAAAGAACCTGTTTAATTTTTATTCTTTTTGGGAATTCCTGAACAGAAGAAAGTGTACAATTTAAAACATCAAAAGCATATAAAGCAGAAAATGAATTAATTCCATCGAATACATTTTTATCAAAACAATTTCCATTTATTTTTGGATTTTTCTTTTCTTTTGAGGAACATAAATGTCTAACCTATTTTATAAAAAAATAACCTCATTTTTTTTAAATAAAATTAAAAACCTGATCAAGTAATTGAGATGATGCAGGCCTTTGTTGTGGTGATATTCTTAACATTTCCCTTACCAAAAGACGAACTTCTTGGGAATAAATTTTCTTTAAGGGTTCATATTCACTCTTTTTTTAAAAATTAATTAATTAAATTAACATTTTATTTTTTTAATCATACATTAATTATTTTATTCAAAAGTGTAGGTAAATTTTCAGCATCAAAAGCTTTATTTAATGTACACATTTCATAAAAACAACAGCCTAATGCCCAAACATCTGATTTTTCATTATAAGGTTTTCCTTCGCACTTAAAAATAAAATATTTATTTTATTAATTTAAAAAACCATCTCTGGTGATAAATAATAAGGAGTTCCTAAAATAGTTTGTGAACCATTAATTTTTGTTTCATTACTCATTCTCCTTTTTTTAAATATAAATCATTTTTATATTTAATTTTAAATAATTTACTTGCTAATACCAAAATCGCCAACTTTAACCATTCTTTGTTTTGTTAAAAAAATATTTGCTGTTTTTAAATCTCTAAAAAATAATTTAATTTTCAATTTTTTATTTAAACCTGTGTAAGATATCATGATCATGTAAATAAGAAACAGCACTAACCATTTGTTCAAACATATCAATTATCTCTGATTCAATTAATGGTTCTGTTAAATGTGACAATAATTGAGATAACGTTCTAATAAAGAAAATATTTTTTAAATTTATTTTAAAATAAACCCTCCATCTGCATATTCCATCTAAAAATAATATAATTTATTCTTAAGCCCTCACAAGTTCTTTCATAGATTACCTCAATCATCAATGTTCCATCTTCTTCAAAAGAATCATAAAAAGCAATAATATGTGGATGATCTAATCGAGAAAGTAAATTAACTTCATTTAAGGCCATCTATTTAGAAAATTATTTAAATAATTTTTCTTTGTAAAATACCTGTCTTTCAGAATTATTTAATTCATGTAAATTAATTTCTTTTAAAATAACAAAAGATTCATCATCTTTTCTTTTGTAAAGCACAGCAATGCCAAAAGAGCCTTTGTAAAAATTAAATTTATTAAACAAAAAATTAAAAAAAACCTTTTCCAACAACTTTAATCCTTTCATAATTTATAGAGGAATGTTTTAATAGATGCTTATCTTTAATCATTTCATCAACATTTTTATCAAATATTTTCGATACTGGAGATGATTGTGGTGAATAGGTATATAAGGGAGTAAGTGAGGACGAAGAGGAACCAAAAGGGGATTTTTTCATTTTCAAAATTATTTTAAATTAATAATTGTATTGTTCGGCAATTTTTTACTTTCTTTTTAATGCCAATACATAACCTTTGTTTCCATGTAAACGAAAAGAGGTTATAAAATTGTCAAGAATTTTTGAGAATATTTTTCAATAGAATTATAAAAGTGGTTTTATTTAATATAAAATTATAAATATGTAGAGTATATTTTATATTTTAAAGTTATTAAGGGCCTCCATAAGAAGTTACTCCAACTCCTCGCGGGTCAATGACTTGCATTGCACTTTTCTGTTCAGCTATCCATGTACGTACATGATAAATAACATTCAGGGTGTATTGAACAAAATTAGCCAAGGAAAATGTCTACATATTAAAAAATATTTAAAAATAATTTTTTAAATTAAAATAACCGCAGCTAAGGAATAAGATGTCCGATCATCACTAAAAGTCTTCCCATTAAAACAAAGCCAAATTGAAATAAAAAAATTAATAGCAAAAAGTGAAGAGAAGATGCATTCCTATTTTAAGAGAAAATTTAAAAAATTAAAAATATTATAAAAAACCACAAGAGGCCAATTTAATAAAGATTGATATGAAAATAAAGATTTCTCCAGTTCTAATCCAATAGTCATAATAAGCAAACAATCAACAATTATTGCAAATATTGAACTTATCCAAATAAATGCTAAAAATATTTAATAAAAATATTTTAAACAAACCTGTGCCAGGAGGTTGATTGCTGGCACCAGATAAAGAAAGCATTATAAGAATTGTAGTTATCTTAAAAGAAAAAATACAAAATTAAACTGAATTACTTACAAGTGTACTTAGTTTAAGCACTTCAGGGAATGCTCGAAATCTATCCAAATTGAATTGCATTTTTAAAATTTTTCAAATTAAAATAATAAATGATAAAATAAATGTGAGTAGAAATGAAAATTAAGAGATGTAAACAAGTAAATAGGAATATTTTTTGATTATTTTTTGTGTAGTAATAGATAAGAGTTAGAATGTCAATAAATAGATAAAAGCAAAATATATTGTGCTCACCTCCACCCAGATGAAAGAAAAAGTATAAAACTAAATTATTTTTTACAAACTGGCGTAGCTTAATGCCTAACAATAAACAAATGTTATCCCTGACAATCCAGATCGAAAATTTGGGAAACAAAACCTAAAAATCAACTCTGCCCAAAAAAAGTGACTTTGTCAGTATAAAAAAGAAAGTATATTTTAAAAAATTTATTTCCCCATTTTAATATAAAATATTTACTATTCATTTTCTGTTTTATTTATTTTTTCATTAGTTAATTCTTCTAAAGAAACCTCTCCTTTTTTATATTCACTTGAAATTTCTTCACCAATTCCTTTTCTTTTAGGTATAACATTTATAAACGCCTTTTTCCAATCCAGAGATTGACAAAAATTAACCAAAATTTCAAAAACTTGATTTATTGTTAAAACCTTAAATTTTAAATTATTAAATAATATGTACCTAATTTAAAAATTTAACATTTCTTCCACAAAGCTTAAAAAAAGATTCAATTGGAAGCCTTGCATGCTCGTATCCATTATCTTCAGCTTTTTTCAAACAAATACCTTTGTGATGATTATGATCCAAAAGGCCTCCAATTATATAAACTTTAAATCATTTTTAATAATAATGGTAATTTAAAAAAACCTTTATCTTCATCTAACGTTTCAAGTAAATTGTTAGAATCAGCAGTTAGATAAACTATTTGTTTTGGATTCCATAATTCATCCAAATTTTTATTTGAAATATTAACATCCCAATTCGAATAAGAAGGGTAACTATTAAAAATCTAAAAATAAAATTTTAATATTAAATGATAAATGACATTTCTTCTTACCTTTTCAGCTTTTCCAGTTAATCCAACAATAGAAAATTGCACAGGATCACTTACTCTACGATTAACAGCGTAACAATAAGCTAACCTAATTTTAAAAAATTAACTTTCTTCGATTAAAAAAATTAACTGAGAAATTGTTTTTCTAACAGTTCTTTCATCCATTAACTAAAATTAATTTTAAAAAATTATTTTCTTAAATTACCTCATCAAAAGTCATATCAACAGCAATATTTATTCGACATTTTGATTGTTCCATTGTAAATTTTTGTTTTCGTATTGCTCCAACAAAATCTTTCTTTTCATTTCTTTTCCTTTCTTTCTTCTTTTTTCTCAGTTCTTGCCTAATTTCTAAAAATTTTTGTCGTCTATCTTCTCTTCTTTTTTGACGTTTTGACAATTTTCGATCAACAGAATTGACAATATTACAATTATTCTCTTCGGACATTTAGTAAATTAAATAAATTTAAAAATAATTACGTATTTTTAATATAAAAGTTAAATAAAAATTAAAAATATTCGATTTTTTTTGTCAAAAAAATTTTCTTTTGAAAAATATTTAATCGTAAAAATCTTAACAAAAAAATAACAAAAAATAACAAAATTAATTTAAGAATTTGCTTTGCGTTTTTGTTTTAAAATTTCTTCAAAACTTCCTGTATTATATTTTTCATTTAATCTAGCATTATTATTAGCCATTCTTGTCATTTTCCTCATTTCAAATTCAAATAGTTCATCTTTGTAAAGATATTGATAAATTGGTAAAAGTTTTGGAAATAATGGTAAAAGATCGAAAGGGACTGACATCAAATCATTAGCCATTGATATATTTCCTGCATTAAGAATATAATCAGGTAATGGGGGAGTTAAATGATATCTAAAAACAGAAATCATATAACATTTTTATACAAAAAATTTAAAAACCTGGCACTGAAATGAGTGAAAAAAACATTTTTTGCTCCAATTTTGACACTTGCATCAAAAGCTTGTTTCATTGTAGAATGTTTTTTATATGAAGCATCTTCCTATTTTTAATTAATATTTCTTATGTTATTTTAATATTAAAAAGAACCTCTAAACCATCCTCAAATGTACATTCATGGATAAGTAAATCTGCATCTTTTCCATATTTTATAATATTTTCACATGGTTTTGTATCACCAGAAAATACAATTTTCCGTTTTTCTTTTAGAGTTACAAATGAATAACCGCAGGACCATTTTGTGTGATCAACTTGAAAAGCAGTAGCTTCACTTAAATTCCAATCATCATGACAAAAAATATTTTTTGGGAAATGCTTAAAAATTAAAAAAAATTGAAATTATTTTTTTTAATTTTTACTTTTATTAAATCAACTGCAGAAATATGCTGTCTAATTCCTTGTGCTGATGAATTTGCATAAAAGAAAGTAGGTAAACTTATAGATACAATAAACGGGAATAAATCTAAAAATATTTCTGAATATGTATTACATAAATGAAGAAAAGACACATCATGACAAACTACTAGAGGAACGTATGGAATTTCTAAATAAAATTAATTAAAAATCAAAATCGATATTCAACATTACCTTGTTTTTCAAACGCCTCTATACGTTTCGAGATAATATAAAAAACTCCAAGAATATGATCCAAATGTGCATGAGTAATAAACATCGCATTAAGTTTTGTCAAAAACTGATCAATATTTGAAGGACCAAAAAGTGCCAAAAGTTGTCCATAAGTCCCTTCTCCACAATCAACTAAAATGTTCGAAGATTCACTAAATCGGACAAGTTGGCTGCTGACATTTCTATATTTTGTAGGACAGGCAGAAGAAGTTCCCAAGAAAACAACTGTTGGATATACATCTCTTGGTCTATTACCAAAATTGTCAAAAGTTTTCGCATAAACTTTAATAAATATAAATGTCTAAATTAAATTTGTTCTAATACCTTGTTTAAATTCATCAATTCTTTTTTGCAATTCAACTGGTTCCTTTTTTTGTCTATCATTTAGAAAACGTTGCCAATTAAAGTCCAAAAGAATTGGATTAATTTCGTTTTTATCCAGAGTCCCTCGTAAAGAAAAACGTCTCAAAAATTCTGGAATAAAAACAGGGCCAATATTATTGTCTTTAATATCAATTTTAATATCATATTTATCGTCATCCTTTTAGAGAAAATTAATTTAAAAAATATCTGTTAAATTTCAAAAAACCTGCAAGATAATTTCTCCTTCTAAAACCTGACCAATGGGATAAATTTCAGGAAATCCATCAGAAAATATAGAGCTAAGCATATATTGGGAATTGTATACACTATCCGAAAGTGGAAGAAAACGTCCTTTAACATTTAATATTAAATGTTGACAATCATTTCCAAATTCTCCCATCCAATTTTTGTATTCTTTTGTTTCAAATATTTTTTGTTGAGTAAAATGAATAATATAATTCAATTTTTGTATTCTTTTATCACCCATAAAATCCTTTAAAAATATAAATTGAATTAAATTTAAATAAATTACTTTAAGTAAATAATTGCTAGAAATTGATTGAAGATTTTCAGACGAACAAATATCAGCAACAAGCAAATTTAGCGATTCTGATTTTTTTCTAAAATCGATAACATCTTCAGGTTTAATTATTCTTCCATCTTGTAATGTAATTGTTTCGCCAGCTTTTAATTTTGATATTAAGGGAGACCGAGGTACTTTAAGCTCAATCAATTTCAAAGGGTCGAGTGCAGGTAAGCAAGGCTAAAAAATTCTAATTGAAGATTACCCTAATTTATTAGCAATAATTTATATGAAACCTTCAATTTGATAAGAAAAGCGGTATTTGTTGGGGTATTATCGCCATTTTTAAGATATCTCCTTTCCTTTGAATTTTCAACATTCAAATAATTAATGAATAACGTAGAATCTTCATAATTATCACGCTTGACGTCACAATGCCTCATTTTAATGAAATTATTTGTACTTCCAAAATCAGCATCTAACATTGGACTGAAAAATAAAAATAAATTTTAAAAGTTATTTAAAAAACCTGAAGGATTTTAAAATATCAATAGCAATTGGAGGGCCGTGGATACGGACATCATCCTCAGAATTTTTATTTAAAACAAGTCCTGGAATTCCAACAACATTTTCCCATTTACCTAAAATAAAAACAAAATTTAGAAAATTCAAAATGACAACCTTTTGTAATAAAAATATCTTCAATTTGGGTAGGCCTCACTCTAAGAAAAGTTGCAAGTCTAGAACTTCCTTCAGGACAATTAAAAAGATAACATCGATGGGGAGTTCGAATAAAAACTGAAGGTGTCATGTGTGAAGAACCATTACTCAATATCTAAAAAAATAAAATTATTTTTAAAAATAAATCAAAAATAAAAACCTCAAGAGTAATATTAGAAGGAGCAATTTCATGTAAAATTTTGCTTCGTTTTGATTCCATTGTGAAATGATTTCGTCGAAGTACAATTAAATTAATTACTTTTAAAAATGAATTAAAAGTATTCATTAAACATCAATATTATACTTTAAAAGTTAATTTTTAGAGGAAAATTTTGGACATTATTATGACGAAAAAAAATTAAAGAAATGGTCCCCTTATTTTGGAAAAATTAAAAGAGGCGTCAATAAGACTCAAATGGTGAAAATAATTCTAAGGACACTTTGACGCAAAGAAAATTCCGTTCATTTTGTCGTAAGTCCACTTTGTAGCAGATGAGCTTTTTCAACGTAACTTTGCTGTAAACAAAATATTTTTTGTATTTTGTGCATTGAGGGCTTTCTTTCAATGATAAGGAATCTGATAAGGTATAATAAAGTGAGAATGATGAACACAAAATAACATTTTCCTAAAATTGTTTTTAAGAAAAGTATTTTCAATTGATCAATAAGGACACAGCAAATCTTGTTAAATTCCCCTCTTAAAAAATCTTTAAAAAATCCGAGATTTTATTTAAAAAGATTAAATGAGTGAAATTATTTGTTTAGAACAACCAGATCTTTTTAAGCCAATTCAATCTGTATGAAATTTAATTTTGAATTAAAAAAATATTTTTATATAAAGATATTGGCTGTTTTAACCTTAATAAGCCTTGGTTCTTCTACGCATGTTGATGGAAGTGGAGTTCTTTGGTTTGTCGCTATATGTTCAGTTACGGCTAGCACTGTCGCTACAATTCTTTTAATGTTTAACAGAAATGGACTTAATGAATATAATATTAAATTGAATAATGGAAATGATATACCTTGGAGTGTTATTGTAAATAATTTTTATTATTTTTAATTTAATTTATTTTTAAAGGAATTTGTTTATTCCGTTATTTTAACATTACTTTGTGGAATAAGTTTTTGGATTTCTTTTGGGTATGCCACACATGTAGTTCCAGTATTAGGACATTCAGCTGGATATATATTTGCAGGGGTTTGTTCAATATTTTATCTTTTTCAACCCATTTTTTAGTTATTTTTAATTGGGCAAATGGTTTGTTATGCGATACCTGCATTAATCATATACAATCAAACATCGAAACAAAGAGAGCCAATTGCTGAAGTTAATCCTTATGGTTTTGGAAGAGTTGATGAGGAAGTTGGATATCAAAATTTACAAAATGTTTAAAAATAAAAGTAATGTTGTTAGACTAATTCTCAAAAATATTAAGAATTTCAACTATTTTTTATTTTCAAAAAAGTAAATTATAAAAACTACAAAAATTATTATTTTTTCAAAAAAAAATTGAGATCAATTTATTATCAAAATTCCTTCAAGCATTTTCTTTTTCAAGTATAAAAGGTGTTGGTCTGCGATTCCTTGTCGAGTTTGTATTATTATTTATTTTTTCTGGGCTTTCCTCTATTTGTTCTGGTGTATCAGGAATTTCTAAATTATGTTCCTAAAAAATAAAAATATTTTTTAAAAAGTCTAAATTTTTAAAAATTTACATCAACGTAAATATAACGAACAGCCAAAATAATAAATATTCCAATAACTAAAAACATTAATGTTGCGTAAATAAAGAATTCGGCAACTGGATCGGGTATTTCAAGATGAGAAATTATCTTTTTAAATTATGTATTAGATGAGAACTAATTAATTTTTACTTACAACGTCAACAACATTACCAAAGAACACAGTTAATAACCAAAGTGCTTGTAATACCTAAATTTAGTAAAATAAAAGGAAATAATGATCAATATACGCATTTTTAAAAATAAAATATTTTAAAGGCGGAAATAGAAATTGAAATTTTTTGTTTTGACTCTAAAACACTTAATATTCCGAAATTAAAATATTTTTCTTTTAAAAATAATTATTAAAATTCACTAACACTTTTCATGCTTGGTGCTGCTTGTGAATATGAGAATTCTAATCCGGTAACAGAAAAAAGTATTTCACCAATCGTCATAACCAAAACTTGTGGAAATTGCCATAAAATACTCACACTATTTGAACGAACTAATTGACCAATCTATTTTTTAAATTCAAAAAAGTATATCTTTATTAAACGTTTACATTATTGTTTGTTGTTGTCATATTATTATTTTCTTCTTCTTGAACCAAATCAATTACAAAAGCTGCCCCCTATTTTTTAAATTAAAATTAAAATAATGCATAAATTTAAACCATTTGTGCTTCCACATTAATATATTTTACACATTTAGTAACATCAAACTCTTCTGTTTTTGTACAATTAAAACCAATTTTATAATTAAAAGATTTTGAGAAAAATCCAGGTTGTATTTCAATATAATTTCCATTAAAAATTGTTGCGTTAGATACCTTCTTTAAATTAAATTTTATAAAAAATTAATTTTAAATATTAAATTAATACCCTTCCATTTATATCTACAGCAACAGCCTCTGTTCCATAAAGCAAAGAATCGTTTAATATTAAAAAATAAAAACGAGTTTTTCCATTTTTTGTTTTTTCACAGGTATAGGGAAAGTCTGCCATTCTTCTTTAAAAATAAATTTTTAATATTTTAAAGATTTTAAAATTACTTACATTGTTCCATTAGGAAATTCAAAAACTCCAAGAACATAACTTTTAGGCGCTACTTCGCCTTCCAAAGCCAAATATAAAGAATTTTTTAATATATTGTCATTATTTAATTCTCTGGTTTCAAAAGTATAATTACTAGCCCATATTTCTTGTTTCCCATTATCTGCACGTATTTTAACATCAGAACCATTAACAGCAAATAATTCAACATTACTAGCATTTCCCATTCTATAAATAAATGAATTTCCAATTGCTGGTTTTGGCTCCATTGTTGAATTTATTTTTATCTTTAATTTTGTTCGAACTTTTAAAAAATTCCAAATTATTTAATTTACCTGTACAAATCCTGCTATACAAAAAGCTACAGCTGCCAATATTCCACCTAAAGCCATTTTTCTTAATGGTGTTATTTTACAAATTCTATTAACCACTAAAAGAAGACTTTTCAAGAATTAAAAAATCTATTTACTTGGATATATCCAAGCTTCAAACATTGGTACAAGTATAAGAACAAACAAAGGATTTAAAGTGTTCATCTGATCAGGTAATATAGTAAACCATCCAACATGTCCATCCATTCTAGTTGCTTGTAATACCCAAGTACTTCCCTTTAAAATAAAAATTAAACTGAAAAAAAAAATTTAAAAAAACCTGTTGATCAAAAAGTGCCCAGAAAAATACAACAGGAATATATAAAACAACAATAGAAACCATACTTTTAACTCCAGCAACTAGATGCGCATCATATTTTGGTAAAGCATAATCTAACCAATGAGAAGGTTGACATTCTATATTGTATGTTCTTTTCCTACTAAAAAAGTAAAAAGAATATTTTTATTAAATTAAAAAAAATGTTAACCTTAAATTAGAATTTAATTTTGCCCGTAAAGCATAACAAATACATTTAACAACTCTCCAAAGAATATTCCCTTTACTAGCGGGTGTTATTTTGTAAAAGCGCCAACCAGCCAAAAATGTTAAAAAAGCAAGGAGCATTAAAACACCAGGGACACCTTTAAAAAAAAAGAAAATAAAAACAGTTTTAAAATACTAACCAAATGCCAACGGAAAACAATGTTCAGAATCTAAACATCTAACTCTTCTAAGTAAAGGTGTTACTGCTATGGCAATTAAAGAACCAGCATTTATAGCAAAATAGAAAAACTGGAAAAAAGAAATGTTTATTTTATTTAAAATTTATTTTACAGAAAAGAATTGTGTTCTTTCACGATGTTGATCATCTCTAAAAATTAGTAAAATTAAAATAAAAATTTTTTCACTCTTTACCTGAATTGATCTGCAGCAAATGCAGAAACACATGGTTTAATTCCACCTGTAGCTATAGCGATAACTGCTAATCCAGAAATATCCAGCCCTAATTTTGCAGATTTCTCAAGAAATGGAATGGCACCAATTGATAAAAGTAAGTGTCCAAGAACATAAATTAAAGAAACCCAAAGAATTACGTGAAAACGTCCAAAATAATTATCAGCCAAAACTGAACCAAAAAGTGGAGATAAATAGGCAAGAGAAACAAAAACATGATAATACTGCTTTGCAACACTAAAATTAGTTTAAATTGATAAAGTTGAGCGTGTTCAGACAAATAGCACCAGACAAAATGGTAACAGAAAAATTGTACTAGAGACAATATGGTATTAGACAAAATAGTACGTGAGACAAAACGGCAATAAACAAAATATTTTTTGACAAAATAGTATCAGAAACAGAACGAATTGGAAATCTAATCAGATCTGCTTAATTTAAATTACTTACTTTTCTGATAATTGATAATCAGTAGTTAGATAAATAATAAGAATTGCCCTCATTCCATAAAAAGAAAAACGTTCACAAAATTCATTTCCTAACATAAAGAAAACACCTTTGGGATAAGAAAGTATACTTTCAGTAATCCCCTTTTCTTTATTGTTTCCATTGTTATTTAATTGTTTATCAGAATTATTAGTATCCGAAATAGCGACCATTTGTTGTTGTTGTTGTTGTTGTTGTTGTAACTAAAGAAATATTTTTATTTTTGTTAAATTAAATTAAAATTACTTCAATTTTAGCTCTACTTATTTTTCGTTCAAGCGGTGTTTCAATAATTAAAGGTTCTGCTGCTGATGTAAAATATAAAGGTCTTGTTGTTCCAAATTGATCTGAACGGCCAGTTTCCTTTTTTTCTTTTAGTCCTACAAATCAATAAATGTATAAAATTTAAAATTAAATTTCAAAAATAGGAAAGGTAAGTAAAAATGAATGGTTTAATTTGAAATTTAAAAACGTAAACAATTAAAATATTTAATTAGGTGTATTTTAAATAATAAAAATTGGTAAAACAAAGATAATATTTTATAAAAAAAATTAGAAATGGAATTTGAACAATAAGGAAATTAAAATATTTAATGATAAAAAGTAAATTATAATAAATTTTTGGAGAGAAAAAATTTACGGAACAAATAAAATTTTCTTTCTTTAAAATTCTGCAATTAAGTATTACATAAGAATTATTTAAAATTAATTATTAAAATTTTTTTCATTTTTAATCATAAGTGCTAATTAGTCATAACGTAATAGTCCCAAAAATTTAAAAATAGAAGTAAAAATATTAATTTATTAGTTTAATATACTAAAAATAAATAGAGGAATTTTTATGTAATAATTAAAAGGCATTAACTATTCTCATTCTATTTTTTACTACCAAAAAAAAAATTCGGTCATTAGGTTATACTATATTGCCTCAGATTCTCTCTCTATTTGCGCAATCGGGTGAATAATAATAGGCGGCTTTTCTTTTTAAAATTGTAGTTTTTCTGTTAATCACTGCATTAAAACAAAACAATAAATTCATGTGTTATTCATTCAGCAAACTAAAATAAAACGAGTTTCTTTTGGGACAAATATTTGGGCGTAGGATAATAATACCTGCTTTTCTATATTATAAAAATAGTATGTATAGTTAATTAAAAATTAATTGTATTAAAAAGAAACAATAGAGAAAAAATGAAAAATTAATGTTAGATATTAAGATACTTTTCCAAATTCTTTGGCTGTACTTAAGTCAGTGGCCCGTTTCAGTATTTCGATTTAATCTTTCTATTCATCTCATTAATTTAAATCGAATGGCACCATTATCTATAAAAATGCCTGCGGGCTGAGATATTGGTCCCCGAAAATTGAAAACCCATGGGGGACTAAGCTTATTATTGGGTTTGAACATGCAAATGACAGCTCATTCGAAAGTGATACCAAAAGCAACATGATTCAATAATTCTAAACTAAATTACGATTAAATAAATTTGTGGACATATAATGGAAAAGTACCAATATTAAATTAACATAATTCAAGGAAAAATTTAGAAAAAAAAACTAATATAAATTCTAGTTTTATATATATTTATTAATTCCAAGTTTATTTATTTAGAGATGTGTCCTTGAAAATATTATAAACTTTAAATAAAATAAATATATATTTTTAAGTATTTATATATTTAGATTTTTTCACTAATTTTTTAAAAAGTAAACTACGTGAATAAGGAACAATTTAAGGAATTTGATCATTTTTAATTTAGATGTTGTTGTTATTTTGTTATTTGGCTAGATTGATCCCACCCTTTTTTCTCTTCTTCTTAACCAAATAACTACATTAAAAACATTTTTTGTGATCGGCGAAGTTGCCTATTATGTACACGCATTTGCGCATCTTCCCTCTCTCCCCAAACAATTTTTATTTTTAAAATTACTTTGAAAAGAGAAAAAAATAGTACACATTAAAAAAGGGGCCCAGGCCAAAATATCCTTTTAGTGGTTTGTAATTTTTTAATTTTGTATTTTGTTCAATTTTCTAAGATTTTAAATATAAATGCATGAATGCTTTTTTAAAAGTTAAATTTAAGGTAATTAAAAATGAAAAAAACTTTTTGCAAAAAAAATATCAGAAAATCACAGCAGGGATTTAAAAGTAGTAAATAATAAAAATAAATGGGAATTAAAAAAATAAATAATAAAAAAAAGATTTAAATAAATATTTAAAGTAATAAAAAATTATTTTCAGAAATGTGAACATCAAAACAGAAGTTTTATTACAAAAACATTTTTATTATTTATTTTTGTAGAAAGTTTAAAAGTATAAGTTAATCGTAGTTTTCTTAAACCCTAAATTTAAAGATTTGAGAGAGAGAGAAAAAAGATTTTTGGGAAAATTAATTACAATACAAACTACATTTTAAAAATTGGAATTTAAAAGAAAATTGTGTAATTTTAATTAAACTATAACATTTTTGGAATGCTAATAATTAAAAAAAATTTTTAAATTAAATTCCAAGAGTAAATAGTGGAACATAATATATAAATAAAAAATCAATATAGAAATTAAAATTTGATTGATAGAAAAATATAATAATTATTTATGCAAAAATATATTAAATGTACCTGAATAGCTGATACGACGCATATTTAATATTATCGCCAAAAAATGTGTAGTTAGTGACTTTGGTTTAATAAAAATAGCACATTCAAATATTTTTGTAGTTTAATAGCGCAATCTAAAATTATTTTTTTTTAAATATATTTAAATTAAAAAATATTAATTTGAAAGAAATTTTTAAATAAAATGTCTCTCTCACTTCAAATCTTATTTTAGTACTTAAATCAAAGAAAAAGATCCATTTATTTCCCCTTACCTATTTTTTTTAATTTTCAAGTACATTTTAAGAGATTTGTTCAGTCAGTTCTGCAACACTTAAATATATCTATTTATTTCAACCAATTTCTTAAAATTAATTCTTTTGTTAATTTAGAAAATTAAAAAAAGAAGAGAAAATTAGTAAAAGACTGTATATACTATAATTAAATTTTTTTCTCCAAAAAATGGTTAATTTAAAAAAATTTTTTGACTCAATCTTATAAAAATTAAAATATCTAAACCATATTAACTTGATATTAATTTCCTTATGACTTAAAATAAAATATTATAACCTCTAAATTAAAAATAAAACGGCAAATAAATGAGAGAAATAACAAAAAAACAACCTTGCGTGACAATTGATAAAAGTAATGGAGTCTTTGTTTTATTTACCACCAGGATGAGAATCATTAAAAAGAATGGGAGGACTTCTTTTCTTCCGGCTAAATCTTTTATAAATCCCGACATTACATTAAAAGTGGTTTGGCACATTAATAATGCAAAACGACGTTAATGTACTTTAATATAAATTTATGTATAATAATAAGTTATAAAATAATTTTTTTCTCTTTTATTTAGGTACGAACATGTCGTTTAAAATTTAAAATTGAATAAAAAAAATAAAATCAAAAATCAACCTCGTTATTTATTTTAACACAATTTTTTACGTGAAACAATAAAAGATAAACACAAAATAAAATAATCGGGTTTGATTTATCTGCTGCTTCCGATATATTTTAAAAATAAAACTAACAAAAATGGTTCCGTGACTTTTGCGCCGAGAACATTTGCGCCGCGACTTTTGCGCCGCGACTTATGCGTCGAGCGACTTTTGCGCCGGGGGACTTTTGCGCCGCGACTTTTGCGCCGGGCGACTTTTGCGCCGCCACTATCATTAAAAATATATCAATAACTACAGCCGGACCTCACTTTAGTAGGGTTGACGAATAGTTGGAAATCTTCGGATCTGATATTCGAACTGAAAATTTCGGATATCCGGCATTTTTCGGATCCGGATTTTCTAAACAATGGCGGCGCAAATGTCGCGGCGCATAAGTCGCCCGGCGCAAAAGTCGCGGCGCAAGAGTCGCGGCGTAAAAGTCGCCCGGCGCAAAAGTCGCGGCGCATAAGTCGCGGCGCAAATGTTCTCGGCGCAAAAGTCGTGATACCACAAAAATTTGAATTAAACAACGCATAAAACTGAGTTTGAGGAAAATTTTTCTTGGTTTGTAAAATACATATATAAATGACCGGAGACGAACATATTAAAAATAATGAAATTTTTTTCGGCTAAAAGATAACAATATTTAATATTTCTGATATGGAAATATGTCCCTCTCTAATTCTAAAATATATTTTAAATATATATTTCATATATATAAAGATCAATGCAAAATACGTAATAATATGAAGATGGAAGAATTGTTAAAATAATAATTAAAGACCTGTATTCTTGATAAACATAATTTAATTCTTCCATGTCATATTTCCATTTAAATAGTAATAATGAAAATTAAAACGTCGTTTTCTTTTGTTCGAATATATTAACGCTTCTTCGGTCTCTTCGCATGCAGCATCTTCCTAACTGAAACACCACTCCTTGATGCCAATCCATTCCCATCACAAAAACTTGAATTATTCGACGAGACTTAATTAAAAAATAATTTTATAATGTCATCAAAAATATATTAAAAACCTTCAGATGTTGATGTTCCAAATTGAAAAACTCCAGTGAGAGGAGCAGAGAATTGAAAACTACTAACCACAGGAGCACAAGCGATTCCATTCATTGTGGGGTCCGGAACTCCATTCATTGCTGTCAGTCCATTAATATTCGTATCGATAGCCATTGTTGAATCAGTAGCTTAAAATTAAAAAATAGTTTTCTTTGTTCCCTGTTATAAATTTTCCCCATTTTTCTGACTTCGAGGAGGGAATATATACACAAAAAAGGAACTAGTATTGCCAATAAAAAATTACGGTTTAAAACTTCACAGGAATTGAGTAACGAAAAAATATCTATTTGTATATAGTAAAGTACCTTCAGATGTTGATGTTCCAAAATGAAAACCTCCATTGAGAGGTGCTGAAGGAGGTTGAAAGCCGGATATTTTTGGCACGCTATCAAAAGTTTGTTGCGTTTTAGGCTCAATTGGCTTGTCGTTCGTTTTATCCTTGAAGGTATTCACAGTCTGCACTTTCTGAACTTCATCTGTTTGAATCCCCTTATCTTGATAAGTCGGCTTAGGCTTAGGTGGAGGTGATGGACATTTTGGCCCTCGAATAACCGCTTCAGCAAAAGTAAAAGCAGGATAGGATTCAGATATATCAACTCCACTTGAAATAGCATCTTCTCGCTCTGTAGCATTTTCTACACCTGGAACATCAAAACATGTTGCGTTGACGACAGGTGCAACATTGGTCAGAGACGGAACAATATTCGTTGGTAAAGAATTGACCTCAGGCGAAGCGCTGACAGAAGTGTTTACCGGTAAAGCAGTATTGGCCACTGACGTAATATTGTTGAAGAAAGAAGCATTAAATACAGGTGTCTCATTTCTCGCAGATGTAGTTTTGTTAAAAAATCCATCAACATCCAAAGATGGAGTAATGTTTTTGGATGAAGTCGGGTTAGGACACCGCCTGCAATAAAAACAATATTACAAGATCACATGTTAATTATACCAATAAGGTTTTGTAGATTCCCGAGTTCGACGAGCAGAAAGTCTTGATGGAGTAAAAATTGAACGTCTAGGAGGCAATGACGTGTTTACTTCACTATTTTGTCTTGGAGAAAACCACCGCTCGGTTTCATACGCCAATCCAGAATTACTCGTTTTGTCCTTAAGATTTTCATAATCAAAACAAACTACTATTTAATTAAACCTTTTGTCCAAATGATGAACTCGAAAGCCTATCCAACTCGTTAACAAATTGTTTCGTCCTCGAAGGCGCATGCGTTGATAAAATTTTACTTCTCAAATCAATAATATTCGAATTTGACGGATAAAGATCTCTCGACATATTTCTAAATTAAAAACAAATTAACATAATATGTAAAATAAAATCGTTAAAATCTCAAATTAGGATCAAAATTTAAAAAAAACTTAAAAATTTTTTAAGTTAGTTTCAGACAATTATTCATCGCGTAGAGTCGAGAAGAAAAGGAGAGAACTGGCGTCTAAAAATATACCGTTAAGGAAGACAAAATGGTACAAGGCAAAAATGGTACAAAAGGTAAAATTTAGAAAATGGTAATCGTGAAATGATAAATAGCGCAACTTCAGCCAGTTTTGCCCAGTCCCAGTTTTGCCCTTTAATTATTTTATCACTAGAATGTTCAGTTTCATAAGAGAAATTGTCTTGTACCATTTTGTCTAATACCATTTTTGCGAGGTTCCGGATGGAGACATTGAAAAAGAAAAAGAGAAAAGATACATTTCGCTAAAAATAGTGTAAATTCAAAATATTTAAATTCTATGTTTTTTGAGTCTGAGATGCTATTCGAAATTTTTTGTCTTACGTCTTGTTTGCCGTTTTCTTCTTGTTAAATGATTTTGAATTCTATTCTTGTTGTGGCATTATTTTTTATTGAGATAAATGAATTGATTTACACAGAAGAAGAAGACGAATCACAAATCGCTGGAACTCCATCAGAACTTCAGGCATTTGCAAACCACGATTCAATACAAGTTTCATGGTTACCACCTCGAGAGGATAATGTTTTAATTAGAGGATTTCAAGTATTTTTAATTTTTTTGAAAAATTCTTACTTATAATTTTTAGATTGGTTGGGGTATAAATATACCAGATATTGAGAAAACAATTGTTGATTCAAATGTGAGGCAATATACAATTCGTAATCTTAAACCAAATAGAGAATATGTTATCTCATTACGTGCATTTAATAAGAAAGGTCAAGGTTTTCCAATTTATGAAACCGTCAAGTAAGATTAAATTTTAAATATGTATTAAAATTTTTATTTAGAACTTATTCATCTGGCTCTTTAACAACCTTACCACCAGATAATTTTATTAAAAACATTCATGCACCTGTTGGACTTTTTGCTGAAACTCTTTCTGCCTCACAAATACATTTATATTGGACTGATCCAAATGATGAAGCCTTCAATCAATATTACACAATTAAATATGCAATGAGGTTAAATTAGTTATTCATTTACTGATATAATATTTTTAGTGGTGAAGCAGATGGACTTGCAAAAGAAATAAACACAAGTGAAACTGATTACCTTTTTGACAATTTACGTCCTGATACTCAATATGAATTTGCAGTAAAAATAGCTAGAACAACTCACTGGAGTCTTATTGCAATAAATCGAACATTTCCTGCACCTCCTTCATCCCCACCTAGAGATATTACTTTAGTTGGTCCTCGATCAGAAAAGGATGATCCAAATATTGTAACGCTTAATTGGCAGCCACCAAAATATTCAAATGGAGAGATTAAAGGTTTTTAATTTATTACAACTTTAAAATTATTTTAATTTTTAAGAATATATTTTATTTTATTCAAATAAATTTGATGCGCCTGAAAGTGAATGGACGATGGAAAGTATTAAAGGTGATAGATTATCTTTACAAATTCGAGGACTTCTTTCAAAAACAACATATTATTTTAAATTACAAGCAAAAAATTCAAAAGGTTTTGGGCCTTTTACACCTATTACGAGTTTTTTGACACCGGAAACTTTGGATATCTCCTCAATATCTGACCAAAATAATAAATTTTCTGATAATGTTAACTCAACATTTTCTCAACAAATTGTTCAACTTTTGAGGTTTTATTTAAATTATTTTCGAAATTAAAATTATTTTTTAGCAAAAATCTAACAAACGTTTTTCTTGGAATTGTTACAATTGTTTTGTTAGTTTTGGTTGTAGCAGTTATTATTGCTTGTACACGAAGGAAACCTAGACGACAAACAAATGTAAAACATCCTCAATATAGTTATATACCTGGTAGGAAATATTCACAACAAACTGGTGATGATAATTTGTGGATTCAACAAAATGGTACAAGATTTGCTGCTGTTTTGGATAATTCCGGCACACTTGGACGAGCTGTTTGCGAGGTTAGTTGTTTAAAAACACGCTAATTGAATGGTTTATATAGAACTTTGAAATGCCAACATCATCTGGTGAAGAGAGGAGAATTCTTTTGGTTGATCGACAACAACGCGCTTTTATTGCTTCTAATCCACATGCTCACTTTGGTTCACCTTCACCACAATATAACTCACAATATTTGCCACCTTCGGATGGTCAAGGTAATCTACCTGTAAAAATGTTAAGTATTACCAAATCTTAATTAGCGGTGGGTATCCTCTAGCTGTTTCTGTTAACTGTTATGTTAGTCGTTTAATGTTAAAGATTTGAAAGGTGTTGAACGATTGGGGAATGGTTTTTGCAACTCTAAACTCCACCGGCGTTTAGCCGATTCTGTCCAGTCTGTTGATGAGCATCAACCACCATCTAAGTCTAAAAAGATTGGCCATCAGAATCGAAGTTCACTTCCTCCTCGTTTCTGCTCTTCTGCGTCTATAACACCTTTGGCCGTTAAATCCAACAAAATTGGGCAGAATTTTATGGGTTCTCCAACTTCTACTGGTGATTTATATCCAGTATGGACGCGCCAAACGAATGAAGAAAAGAACATTTTTTCCAACAATGACTGCGACTATTCTCCACTAAGGCACCAAAGACATTTTGTTGATACCACCACTGAATCACTTATTCCAAGTTTTGGCATCCCAGCCTTGCCTGTAAAGCTTGCTCGCCGAACTTTAATAACAGAACATAGTAATGGTTTTTATAATGATAGGCCAAAGATGTCTACAAAATGCGTGAATTTTGCACCAATTTTGGATACCTCACAATCAGATGTAAATGAAGCAGAGAATAAAGGCGATGATATTGTTCATAATACATTTCATGAAGAGCAAGTTAGAAGTGAGTAAAAAGTTTGTTGAGTGAGTGGACTTCTAAATTTTTAGTTCTTTTTTGATATGGCGTTCCTTATGCAGTGGTAGTGACTTAACATGAATTACTCATAATTGAAATTTCTCTTTACCACTTAAACCTTATAATTTTCAGATTTGTCACAAAATTGTTACAACACAGCGACAGCGATAATCAGTCCACATGGAAGGAATTTGAGTCACCCAACTCCTAATTCAACACCAAGAAATCCACATGTTGTACATACCAGAACTGATAGACAGGTATAATGTCATTATTTTGAAAAATATAAACAATTTTGAATTTAGCAAGTCAGGGTGGATCTTGCTGTTGGGAATCAACGAAATGGCGCTTTTTCAAACGAGGAATTCATCGATAACGATCGTTCTGCTTCTAAGGTGCATCCGTCGTCAATATCGAATCACCATATAATGGAACTAGAAGAACATCGTCAACAGCCAAAGATGGCTCACGTTGTTAGACCTATTGCTGCCATTAAAGCGGCTAACGCCTCGCCATCTGCTTTTCGAAATGTTTCTTCTTCAAACAAACCTAAAACATCTCCATTGATGAATAGTAAGCAATTTATATTTTTTGTTAATTATCATTATTAGGGAATGTTCCTAATGGAAATGTCCCTGTTGGTCGTGCAATGGTACAACGACGCGTTAATATTACTAACCAGATAGAAACATCAGCTTCCCCATATTCAAGTATACGCGTTCAAAGAGAAGGTGAATTGGAAGATGTTTCTACTTTAAATGTTCAACAACAAGCACAACCACAATGCAATAATAAGGTAAATAAATAGTGCCCGGAAGTAAAATAAATATATGAACATTTTTTATTTAAAATTAATTTTTAGTCTGTTGATGCTGCAGAAGAATTGAGTGTGCAAGAGATAGACCAAATGGTTTAATTACAGCTTCCTTTAATAAATTTTTAATAAATTACAGATTGACACTTTACAACAATTACAACATGAATTTACACAGGCAGAGGATGATTAATTCCCACTGCGCATAAGCAAACATGGCCTCGAAGTGCTTCCGTATAAAATATTTTTCTCACCTCACAATCTTTGAATCTCTGCTTTCTTTTAAATTTTCTCAGCTATTTATATCGATATTGTTCCAATTTTTAAAAAATTGTGCCAAATAATTTATTAAAAACTATTCGCATTTTGCTGCCATTAACTATTCTTTCAAATTTTCTATAATATTTTTGCTATTTTCCCAGATATACAAAACTTGTCATTGCAATAATTCCAATAATTCATTTGTACTTATTTAATTCTCAAAGCTTTTATTTAACAGTTATACATATATTTATGCAAATACTAAAAATTGCTTTTAATTTTTATATTTAATTTATAATTTTTAATTGTTTTTAAAGTGCTTCTATACTAAATTTATTTTTTTAACTGTCAAATTTTATATTTGTTTTATTTTAAGAATGAATCATTTTAAAGTTATTTATGGTTGTAAATAACTTATCTATATTTGCATTTGCAGCCGACTAAATAAATTCCTTTTAAAGAATTTCCGTTTATTTTACATAAACAATAATAAATATTAAATTAGTATAGATTCTTGTCAGCTTTATTATGAATTTACTTTTATCTTTTCATCTTTGATATAATTTTTTATAAAATTTTCAATTGAAATATTTGTTAAAATGACGATTTTCCTGTTATATTCACATTACTCATATTTAATTGAGAGTTCGAATTTTATTTTTTAAATTTAAAAAAGGAGGATTAATTTTAAGTGGATGTGGAGGTGAAAAAAAAACAATAATTTATGTGTTTGTGAGTTTTATATTTTTATTTAAAAGTTTTAAAGTGTTTGTTCCTTAGGTTTTAAGAGAAAAATTATTTCTTTAGACATTTTTTATTCATATGAGGATTTATGGTATATTTTATTTGACTATTGTAACTGTAATCCTAAGATTGTTTACTGTATTTTCTCGATTCCCTTGGGGTGTTAATATTTCAACCCATCCGTGGAAAGGGGAATAATTCGGATTTTTAAATTTAAATGTGCAGTAGGGCATTTGAGGCTAGGGGACCCATCCCTAGCATGGGGAAAATTCTAAATTGTTTTATCGAGGGAGGGGAATTAATCGAAAAAATACGGTAGTCTAATTTGTAAGCTTTCATCCCTTTTATTTTTTTATTTGCACAGAATATTTAATTTTTAAATTTTCTTGTCTAAAACAATATTTAATTGCTAAAACAAATTAAATGCCATTTTATTCTTTTGCGTAATAATTAAAAATTTAGTAATAATTATTAAGAAATTCTTTAAAAAAACTATTTTTGTGGCTTCTTTCCTCATTGCTTTTTCTCTTTATTTTTTGTTGTTTATTTGTTAAACATTTTTCTAAGAATTAAGGAGAATAGCGAGAGAGGGGGATTATTATTTTAATAAGAAAAAGTATTAAAAGCTAAAATATTCAACTATATTATTTTTGATTAACATTTTTCTTTTTATTTCTATTAAAAACTAAATTTTACTGACTCACATTATATATTCATTTACGCAAATCTTTAAATATATTTTTATTTTTTTAGAAATTTTCTTTTTTTAATATTGTAGGCTTCTTTTATTGCTTATTAATTAAACAAAAGATTAATTGAAAAAGCATAAACGAGATTAAAAAACGGACAACTACACCTATCCTTTCCGGCAACTTTTTTCTAACTTAACTCAATAAATTTTTAAATTCCTTCATTAATCTCAGAATGGGACCTAAATCTGTTGCTTTAGTTAGGAAATTCTGAAATATTTTATCGGCTGGAAATAAGGTTTTTTCTAATCTTTAATTTCCTTCTAATGCGTCAAATTTATTTTATTTATTGATTTTTTATATTGCAATAATATTTTATTTTAAATTTTTTTCTTTTTTTACCACCAATAATTATTTAATTTTTAATATTACAAAAAGAGACAAATAAAAACTAAAAAAATTTTTTTTATCTTAAAACACTAACAAATTGTCATCATTTAACAAATTCAATTTATAATTTAGGCAATTAAAAATGTCATATGAACAAAGAGAAAAAATCCAAAAAGAATTTTATTACAATTTTGCAATTTTAGTCAATTTTTAAGTTTAAATATAGATTTTTTTCCACTTCCATATATTTTTAATTTTTAATTCCTCATTCCAATCCCATTCTTTAATTAAAACATATTTTAATTAATTATTAAATTTAAATCTCTTTATTTTTTAATATTTGCTTTATTTTTTCATTATTATTCTTCTCTCCTTTTGCAGAAATTAAATTGCAAAAAATAAAATTATTATTTTTTACCTTTTGCAATTAAAATTACTGCTGCATGTCATCACTTATTTGTTAGTTAATAGCAATTAACAAATAACTATAAATTTCTCTCCTCCCTTTACATAAAACAAAACTCTTGACAAACATTTGTCGGAAAAAAAGGTGGGCGGCCAAAAAGCAGCAGCAGCAAAATGTGAAGGGAGAGAGAGAAATAATAAAGCAAGAAAATCGAATATTTCTGCAAAAAATTAGAGGAGTAAAGCAAAAATGCCGAGGCATTCGACTCTCTCTATATCTTTCATAATTTATTGTCATTAACAATTCACGTTGGCATGCGCGCGTTTTTTCCCTCATTATTCATTTTTGCAAGAAATATGCCTCTGTATTTTACTACATATTCATGGCCCATCCTCAAAATCGTATTCGACAAAATGGTACAAACTTAACGGTCTAAAAACAAAACGTTACTACACTTCTTACCTACTAAACATAACCTCCCAAATAGTAAAATTGCACAATTACTTCTTAAGTTTTTACAGACGGTAGTTCAACGACCATTTTTCATGTGCCATTTTGTCTAATTTTATCCATTTTAACATTTTGTCTAATTCTATTTTGTCAAAATACTATTTCGTCTAGTATCATTTTGTCCTTAATTTTTGTAATGCCAATGGACGTTTCCCTTCCATTGCCCTCTCGCTGTTTTTTTCTAAATGAATTTCTCCATCAAATATTCATTAAACGTTTAAAAATGCGCAGCTTTTTCATAGCCTTTTAACATACAAAATTATAAAAAAAATTTCAGCTGTCACACGAGAATATATTTATTTACAAAAAATGTAGACATTATTGAATTTCATTCCTTTTCTGCTGCAACACTATTTTTAGTTTTTAAGACTATATTTATCTTAAATATCACTATTTGTTTTAACATTCCTTTTTTGCTAAACAAAATTGTGCAGAAAATGTTTTTTATCTTTCATTACTATATTTAGCTTTCATTTTTTTATTTTCACATAGTAGTAATATTTAACATGTAATAAATCTTTTTCTATTTTTAGCAGAAATAATATTTACAAATTAAATGACAGCTACTATTTTGATGCTTGGGCATAATAATAATTCAAATAAACAACAAAAACTTCAAAAACAAAATTCTATGCCAATTGTAGAAAGGCAACTTTCTGTTATTTTCGACACAATTGATTTTACTCAAGTAACATCTCCTCTCAAACCTTTGGCTGAATTATGCCGTTTAAGATGTAAAAAAGCGCGTCTTGAACCCAAAAATATTTCTGAACAGTTGCCAGAATCATTATGGATTAAAATATTTTCATATCTCGGACCTCTGGAAAGAATATCGTTGGGACAATGTTCTAGAAGACTTCAATTAATAACTTCTCATTGGCTTGATGTTAATAGTTTGGAAATACGTCCAGAATGGGCAAATGGTTTGGAATTAATTTTAATAAAAATTTAAACATCTTTAATAGATTTAGGTCCATCAATTTGTCCTTCTCCTCCTCCACCGCCAGCACAATCACAAGCAATTTCAACAGGTCTTCCTCTTTCTTCAGGCTATCGTCGACGTCTTCCCTCTCTCCGTTCAAAACCAAAAAACCAGCCAAAATCTTTTCATTTACGTTTTCAACTTTCTTCAGGCCATTCTTTTCGCATTAAAACAATAAATTCATCAGAGGATTCTGAACAACCCGAAAGACTTCTAAAAATTTTACTCTGTCGATTGGCAAATGGACAACTTTTAGAATTAACAATTTGGGATGCTTGTCTTTCTGAAAGATTAAGAAATTGTATTATTCGCTGTTCTCAATTACTTCGTTGTTTACGTCTTTGGGTAAATTATATTTTTTTATTAAATTTAAAAATTTTTGAGAAATCCTTAAATCTCAATAAGATTACCCTAATAGTGGTTTTGGGTAATAGGAATCTGAAAAATGCCTGGTACGCGTGGATTTTCAGTTTGGAGTCGAGGCATTTCTGATTATCCAAAAGGCCCACTTATTAAAACAGAAATTTTCTAAGATTTTTTAGACTAACCTTCAAATTTGTTTTTTTTAATTTATGTATTACAGAATTTAATTTATTTTCAGAATTGTGGCCGTTGGTTAAATACATATCATCCATCACCTTTATTAATTTCATTAATTGGTTTAACTTCTTTAAAACAATTATTTATATTAGATTCAACAACAATTAATTATAATAATTCATCAAATGAATCTGCTAATTCCTTTTTTTCCTCTTCATCTTCACCAACATCTTCCTTCTCTTCTTTTTCTTCTTCCACATCCAAATTTATTTTTTCAAAAAATTTAGCAAAAGCTATAAATGCCCCACTAGAGGAGCTTCAATTGACAAATTGCAGACTTTCTCTTAGTGCTTTAGAATTAATTTTACCAAAATGTTCAGAGTCTCTTAAAAGATTATCAATAGGGTATGATTTTAATTAGTTTTTTTTTTAATTTTTTTAAACTTTTAAAGATGCACTTTTGGTAAGGAACAAAAAAGAATTCAATATTTACAGTTATTATGCCAATTTAAAAAATTAAATGATTTGGATTTGCCACCTTTTATTTTTCATCTTGGTGACCAACCAAAACCTGATATTTTGGGACAAAAATTTTTAAAAGAAATGACAAATTTACGAGCAATTGGATTTAGGTATTTATTTAAATATTTTAATTTTTTAAACTTACTTTTTGAAAGACATTTCAATTCTTCCGCTTTATTCCGTTTTATTGAATTTTATTTACCCAAAAATATTCGTGTTTTACGTGTTCATCATAATGCTCGACGAATTCCAAATTTTGCTGAAATTGGCGGACTGTCTTCAAATTGTTCAATACAAGAACCAATTTCAACAACAACAAAAACATCATTAAATAGTTGTTCTTCACCTTCTCTATCCTTTTCTAATTACTTCTCTTCATCTACTACAAGTTCGACCTATCAAAAAAAATATTCAAAGGGTTCCCTATTTTCAAATAATTCTTCTATTGATTCTTCTAATAATGATATTAATTTAACTATTGAACAACAACAAAATATAAAATTAATAAATTTAAAAAAATCTTCAACTTTCCATACTTCTTCCTCACCACGAATTCCTTCTTCTGCTTGTTCAACAATTTCATGGCCAGGAACTAATAATTCTACAAAAGAAGATGAACAACTTTCTCTTGCTACTTCTTCGACTTGGTAAGAGGAAGGAGCGAAAATTTTTAAATTTTTTTTATATTTTTAGGTGTACTTTAAGCACAGATTTATTACAAAATAAAGATAATAAAGTTAAAGAGAAATCTTCAAATGTTAATAAATTATTTTCTAATCGAAAATTGACAATTTTTGCTATTGCTGAAGAACGTCAACTTAATTTAACAAAAAGAAACAGAAAACAACAAAGATTAAAAAAATGCAAATTTAATGGGATTGAAGTTATTTATGTATAATTTATTTTTCATTTTAATTTTTAATTAATTTATTTTTAAAGGTTTCTGCTGCTGAAGCGCAAAGTTCTCAAGAAGGTTTTTTTAAAAAAAAACAATTTGTAAAAATAATTTTCAATTTTATTTTTAAAGTACTCGGTCGTATGGGATCACCAATACAATCACCATATGTTTATACAACAAATCAAAATAATAATCAACCATCTGGAGTTCAAAGAGTAATACATGGTGATTTGGTTAAAACAATTCCTCTTTCATCTCTTGGAATGGAATCTGATTGGGAAAGTGATATTGAATAAATTTTTTAATTAAAAAATCTTTTTTTGCTCACTTTTAAAAATGTGCAATTCTCTTTTTCCTCTAAAAATACTATTTATTTTCTTTCATTTACTCATACAAAAATTAGATTAAGCTTTCTATCTATTTTTTAAAATTGTTTTTATTAAAATAATTTTCTTTAATTCTCTTTCTCTCAAATTTATTTAAAATTATTTTTCACATATTTTTGTTTCATATATTTTTTGTTTTGTTTTTTTTAATTTAAATTTATAAATTAGGTTTAAAAAAATCTTTTATATTGCCTGGGTAACAAAATATAAAAATATTTTAGTTTTAAAAGGAGTGGCGGGAAAATTAGTAATTAAATGTAAATTAAAAACGTCAATATATTTTTCTTTTACTAGTCTTTTTTTCTAAATTAAATTTTTCTTTTTAATGTTTTAGATAAATACAAGAAAATAAATGTAAATTTGTTTATATTATGTAAAAACCAACAGAAGCAATTTTAAAGGATAGTCTTCTCCATGTGGCGGAGTTATGCAGCTGCAAATACTAATACATTTACTCCAAAAAGGTTTTTATTAAAAATTTATCTAAAAATAATTTGTGGTTTGAAAGACCCTGGCGAGATTTTCGTTTATAGTTAAATTTTAAAAAATTTGTAAGGAACATCGGGACGGGCAGGGGGAGGGGTTATAAAACAAAAACCTCCCTAATAGGACAGTGTCTATTCAAGATGTAGTTGCCGTAGGTCCTGAAATCAATAGGGTAACGTGCATTGAAAAATGCCGATATATGTATCTGTCCCTTTATGTCTGGCTCTCGAAAGATTAAATACTTTATATTAATTTTTATTAATTGTCATGCAAATTAATTATAATTAACTGATAAAGAATTCTTTATTTTTTACTTTTCCAAGTAAAATTTATCTAAAATTAGGTAATTTTTTAATATTTTTTGTTGTCAAGACAACAATAATAAAAATTAATATAAAGTATTTAATTTTTTGAACAATTACTTGACTACAATCAGGCCCGTAACCAGGGGGGGGGGGTGAGGGGGGGAATTCCCCCCCCCCCGAAATGGGAAAAAGGAAAAAATTTGGGGAAGGGCTGGGGCAAAAAAGTGAATTTTTTTGGCCTACGGCCTTCGAAATTTTCAAAATTTTCGCCTGCGGCGCTAAAAAAGGACGAAATCTGGCTTCTTGAGGTCCAAAATTCAAAAAATTTTCGCCTGCGGCGCTGAAAATCAAATTTTTGGCGCCTGCGGCGCCGAAAAAGTGAATTTTTTGGCCTACGGCCTTCTAAAATTAAAAAAATTTTCGCCTGCGGCGCTAAAAATAAAAATTTTTGGCGCCTTCGGCGCCAAAAATTTGGCGCAATAAAATTTCCCCCCCCCCCCGAAAAAAAATCCTAGTTACGGGCCTGACTACAATAACTCCTTTGGGCTTTTATATTCTTTCCTCTCTCGTTTTTTTTGTACAAAAATAGGTAAAAGTTTCTCTTTAAACAATTATAATTAATAAAAAAAATTTTACTTGATTTTATTTAAATTTTTATTTGAAAAAATTTTTAAGTAAGAGAATGATGAATATAAACGATGTTATTTTTTTGATTTAAGTGAATAGACTTTAAATTGCAAAATAAATTTTTTTTAATTTATTTTTTATTACGTGTAGAGAATATATTTCCTCTTTTTTTCTACTTGTAATTATAACTCTATTTAAAAATAATTTCCGTTTTTCTAAAGGAAAAATATATCCGCCCATTCATTGTCAACAACACCAACAGATTGTAGACGTAAATCATTTAATAATAAATATATTAATAAATTAAATAGACGTTCATCTTCATTTACTTCTTCATTTGAAGAATATAATATTTCTTCTGACCAAAAAGAAGAAGAAAATTCTGTTTTAAATAAAGAAGAAATTAAAGAAGAAGAAAATTGTTTAAATAATCTTCCTTCTAATTCTGCTTCTGCTAAAACATTTAGACCAAGAAAATCGAGTAATAGTAATTCTTGTTCTTCGACATTTAAAAATCAAACAACAACAGATATTTCTAGCAATTTAAACGAAGATAACAATTTATTAGAAATGCCACCAGTTAAAGATATAAATGGAATTAATGACGGAAAGGTTATTTTTAATATTTAAATATAACTATTTTATATTTTATTTTTATTAAGCCAACTGCAAATATGTTTGAAAAAGACTCTCGTAGTGACGCACCTATTCCTGAAATGCCAACAACTGAAGGAATTGAGGTAAATAGGGGGGGGGGGGGGGGGCATGTTCACAGATAATGGCAATATCCGCGGGTGGATATGCTCAAACGGATACGGATATCCGGATATGAATCTAAAATTATTAACCATGACATGCCTTTAAATAAATTGTTTTTTAGAGAAATAATTTCTTATTTATTTCCATAGTATCCTCGAGCAGCGTCTTGGAGTTCTTCAACAGTTGCCGAAATTATGAGAGATCAAATTGGTTTGATTTTTTGAATTAAAAGAATAACTTTTTAAAAAATCTAGGTCGTCAAGTTTTTCGTTGTTTTTTACATGAATCCCTTGCGGAAGAAAATTTACTTTTTGTTGAAGAAGTTGAAAAGATGAAGAGAGAAAAACAACCAGAAAAAATTCGTCAAGGAATAAAAATGTTGTTGGATAAATATGGGCAATATATTAATTTAAGCAGTGTTGCTATGAGTGTTTGTTTTTTTTAATAAAAAAATAAATTATTATTTAATTTTAGAAATTGAGAGAAGCAACTAAATCAGAAGTGCCAGATCCAAAGGCGTTGGAATGTGCCCACAAGGTTTTTAAATTTATGATTTTATTTCTCCATTAAAATTCAATACAGGAAATATACAAATTACTCGAAAATGACCAATTTCCACGCTTTCGACGTTCAAAATTGTACCTTGAATTTCTTGAACAATTATTGCCTCGTTCATACGCTGAACGTTGGATGACTTCATTTGATGCTCTTTTAGGCAATCAAGTTGGTAGGCATCACTTTCGACAATTTCTTTTTAATGTACACGCTGAAGAAAATTTACGTTTTTGGGTAATTTAGATATTTCATTTTAAATTGAAAAAAAATATTTTAAAGGAATCTGTGATTGAATTTCGACAATTAAAAAATAAATCCATCGCCATGTTAAATATGAGCAGAACAATTCAACAACAATTTCTACGTGAGGGAGCTCACAATGAGGTTAATATTTAATGTTTAAAGTTTTTAAGTTAATTTTCAGGTTTTTCTACCATTTGGTTTACGCCAACGTGTTGAGAAGAAAATACGGGAGAAAAATGTTGATGACACAGTTTTTGATGAAGCTGTTAAACACGTTGAACAAATTCTTAAAAATGATCCTTATGTTAGATTTATTAATTCAAAGGTTTGTTTTTTTATTATAAAATAAAATATTATTTATCTTTATAGGAATATAATGATCTTTTGGCAAAATTACACTAAAATGATCTCAAAAAAGGAATCTAAATTTGATATATAATTCTTATGATCTCTATAATTCCCTTCTTCCTCCTGATTTAGTGTTTATACATATGTGAACATTATTATTTAAAGATGTTATATAAATCTGATTATCGATTTATTGATTTTTTATAGTTTTTTTTGAAAATATAAACTTGACTTTAGGTTATTGATTTTTAATTTTTGCCGGTTAGCACTCAACAAGGAGCAGCGAACTGACCAAACCGGCTCCTATACAAAAGATAGATGCACCAAAAGATAGATGAACTAAAAGATAGATAAGGCAAAAATCGATTAAAAGATAGATGCACCAAAAGATAGATGCACTAAAAGATAGATAAGGCAAATCGTTTAAAAGATAGATGCACCAAAAGATAGATGCACTAAAAGATAGACTAGGGAAAGGCTGACAAAAGGGAACGTATGGAAATGCAGACAAAAGGGTCCAGTCTCATTTGGGGGGTCTCATTTAGGCACAGCCCTTATATTTCACGAAGTGAACCTAAATATATAAAATTTATTGAAACAATAAAACTTATAATTACAGAATAAGGCAAATACTCAAACAAAATTGGGCAAAAAATAAAAGAATATGTAAATTTATAAATTTAAAATCACAAAAATAAGAGACAGGTAAAAGTAATTAAAATTATATAGTTAAAAATGAAGTGGAAATAGATGGAATGATTTTGAGTATATTTTGGAAATTAATACTTTTCAAAATTTTAAATCCCAGCTTTGCTAATTACAAATTTAGAATAATAATGAAAGTAAAATCCCTCTTTTTCATCCAAAGTTGATTAAATATTGAATTTTCCACACTAAAAAATAATTTAAAAATATTTAAAAATAATTTAAAAAAACAAACTCTGTGCTGAAAATAATAGCTTTGACGACGTGATTCAATAAGCCTTGCAGGGAATGGATTAAGATGATTGAATGCAATCTTTTTAAAAAAATTTAAAGAATATTTTTAATTAAAAAAACCTTTGCCAAAGCTTTATAATCCGTAACAATTGAAGATAAATTACTTAAACAAGTATGAACACCGGAAAATGAATTACATTCAAGAAGGCGAAGCTCTACAAGTCTTAAAATTGCTAAAGCAAAACGAAACAATACCTTTTAAGAATAACAAACTTAATAATTTAAATATTTTTAAAATTAAACGAACTTTATTGCCTTCATAGAGAAAAACATCAAAAATCTTTTTATAAAAAATTAATAATTAAAAAAAATAAAAATAAGGTAACCTTAATGTAGACCTTAAAAAATAAAAAAACTATAAATTAAAAAATATTTTTAAAAAATTTAACTGTATGAGAGAGAACATCAACAAAAACCGTTAGAAACCAACTTAAGGTAAATAAAGACAAATTAACTTCCAATTTTTGTAAATGTGCATGTAAAGCAGGCATTTTTTCTTGTACTAAATCAAGTAAAACTCTTTGGTCTATAACTGCTCCAACTAAATTTGAAGAATAATAATTTAATGGTTGTAAATGTTCAACACTAGCAACCAGAAACCAAAAGGCCTTTAAAAATTACTTTTAAAAATTTAAATCTATTTTAAAAAATAACCTCAGATTCTTCAAGATATAAAAGACCGATAGCACCAATTCTATTCAATCCCTTTAAAAATATTTAAATTTCTTTAAAAAAAAATTAAATTTCAAAACCTGGCAATATTCAACACTTTTATTGTGAAAACGAAAAGCATAAAGAATATTTCTTAAGGCACCAGCTTTTGGACTTTGCTCTGTTTCAAATAATTTATTATTTGGCAAAGTACGAGCCAAATCCAAATCAATCTAAAAATATTTTTTATTCAATATTATAATTTTTAAAAAGAGCAAAATACTTGTTTAAGAGCAGCATCATCCTCTGAAAGTAGCTTTTGTGATTTTCGCAAAAGACATTCATAATATCCATTCCCTGCCTCTACTTGTGTTGAACCAACATGAAAATCAACAAGTCTTGAAATAGAAATATTTGTTTATACAAAAAATATTTGTAAAATACCCGCTCCAAACTCTTCTTCTATAAGCATGAGGAACACCACAACGAACCAAAGCTTTTAAATTAGGGTCAGGGTTAAGTGGATGTGAAACATGGTTAACAAGAAATGAATCCCATCGTGCTAACCAATTAACAAATTCCTAAACATAAATATTTTTCAAAAATAAATTATTTAAGAATTAAATACTTGATTATTTCCTGGCTCAACAAGTGAAAGAATGTCATCAGCTCTTTTTTGTGAATCTGCTGCCAAACGTAATAATAAATCTTTATTTTGAGAAAAGAAGGCAGGTTTTTCTTTTAATTCATTAAAATAGGCAAAATAAGAAGTTGAAGGAACGGAAGAGGAAGGATCAGTTTGTTCAACACCGTCTTTACAGGTCTAATAAAATATAAAATAAATATAATAAAATTTAACATAAAATACATTTTGTTCTGCAACTGGTTGTTGATCGTCCTTAGAATTTAATTGAACATCTCCAGGAGATTGTAAATCCTTAGGAGGTTCTTGGCAAGCATTTTTAGAACCATCAGATTTTCGGGATTTTTGCGGTGTCAAATAAAATCCAAGAGAATCAGTTTCTGGATCAGCATTTTGCAAAATTCCAGCATTTAAATCCTCAAAAGCAGCGACGGGAATTCCTTCAGGATTTGAAATTGCTGTGGAAAGAGCTGCACGAGACTTCAACTAATTTTAAAAAAATTAAAAAATAAAACAAATGTATTACAGTTTCAGAAGCCAAAGTATTTGAATTATTTGCTCTAAATGGAGAAAGAGGGCGAGATACTTCTTCCACCAAATTTTGGATTACTGATGGTTCAATAACTATAAAATAAAGAAAAATTAAATGAAACGAAATAAATAAAACCTCTTTTTGGAGGTTGATCAGAAGAACGAAAATGATTTAAAAGCTGTTTGAAATTAAATAGTTAAATATTTAAAAATAAATTACCATAACATAACGACTTTTCATTTGATAATAAAAAGCTTCAAGACTAAAATTTTGTCTTATCAAACGACGTTCTCGTTCTTCCAATGATTGAATAATTCTTTGAAGTTCTTAAAATATTTTTAAAAATATTTATTAAAAGAAATATAAAAATAAACAAACCAATAACTTCATTATTCAAAAAGTTATTTTGATTTTTATATCCTTCAATTAAATCGTGCATTTCATTTAAATCGCTCACAGCCGTTTCTGCCAAAACATTTTTAGTAACATAATCAGTAGGCGTTCCGTAGTCAACGAGTAATGCCTCGGGAACTTCTGCTACAAAAAATATAAATTTACAAAAACAAAAATCATTTTAAAAATAACGTGATATATTTATATGTCCAGTAGATCTATTTCTAATTGAATTCCTTACAGGAGCACCCATAGAATTTTGATCAACTAATCGTAGAATTAATTCTTCTTTAGTACGAACAGATTCTTGATATGCTTCGACTGTTACATTTAGTGAATTATTTTCGAGTTCTAATTTTCTTAAAAGGGTAAAATTAAATAAAATTATAAAAAATAAAACCTGTTATCAGCTTTTAAAGTTTCGATATCTCTTCTAAGTTGTGAAGCTGTAAATTGAATATTTGTGAAAGCTTGTTCTCGCTCCAAAACAAAAGCTAATTTATCCATATCAGACGAAGCATCAACACAATATTGTTGCAAGGCCTGTTTTTCGTTATGTGCAGAAACGACACTCTTTTTCAACGAATTAACCAAGTCTTGGTAAACAACCAAATCGTCAGTTAATTCAAAACATTTATTTCGTAATTGATCAAAAGCTTTGAGAAACTTTAAGAAAATAAATTAACAATAAATATTTAAAATTATAATTACTTCCGCACATTTATCACAATTTTCTCGAGGTTGTGGAAAAGCAAAATTCGACATATTACAATGACTTGATTGCGAATTATTTCTTTAAAAAATGAAATTTCAAAACGAAATGAATTGAATAAACCTCAAAGAATTTCTCGTTCTACGAAATAATTTTGTTGTTAAATCCAATTGATTAGTTTCATCATTAACTTTATTTATTAAATTTTCTATAGATTGAATATTACAAATTGGAGGAGGAATTTCAAGACTACCAGGATGTAATCCACCATTCTCATTCAGATAAAAAACAGATTTTGGTTCTGGCTAAAAAAGTAAGCGATTTTTACAACATAAAAAATTATTACCACATCAATATTTCTATCCAAATTTCGGCTCAATCTATTTAAGCTGGTGGGTGATTTATCTTGTTGATCATTTTTTGAACAAGCAGCACCCTTAAAAATAACTATAATTTAAAGAATACAACAAACAAACTTGAGAATTTTCAGAAATTTTTATTTCAGTTGAATTATCTTTTGAATTTTGTTGATAATACTGTTTTCGATTATATTGCAGAGAACTAAGCCATTCAATCCGTAATTTATTATCAGATGCTTCCAGAATGTAGCATTCATTATCAACACTAAAAAATTTCTTTTTAATTTTACAACTAAAAAATTAACTGAATTTCAAATATTCCAGAGTCTCGAGGATTAAAAGTGAATGCAGCACCAGACAAGACTATTCTTCCAGCACAATTAAAATCACTAGGGCTTTTATACCTTTAAAATTAATAACAAATTAATATTAAAAAAATTAAAAAAATACCAATATAATACAGGCGCTTCTTTTGGAAGAACAAACCAATATTTCTTTTTTGTAAGGCCAACAATTGGTCGTTGCTCATGCTGAGAATTTTTTAAAAGTAAATAAAACAAAATTTAATACTTTGTATAAATATCCATCCATTCTTGATCCTCGTAAGTTTGATTCAGGTTCATTTTCAATATCTAAGAAATTAAAGTCAGAATCTATCATTTTCACCTTCAAAATTTCTCTGAAAATTTTTAGAAAGTAAAATTAAAAAAAAATAGGTAGGTAATTTAAAAAAATTTATCTTGCGATTACCGTTTTTATAAATGACGTTTTGACGGTTGACAATTTATTAAGTTTACATTTTGAATTCATTTCAAAGTGGTTAATTTCACATTGTAAGAACCGTTTGAGTACCAAACAAGAATGCCCAATAGAGTTTTATGGATTTTTAAAATCAATCGACATCCCAGTCAATATCATATGCGGATGCAGGCCCGTAACCAGGGGGGGGGGTGAGGGGGGGAATTCCCCCCCCCCCCCCGAAATGGGAAAAAGGAAAAAATTTGGGGAAGGGCTGGGGCAAAAAAGTGAATTTTTTTGGCCTACGGCCTTCGAAATTTTCAAAATTTTCGCCTGCGGCGCTAAAAAAGGACGAAATCTGGCTTCTTGAGGTCCAAAATTCAAAAAATTTTCGCCTGCGGCGCTGAAAATCAAATTTTTGGCGCCTGCGGCGCCGAAAAAGTGAATTTTTTGGCCTACGGCCTTCTAAAATTAAAAAAATTTTCGCCTGCGGCGCTAAAAATAAAAATTTTTGGCGCCTTCGGCGCCAAAAATTTGGCGCAATAAAATTTCCCCCCCCCCGAAAAAAAATCCTAGTTACGGGCCTGTGCGGATGTACCCAGTTTTATGTCATGATTTTTTACAGATACAGTCTATTACACTTTTTTTTTAATTTTAAATTTTCAGATTTAATAAAACCTATTTTTTAAATTATTTGTCAGCTTAAATGTTATTCTAATGCTTTCTCGTTATTGGCCATTCCCAATTGCCGATATTGAGGCAATTGGTATGTCTCATAATGGTAATCATCACAACTTACTTCTAGATAGTAATGGAACTGATTGTCCAAACGGAACTAAATGGATTTTAAATGTTTTTTTATTATTTATTTAGTTAAATTTTAAATAATTTTTTAAAGGTTTTTGGTGATTGTGTTGACAGTTCGTTAAAGATGTTGGGATTTTCAGTTGGTGTAATTTCACTCTTCCTTTGGCTAGTTCCTCTCTTTCCCCAACTCTATGAAAATTATAAACAAAAAAGATGTGAAGGACTTTCAATATTCTTTTTAATGTTCTGGTAATTTTTTATTAAAATAATTTTCAAAAATTATGAATCAATTTTTAGGCTTATTGGCGATACATGTAATTTACTTGGTGCATTACTTACACATCAACAGCCACTTCAACGTTTATATAATTTTTTTTACTATTTTTTAACTAAAATATTTTAGAATGGATAGGCTTTTATTATATTATACAAGATATGGTTTTGGTTGGACAATTCTTTTATTATACCCGTATATATTCAAATACTATTGGAGGTAATTTAATAAATTCGGCAAATTAAATATTTGTAGAATCAACTCGAACTGATACAGCTGTGATTATTCCAGCTTCAATCCTTGGATTTTTTGGTATTTTCTCTTTTATTGCTGATCGTTCTTATTCTTCGAATTTGCACACGGGCAGAAGGTTTTTCTAATTTAGATTATAATCTAACATTTAAAATTTTATTAGTCTTTCCTCTGAATCTATTCCTCTTGTTACAAGAGGTAATCGTTTGATGTTTCCACCTATATTCGAAGGATATAAGGATGTGGTAAGTCTTCGATGGTGTTCTATGGGTAAAATAAAGATATTTTTAGGCTGGTTATTTAATTGGAACTGTTGCTGCTTTTTGTTATTTTGCTGGTAGAATTCCTCAACTTTTACGTAATTATTATAGAAAATCTTGTGAGGGGCTTTCTTTGGCAATGTTTTACATAATTGTTTTGGCAAATTTTACATATGGGTTTGTGTAGATTTAGAAGTTGTTTATAAATTTATTTTTAAAGCCTTTCTGTTTTGCTTGAAACGACTGGTTGGCGTTATCTTTTACGGCATCTTCCTTGGTTAGCTGGTTCTTTAGGATGTTGTGCTTTTGATGTTATAATGATTGGCCAAATTTATTATTATAATAAGAAGAATTCAGCCACAACAATTACTGATGAAAGAGAAGAACTTCTTCAAGACGAACTTGAAGATTAAATGTCAGAAAATCAGGTAATTTTTTTATCATCAAAACCCATCCAAATCCAACCTCCAAAAATTTTTTAAAATCGTGCTTGCGATAATGTATATTTCCTATCTTTTTCTTCTCGTTTTTTTCTTTTTCTGATTTTTGTATTTTCGTTCTAATTTTTAAAAAATAAATTTTATGATTTAAACCAAAAAAATTTTTTAATTAAAAATTATCTTTCTTTATTTAATTTGTTGTCCACACTGCATCTGAATAAGAATTTCAAATTAGAATAAAATTATAGAATGTCAAAAACTAACCATACATGCCCCATCTTCACGTATTTCACTAATTAAAAAATTATCCAAAAGATTTGCACAACTAATTATTTTAATCGCCTAAAATTTAATTAAAAATTTTTTAAATTAAAATATACTCTGCATTTTGGTCCTTCAATTGTACAAGTACATTTAACACAAGGACTTTTTAGTTTTGTTGAACCTCTAACAACCTGAGAATTTCCAATATTACAAACAGCTTTAAAAAATAAATTAAAATTATTTAAACAATTTTTTATTAAAAAACAAACATCTTTCCGTCCATTTAGTTAAGTCCATTTTTGGAAAATCTCTACAAGGAATTTGTGTATTTCTTCAAAAATATTTTAATTCTTTTTTTTAAATTAAAAAAATAAACTAACGAAAGTTGATCTGGTAGAGAAAAAACATCTGGTTGAATTCTTTTTAACAAAGGAACATTCTATTTAAATTTAAAAATACATTAATTTTATTTTTATTACCTGGCAAAAAATACTGCCAAATTGAATCTTTCTTATTTCTGTTAATTGCTCTAAAAATTTTTTAATTTAGAGATCTCTAAAATCGTAAAAAATACCTAAACTAAAGCGCACTTCTGGAACATCATTCTCATAATAAAAACGATCACAACGTTTTAATCTTTGAAATTGTTCTGAAATAATACAAGCCATTGTTGGTGGCATCTAAAATTTAATTTAAATATTAAAAACCTTCAAAGATATTTACTAAAGCCCCAGGCATTGGCCTTTCAGAAATTAAACCAGGAAATAGATCAATATCTTCATAACTTTCATAAACACTTTGAAGAGCTTCAATTGTTGTTTGGTCCATTTCATTATTTAAATCTGCCCAATTTCGAGCTCTTGTTAGCCCACAAAATTCTCTACATATTTAAATTTTTAATTATTAAAAAATTAATTAAAAAATAACCTAAAAGAATTATATGTTTGAACACCATGATCTCTAGCTCTAAGTATATTTAAAGCAATTAAATCAAATCCAGACAAAGGTAATCCTCGAATTCCAAATAAATGATTTCTAACTGCATCAGTAATATGTCTATCGAAAGCCATCGCCTTTGTTCCAATAAGACCAAGTAAAATACTTTCAAAGCCACCTTTTTTTAATATTTAAATACACTCTGTAACAAAATGATAGCGCCACCTAGTTTCTTATCAATATCTCACCAAATATGATACGGATATGTTTCAAATTTTGTCAGAATATAGGTAATGATATTATGTATTAATATTGAAAAGAAAAAGTTTGTTGCAATTTCTTGAAAAATTTTATAACAATAAATTTGAATTTTTGAGTGTAACAAAAAGATAGCGCCACTTGTATTTTCGAACTTAGGGGTGTTCCGAAAAATTTACAAAAATTCCTGTGAACATATCTATCGATATCTATACTAAACACAAAAGAAACTAAGTTCCTATATAATTCCTTCATTGAGATCTTGAAACCCGAAAATCAACGGAAAACCGAGGTAGAAGTCTTTAAAAAATATTTTCGACCCCTTACAGGTAAAATAAAAATTTAATTTTAGGCTCATTTGAAAGCCCTTGAAATTTGCTACAAGATGGTTTTCATCACTTAATCCAGAAAAAATTACTCTTTGAGAGATAATGAGTTTAGTTTATAAGTTACATTTTCATCACTTTTTGGGGGGCATTTGCTTGATTTTTATGACCTGAAAGTTTATCACATTATGACTTAAAGGTGAATTTTTTTCGAAAAATATATTTGATGCTATCTTGTAGCGAATTTCAAGGGCTTTCAAATGAGCCTAAAATTAAATTTTTATTTTACCTGTAAGGGGTCGAAAATATTTTTTAAAGACTTCTACCTCGGTTTTCCGTTGATTTTCGGGTTTCAAGATCTCAATGAAGGAATTATATAGGAACTTAGTTTCTTTTGTGTTTAGTATAGATATCGATAGATATGTTCACAGGAATTTTTGTAAATTTTTCGGAACACCCCTAAGTTCGAAAATACAAGTGGCGCTATCTTTTTGTTACACTCAAAAATTCAAATTTATTGTTATAAAATTTTTCAAGAAATTGCAACAAACTTTTTCTTTTCAATATTAATACATAATATCATTACCTATATTCTGACAAAATTTGAAACATATCCGTATCATATTTGGTGAGATATTGATAAGAAACTAGGTGGCGCTATCATTTTGTTACAGAGTGTAGTTCTTTAAATAAAATTCAAGAAACCTGCTCTTTCATTATATATTTCTTCCATATTATTAAAATTTTCAACTAAATCTATTGGTAAAGAATAATTTTTATAACGAGGATCTAGACGAGGAAAATATCTTCTAATTAATGTATGTCCAAAACGAAAAGCCTGTAAAAATATTTTTAAAATTAAAAAAATTTTAACCGCTGTTGCAAATGGATGTGAAATAGAAGCATCACAATTTGGATCATAATTTGTATAATAACCAGAACTTTTTGGTAATAAATCATGTTTAATCATCTTTTATAATTTATTTTTATTAGATTTCTTTTTGTTACAAACCTCTTTTTGACCAATAAGTTTTGGTAAATATTCTCTATATTGAAAAGAATTTTTAGAATAATTTTTTACAAAAATTTCAATTCCAAACCTATAAACAATATGTTGAAATATAGCACCAATAATTTTTCGAGTTTCTTGGTAAATTTTTTCATCATTCCAATTTGGATTTATTTCCTTTAAATGAAGTTTATTAGGTTTAAAAATTAAATAAAATATCTTTAAACCTGTAATTGTCTTGCAATACGATTATGTTCTCTTAAAAATATAATATGTAAAGTTGTTAATCCTGGTTGATGTGAGTTTCTTTCATCGCCAGCAATAAAACAAGGAAATAAAGGCTTTTGAGAGAAGCAATTTATTTAAATGTGTTTAAATTAAAAATACCTTTCCCTAAAAATATTTAAATAATTATTTTCAACTAAATTCTCTAACCCTGCAATCTTGTTCTTGATCACCTTGTGGGAGTGCTTCTCTTTGATTTTTTTTTAAATATAAGAATCTAATTTAATTAAAAGAATACGGGTTAAAATGTCCTAAATTTGTTGAATTTAAACGTCCTCCTTCAAATGTCCTTAAAAGAGGTGCTTCACAATGTGTAGAACCATAAATAACAGAAGCATCGATAAATGAAGTTAATTGATTTAATTGATTCCTATATCCTAAAGTCTGAAAAATCATAAGAACAAATTAATTTGAAATATTTTAAAAATACTAATTGTCCAAGTAAGGAACGAGCAAAGGGTAAACAACGAGGTTCTCCATTTTCATCAATTCTTTTAAATTATAAAAATATTTTTAAAAATTATAAAAAAATACTTTGGAAAGAAAGGATCATTGTCAGGAATAGATAAAGGCATACAATGCTCTGAAAGCGTCTTTGGAGAATCACAATGTGTACAGTTTAATATTTCATCATTTGGACCTCTCTCCACAGGTGAATGTGTTAATTCATGATCCAAAATTTGTCCAAATTGCATTACCTTTAAAGAAAATTTGCTATATAAATATTCAAAAGGATTACCATATGTGTAAATTTTTTATGTTCAAAATTTCTGTCAATATGTATAGCATTAGATATTGCTCTAGCAGAAGGTAAAGGTGCTCCACTAACTGCTATAGATCTAGGTATATCAATTTTATCTTCATAAACTGGAGGCATTAAATGTTTTAAGGTATTAAAAGCAGCACCATAATGAGGAAATCGAAGATTATTACACCAACCAGAATAAGTTCTTTTTTAATTTAAAAAAAAATAAAAATATTTTTAAATTAAATATTACCTATATGGACTTGTATGATCACAAGGTAAATCTCTAGGCAAACATTCAGATAAAATACCTTTGTGTTCTATTGAATTAATAAAAGGTTCTATACTTGATAACATTCTTTAAAAATAAAATTTTAAATTTATATTCCAATTTATTTATTTTTTAATTTACGAAGTAATATCCAATTTTGGCAAAAGTTGTTGTAATACTTGTGGATCCATTTCTCTTATAAATGATGAATCGCCCAACTGTGGATCTCTTTAAAATTTTTTTAAAAAGAAATTATTTATTAAAAAACTAACCCTTTTAATAACATTTTAGTTGCCTCCAATAAAACATGACCTCTTCTTCCCATAGAAATTGCTTCTCTTTTTGGTCTCATCTTAAAGATTTTATTTCAAAGAATCATTTTAAATTAAAAAAATAACCATTTGTGCATACGCAAACAGAGAATCATCATTATTCAGTTTATTTTTTTCTAAAAATTAAAAGAAAATTTTCAAATAAAAATTATTTTAACTATAAAAAGAAATATTCCTTGCTTCTCTTCTACGCCTTTCCATTGCTCTCTCAACACCCAATTGAATAGCTCTTTTAACAAGATTTGAAGTAAAAGGCATTTGAATTAATGATTCTTCACCTTTCCATACAATCCAATTTGGACCAGAAATTATCGTTGAATTACATGATATCGGGTAATTACTGTTTAAATGTTTTTTTGAATCAATTTAAAATATTTATATAAACAAACTCAAAACTATCAATTATTTCAAAAGCTCTAGGTTGGATTGCTTCTATTTCTGTATTAGAACAAATTAATTGAGCCAAAGTAGTTTTTTTAAGTTCATTAATTTGTTGTTCATTAAAAGACCAAGGTTGGCCTAAATTATCAACAAAAAGTCTATCTCCATTTTTTGTCTTTTTTAGTAATAAAAATATAAATTTTAAATATTTTAAAAACCTTTAGAAATTGTTTAGTAAGTAAACAACCAAATGTTGGACCTAAAAGTGAACCTTTTGAAGGTTTTTCTGTTAACCCTAAAAGAGAATTATTTTAGAATTAATTAAAATTAAACCTAAAATAAATAAATCAACATCTTGAAGTTTTCTAAAATATTTAGAAATTATTGGTATAATTCTTTTTGGTTCAAAAATAATTTCTTCCAAATCCTTCCATTCATAAATTTTGCTTAATCCACAATATTCTCTCCATAAAGTATATCCAGCAATCCCATGATCTCTACCCATTTGTAAGATAATTGCTGCCAAATCTAACCCATTAGGATTGTTTTGACTAAGAAATTTATCCCTTAATTCTGATGTCATATAAAGGCCAGAAGGAAATGTTGGACGATTTAATAAAAATCTAACAGAGGAATTATCTAAAAATATTTTTTAAACCTCAAAATTCCATCAATTCTTTGACTAAACATTAAAGAACTAGGCTAAAAATAAACGAAAATAAAATATAAAAAATTTAAATTACATCATACATCCATTCACTTAATGGTTTTTCCATTGATGAAATTCCATTAGGTTCCAAATGAGCAAATTTTGATTCAAACATCGTAAAGAAAAACTTTAAAATTTAATTTTAATAAAAATATTAATAAATAAAAATATACCAATCCAACAGTTGTTGCATATTCATTTAACTAAAAAAAATTAAACAGAATTTTTTTTAAAATTCTACTAAACCGTTGTTGGATTTTCACTTAATGTATAACTATTTTCGTCATTAAAAACATCTAATTTAAATTTAATCCAATTTTCTTTCCCAATAATTAAAGGTAACCATTCATTAAATGTAATTATTTGTAATTGTGCAATAATAATTCTTCTACTTTCTTGAAATAGTTGTTCATCGGTCCAATCTTTATTTAATTTCTTTAATAAATAACTTATTTTAAAATTTACATAAATAATTTTACTTACAAATAAATGTGTGGCGATTGAATTATGTTGTCTAAGAAAACTTTAAAAAATATTATTTAGCGTAAAAAGATAAAAGTTTTCTTGCGGATTAATTATCAGAATTACAATTTGTAATTTTCCGGATTAATATCAGAATTACATTTGTACTTTTTCCGGATTAATATCAGAATTACAATTTGTACTTTTTCCGGATTAATATCAGAATTACATTTGTACTTTTTCCGGATTAATATCAGAATTACAATTTGCAATTTTTCTGGATTAATATCAGAATTACATTTTGTACTTTTTCCGGAATAATATCAGAATTACAATTTGTACTTTTCCGGAATAATATCAGAATTACAATTTGTAAATTTTCCGGAATATTTCATAATTACAATTTGTACTTATTCCGGAATAATATCAGAATTACAATTTGTAAATTTTCCGGAATATTTCAGAATTACAATTTGTACTTATTCCGGAATAATATCAGAATTACAATTTGTATTTTTCCGGATAAATTACAGAATTACAATTTGTAAATTTTCCGGAATATTTCAGAATTACAATTTGTACTTTTTCCGGAATAATATCAGAATTACAATTTGTATTTTTTCCGGAATATTTCAGAATTACAATTTGTACTTTTTCCGGATAAATATCAGAATTACAATTTGTACTTTTTCCGGAATAATATCAGAATTACAATTTGTACTTTTCCGGAATAATATCAGAATTACAATTTGTAAATTTTCCGGAATATTTCAGAATTACAATTTGTACTTATTCCGGATAAATATCAGAATTACAATTTGTAAATTTTCCGGAATATTTCAGAATTACAATTTGTACTTATTCCGGAATAATATCAGAATTACAATTTGTATTTTTCCGGATAAATAACAGAATTACAATTTGTAAATTTTCCGGAATATTTCAGAATTACAATTTGTACTTTTTCCGGAATAATATCAGAATTACAATTTGTATTTTTTCCGGAATATTTCAGAATTACAATTTGTAATTTTTCCGGATAAATATCAGAATTACAATTTGTATTTTTTCCGGAATATTTCAGAATTACAATTTGTACTTTTTCCGGATAAATATCAGAATTACAATTTGTACTTTTTCCGGATTAATATCAGAATTACAATTTGCAATTTTTCTGGATTAATATCAGAATTACAATTTGTACTTTTTCCGGAATAATTTCAGAATTACATTTGTACTTTTTCCGGATTAATATCAGAATTACATTTGTACTTTTTCCGGATTAATATCAGAATTACAATTTGCAATTTTTCTGGATTAATATCAGAATTACAATTTGTACTTTTTCCGGAATAATTTCAGAATTACATTTGTACTTTTTCCGGATTAATATCAGAATTACAATTTGTACTTTTTCCGGATAAATATCAGAATTACAATTTGTACTTTTTCCGGATTAATATCAGAATTACATTTGTACTTTTTCCGGATTAATATCAGAATTACATTTGTACTTTTTCCGGATTAATATCAGAATTACAATTTGTACTTTTTCCGGATTAATATCAGAATTACATTTGTACTTTTTCCGGATTAATATCAGAATTACAATTTGCAATTTTTCTGGATTAATATCAGAAATACAATTTGCAATTTTTCCGGATAAATTTCAGAATTACAATTTGTATTTTCGAAATTATTTCAGAATCACAATTTGAAAACATAATTAGTAGGGTGTGTAATTATATGGAAATCCATATTTTTTTCCTGAATTCCTATGAATGTGAAATGCACGAAAAACATGTTTTTGGCTTGTTTTAGGGTTTCTAGAATGGTCTTTAAAATCCATATTTTCCATATTTTTCCATATTTTGGCATTATGCCCATATTTTCCATATTTGTCCATATTTAGCCTTTATTTCCATATTTTATATCAATATTTCTCCTTTTTTGCATATTTTGGTCATATTTGGTCATTTTTTGGTAAATTTTAGTAAGAATTTGCGAAAATTTTCAAAATTTTGGAAATTTTTGGTCGAAAAATTTTTTCAAAAATTTTTCGGAAAAATTTAATTTCAAAAAAATTTAACAGACATTTTAAATCCATAAAATCCTTTATAATGTTCTTAAAATACAAAGTTAAAGTCAAAATTATTGTTTTCTACATAAAATACTGATTTTTAAAATATTTTTTCACTATTTTTTAGTCCATATTTTAAGATTTTATATCCATATTTGGTGGTTATTTCCATATTTATATCCATATTTCAAGATTTTATATCCATATTTTATGGCCATATTTTCCGATTTTATATCCATATAATTACACACCCTAATAATTAGGTATATTATAAATACATACATTGTATTTAAAGCTGTCAACGAAGGCAAAAAGTTTATTTGTACTAAAAATAATTTTAAAAAATTAAAAAATTAACAACCATTTCCACCACCAAAGCAAATACCAAAATTTCCACTGGGACAAAAATAATTATTCCAAATTAATTTTTGACTTTTTCCTCCATTTTTTAACATTTCTAAAGTTGGCGGTAACTCTTTCGAAAGTGAATTTGGACCATTTTCTCTACTCGAAATTAATTTACCTAAATAATTAATATTTTATTTACATAAATTTAAATATACCATTTTTAAAAGAACGTAAAGAATTTGTTTGTTCATCCAAACTTCCATATAAAAAAGAAGCATCCAAAAAACTTGTAGCCTTTATTAAAAAATAAAACGTTAAATATGTAAATTTTTAAGAATATTTAAAACCTGATTTAATTGTTCTCTTAGTCCCAAAGAACAATTTTCAGATCTCGGGGAGGGCAAAGTCCTTGAATAATCAAAACAATTTATCTTTAAACTATTTTTTAAAAATTTATTTTAAAAAATTTTTTACCAATCCTCTAAATTTGGGATCATCAATACTTAAATTAATTGAATAACATTCTGGATGAAATAAATGTTGTTCAATATCAGGTGCCCCTAAACCATTTTCTAGTGCACAACAAGGTATTAAACGATTCTCTTTGAAACATATTTATTATTTTTTAAATTTTCCTTACCTCCATGTTCAGTAATTAATTGTGAACTTCCAATATGTACCAAATCTGTATGTATTAAGGCACTCCAGTGTGCAACAAGTGAATTAGCTGTTGTTGGTGGTGAGTTCAACTTTATTGCTTTAGGTTCTCGAAAAAGTAAATTAGATAATAGACGAACATTTGGTAGTAATATTGAAGAAGAGAATTTTTTAGATGAAGAGGCTGATTTGCGAGGTTCAGAAATACCTTTAAAATGATTATTAAATTATTACTTAAAATAAAAGTAAAATAATAACCATCGGAATAATCAGCTTCCAGTAGACGTTGAAAAGGTGAAAACTAAAATTTAAAAATACCAAAATATTTTAAATTAAAAATTTGATTTTTCGTTTTCCTGGATTTAAAAAGATTTTGAAAATAGAAATTTCTAACTTTACATATAGGCTAACAACAAATGTGGACAGCGACAATTGCAAATCGACAATTGTCACAATTTTTAAATATAAAAATAGTGAGATTTTTATATTTAAAAATTTTTAATTTTATATTACTTACAGTAGAACCAAGTAATGGTTTTTGCGAATTGTTACATCTTCCATCAATTTTTCTGTAGGGGCCAGACATTTCACAATTTTCTTCCTCATTTTCTTCTTTATAGCAATACTTTTGTAAAATATTAATTATTTGCTGATTTTTTGAATACAATACATTAGAGAATTTATTATTTCCTTTTAATATCTTAGTTAATTCTATTGATATATAAGCACTTGTAGCTATTTGTTTCGCTTTCTTTAAAAGTAAAAAAATTTAATAAAAAATATTTAACAAACCGGAAATGAGTATACATGTTCAGACCAAAATTTGCGTGCAGACACTAACGGATCTAATGGTGAATAAAATGAGGAGGATAAAATTAAATTTTCCTCCGTTTGATTAATTAATCTTTGAATCTAAAATAAAAATAAAATTTAAAACAAATTAAAAAAAATTTACTTGATTAATTATTAACTCCAATTCCTGTACATCTTTTGTATTTGTAATAGTAGATGAAGTGATTGTTTTATCTTTTTGTGAAGAATGCCAACCATCATTAAAATTTTTAATAAAATTTTCTGTTTTTACAGTTTTAACAAATAAATTTAAAAATATTAAATTAAATATAAAATTGTACATTTTTTGTTTAGCTTTAAAATAATTATAATATTTATCGGTAGATGAGTAAAATGACTAAAAACTAGAATTCATCTCCAGAAATTATTTTTCTTCGGCGCAATATAAAAAAATTAGAGGAAAATTATAAATAAAAAGAAAGATCCGTAAATAAATTGCCAATTTATATTTTTATTTGCTAAAATATTTAAGGATTGATTAAATATGTATACCCAAAAACTTAAAGTAATATTCTTTTATAAAAATCTTCTTGACCCATTTAAACCTTTTTTAAACAAACAAAGCTTGTTTTTCAATTTTTTGAGTAAAAATAGGTATAATAAGCATCTATTCTATAAATTTTTCATTTATTTCTTTAATCAAATTAAAATGAATGAGAGAATGGTTTCGAATTTTGAAAAAATTAAACTAAATTTTACCAAATTGGACAGATTTAAAAATTTTTTAATATTCTATACATACATCAAATTAAACTCGCCAGTAGGTCAATTTATCTATTTTTGTTTTATTTGCATGAAAAGCACGGAAAAAGTGCTGTTCGAAGAACTGTCTACACAATTTCATCATGTACATATCTACAACAAAATCCCTTCGTGTTATCCTACTTTTATAATTATTGGAGACAGTTCCTCAGAAATACAAGCATTAAGACAATAATGAAAGAGAGGGATATGCAGATTTTCGTCTTATAATTTCACATAAATAGGAAATAAGCGAAGGAGTATAAGTTGAATTTATCTTACTATATGTTTAACCGCTATCATAATCACTTTGGCTATTTTGCTGATAATTAGCACCAACAAAGTCGACATCTTCTAATGCCACCAAAGGGAAATGATCGATAATAGGCATATTTCCATGGAAGCCTTTAATAAATAAACTTTATTTAAAAATTATTTTTAAAATTCATACCATCCCAATCATTATTCGTACTGTCATCCTCGATGCCAATTAGCGAATAAACAATCTACAATTAAAACAAGATTTTAAATCACTTCGAAAATTTCAAAACAAACACTGATTGGCGGATTTTCCTGGATTTTTATCTGCCTAGAAATAGTATAAGTGTCTGGAACGTCCAAATCTGCTGTAGAGCCTTCCATCTGCTTTTGTTCACCCATTTTCACCAATTCATGTTCCATTTTAACTGCCTCCTAAAAAATAATTGATTTAAAGTATAATATAATGAATTTACCATTAAAGTAGATTCAGGAAAGAAAACTCGAAAGGAGATTGTCAAGTCACAGTTAAGGCCCATAGATGAAAGTACACCTCCAGAAATAAATTCTTTAAATGTATTGCTCAACCATTTCGAAAGTACTTTGAAGTCGTCATCTGAAAACTCGCCCTGCAGTTGAAAATGGACATTCATTGCCTTTAAGTTTGGACAACAATCGGCCACATAAAACAGCAGAAGAGTGAACTGATCAAAAGGAAAATCATAGCGTGTAACACTTTCAGAGTAGATTGCATCGATCGTGTAAGAAAGTGTAGCGAAGAGAGTTCGACCAGCAGAAACCCTAAGAAATAATGTATATTAATCTAATATGTATTAATTTAAACAACTTTTGACGATTAAATGAAGAAACGCAATTATGAAATTCCGATGAAATGTCAAGCAGTAGAGTTGTAGCATTCAAATTCAGGATGCGAGTAATATGTTCTAGAAAAAAATTTAAAAAAAAACTAAAAATTCTTTACTAAAAATTGAAGTGTCATCCTGAATCTTTACAAAGTCAAGTTCGAGGCTGCAATGCTCAAAGTCTTCCTTTGGAATTCGAGAAATACTTTCTGGAGAACCTGACAAATAAAAATCTATAATAACCCAAAATAGAATAAAAACCTCTAAAGAAGAAAAGGCGAACAAGTGACTCAGCCTGAGATTCCAAAAATGTATTCTGAACGTCATCAAGGGAATTCGAAGGCTGTGACCCATCTCCTGTGGTACTGCTTTCACGGCCATTGCATTTAAGTCCAAATTTGAAGAAAGAGTCGACAAACTTTGGTTGCAAAATTCCTTTCAAAAACAGAACAAGGAAGAACTGGTCACTAACAACAAAAGGTCCTTGAAAAAACTAAAAACACCAACTATTTTAAATAAATTTTCCCTTAACCTCTTTATTGTTAGCGAGCACGCCTCTAACGCCCTGAATTGGAGTTGGGCAACTGAGTTCAATTTCTGTGAGATTGACACTCAATTTGACCAGCCTTCTGAATTGAATGAAAAAAGCCAAACGACAGATAGGACCAGCGAACTTAAATTACTAGAATATCAAATCTTAACATTAAAAAATAAAACCATGAAGTTGATGACATCTGCATTAGGGTCCCTCAGATCCAAACGAAAATCGTTATCTGGCTAAAAAGTTATATTAAAAAATCTAAAGTAAATTAAGCATACAGAGAAAAGTAGCTTTTCAGCCACACTGAGCAAAACATCAAGATTCAACTCCGGAGCAGTATCAGGTTTAAGAATAGGGTACATGTTATGCCTGTTAAAAATGTATTCAACAAGTTAAAAACAAAGAATCAGATATTAAACAATTAAAAATTGTTAAAAAGAAAAAAATTCAAAAAAAAATACTAAATTGTCAAGTTTAATAAATAAATTAAATAAGACTGTGACAACTTAAAGTGAAAGGATTTGGTTTATTATATATTTAGGAAAAAAGGGCAATTTCAATAATTATCTTCTTATTTTTCAATTCTTCTTCCGCTCCTTATTTGCGAGAGAACTTTCTTTCTTAGCAATCAGATGACTAAAATCAGTTGGCCCTTTCGAAGTCTTCTCTGAAACCACTGCTGAAGCATAACTTTTTGAACGAGTAACAGGGCCATTAGATTTAGGAATATCTTTCAATGTTGATTCATCTCCAGTTGTGTTCATCATAATAGGTGCTGGTGCTTCACGAAGCGTGTCCAAATCAAAGTGACCTAAAATATTAATAAAAATTTTATAGAAAAAATGATAAAAACAAACCTAACAATGAAGCCATAGTGTCGGCTGATGGTGGAATATTAACAATCCTATTCTTCGGTTCAACGTCCCTCTCAATTTTGATCTTTTTCGATGTTGAAGGCTCAGCCGAATGCGGCCGTTCCAAAGACTGAGCTCGATCCTCGTCACTACATTCCGATGAACAATAAGAGCCGTAAACACTTGAAGATGGCGATTCCCCTGCCCATTCATATATTGCAAGTTTCCATAATTTGATCTGGAAATTAATATTTCTTAAAATGGCCATATATACAAAACCTGTTTGTCCCATGATCGTCTACTCCAATTGAGAAATTTGTTAGGTGTTTTAGGATGAACTCCTTTTTTCCTTTCATCCTTTGGAACTTGTTCTATGTAACGCGCATAAGTTGGACGATCCTTCATTTTAATGATTTCCTTTTCACGACGAGCAATTGTCTCTTTCTTCCAGCACCACCCCTGGAAATAATAAATCATGTCAGTCAAAAATAAAAATAAATTTACTTGAGTTGGTTCGGCCCATTCAGCTTTTGGTGTCGGCAAACCTCTCTTCCTACTTGAACGGGGCCCAGAAGTGACAATAGTATTAGAATTCTTTGTTTGGCGTTCAGAAGAGGAATCAGTAGTTTTTAATTCAGTCTTTACTTCAATATCTGGCTTTGACGAGACAATCTCTGGTTCGCCAACAGACTCCTTGCTTTTGGCTAAAGCTGCTTCTCGCCTATTTTCTTCTTCCTCAATGATGTCAACCCAAGATTTGTTTCGGAAATCTTCAGAAAAATTAAAGCTAGCAAAAGGAAAAGAGTTGCTTAAATCCATTCAGTAAAATCAGATTTATTTATTAATTATCCTGAAAAAAGACAATTAATTTTATTAAAAATGATAATGTTTAATGGCTAAAATAATTTTATAATCTAAAAAAATTCTTACTTAGGTTATATAAATTATAAAGTCGCGGGAGGTTAAATTTACATGGATTTAAAATATCTCGAGGAGGATTTGTTCGAAATAGAAGCCGTCTTAAAATCTTGGCTTAAATAATATTTTTTAAACAAGTATTTTCTGCAGACGAAAAATCAGACATTTTGCCAAAAGTGATATTCAAAAAATTTGCTTTTTATCTATAGCTACGCTATTTCTTCTGAAGACAAAAAGGCAATTGAGGAAATGGTCAGTCTGCAAAAAGGTAAGTCAGCGAAAAGGTAAGTTCGCAGTGCCGTAAAATTTTCATACGTTGATTTTATATTTCATACGTTGATTTATATATTTCATACGCTATTTCATACGTTGATTTTAATATTTTTTAAATTTAGTTAGCTTCATGAAATTAATCTATTATTTTATTCTTTTGGAATTGCAAATTTTATGTTCTGCTATTTATTTGGACCAAATTGGCAAATTTGATTGGTTTTATAATTTTTAAACTTGTATATTTTTCATTATTCAGGCAGTCACGCTATTTAGGATGCCCAACTCAAACTTGGTTCGAAAGGATTGGGTCGCATGATATTTTGGCAGTAATAACAAATATGAATGTTCTTGGACGAATTAGCGTCGAAAATGGAGATATTCGTAAAGGAAATCTTTTATAATTTATTTTATAATAAATTCAGTTTGGAGACAGTTGAACGACAAAAAAATTGATGATCTTAGTGTTGATGGTTCATCGCTCATTATAAATGTTGGACAAAAACGTCGCAAATTCCATTTATATACAGGGGCATTTTTGTCGGAGAATGAGGAGAAGAAGACAACTTCAGAATTGAAGCAAAAGTTTAAAGAAAATGGGCTTCTTAAGTCCCACTTTGATTCAGTTACAGGCGAGGTAGAAATTCGAGGCGAAAATGAAGAACATACAAGGTTCAAAATACGTTTGGACAATTCTGGTGCTGATATCAAGGAAATAAAAGTTCTACCACTTTCAGAAGGAAATTATAAGGTTAATTTTTAAACTTTGACAATTTAAAAAATGTTTTATTTTTCTTTTAGATTCTTGTTGAGCATGTTGATTGTTCTCTTGCTTTATACGAATTTTCTCAAACAAATAAATCTCTAGCTCAAATTTGGATTCGCCACGAGTCTTTATCTATGATTAGCGATGTTCTTATGGTTGATTTTCCTCTTTCTGAATCACAAGCACAGATTGAGTCGGAATTTAATCAAAATGGTTAGTATTTAAACTTATTTACTTTTAAACAATTTTTTAGAGTCCGTCTTGCGATCTTTCCTACTTCGAATTCGTAGTCAATTAGAACAACTTCACAGATTTTTTATCAAAACATCAGAAAATATTGCCGAAACAATAGATTTAATATTCAAAGGAGAGCTTGGCATTTCCACTGTTATTAAACAAATTTTTAATCAAGCAGATCGTTCAAAAGATGGTCCGATTGAAAGAGATTATTTTAATATGAGAAAAATGATTGTTGTTAGTACACTTGCAGGTTTGATTTAAAAAAATTTCTTTCAATTTCATTTTAATTTTAAGGAACGTTACATGGATTGGACAGTGGAAATGGACGTTTAATTTGGACTTATTATTTGGGAAATAAATTTGCTGCCTATAAAAAATATAAAGCTCCTTTATTTCTATTAAGAGGTACTTCATTCTATCAATGGGCTAGTCAAGCTGCTGTTGTTTTTAATTCCAAGGTTTTCATTTTTTGATGATAATTTCTTGTTTTATTTTTGCAGGATTCTGCTGATTCTTTTATTTTTATATTCAATCCAATTACTGGAAAATTGGTTGAAAAATTTAAAGTAATTTATTTTGGAAAATATTTTTCTTTTTTGTTCCTTTAGATTTCTGGAGGAATTTTTCGTGTTGAATTATGGCCTTCCGTTAATGCTGAACAACTCCACTCTTTATTAATTTTGCGTAATAATAATCCAAATAAAGCAGAGCTTATACCGTCTATCAAAGACCAAAATTTTGAAAATTCAAAACCCGTTTTTCTTTGTATGATTGATGAAAATTCTGGAATTTTGGTTTAATTTATTTTAAAAGTTTATTTACTTTTTTTAAATTTAGACAGGAAATGAAGTAAATTTAAACAAAAATGGATTGGTTAGTAAACGTTGGCAATCTACTTTGCCTGGTTTTGGCGATTCTGAAAGGGCTAATGATATTATCCAAATCATTAAAGGGAAGGATATCAACGGTTATTTCTAAATTTTCTTTTAAATAAATAAATTTTTTAAGAAAAAGTACATAGTCAAGGTAGAGTTCTTGGTGATCGTTCTGTTCTTTACAAATATTCGAATCCAAATTTAATTGCAATACTTTCTTCAAATCCTGTCGAATCTTTGCTTAGGATTAATTTAATTGATTCTGTTAGTGGTATTTTGGTTTATAGTGGAAAATACGCGAGAGCAAATCCTCCTTTTCATATGGTTCATTGTGAGAATTGGATTGTGGTATTTTTTAAAAATTCAAAAAAATTTTAAACATTTAAATTAGATAAGTTATTGGAATGATAAAGCAAGGAGAACAGAAATTGGTGTTATTGAGTTATTTGAAGGACTTCAACAAGTAAATTCAAGTGCCTTTAATTCGTTATCTGCTAGTGTAAATTCACCCATGGTGCTTGCACAAACTTATATTTTCCCTCAAGGAATAAGTGCAATTTCTACAACACAAACAAGTTTAGTTTAACTTAAATTTTATTAAAATTTTAATTTTTAATATAATTAGTGCAAGGATTAACTTCCAGAAGTATTTTGATTGCTCTTCCATCTGGAGGAATTTTAGAAATGTCTAGGAGATTTTTAGATGCTCGGAGACCCTTGGAAATGTTGCCAGAACATAGAGAGGAGATGCTTATTCCATACATTCCAGAATTACCTTTTGCTACTGAAGATTTTATAAATTATAATCAAACGGCCATGAGAGTTCGAGAAATTAGATCAGCGTTAGTCTACATTTTTTTATTTTTTAATCAATTCCTTTAACATTTTAGACCGTCAGGGCTTGAATCAAGTTCACTTATTTTTGTATTTGGATTAGATCTCTTTTACACCCGTGTTATGCCGAGGTTTTTTTAAATATTAAATTTAGAACAATCATTACTTTTAAGTGGAACATTTGACATTCTGAAGGACGATTTCGATTATGCTTTCATTTTTCTTGTTATGGTATTTTTGACTGTTGCCAGTTATATTTGCAAGAGGATATCTCGACATCAAAGTATTCAAAAAGCCTGGGAATGAATGATCACTCTCGATTCGTTTTTGCAGCTTTATAAATATGTGATTTTTGTCTTTAAAAATTTCGTTTTATAAATTTAGATATTTTTAGATTATTTTACACGTTATTTTTTAGTAAAATGTTTAAAAGTATTCCATCGGGTTTATTTCTATCAAAAAATATAAATTTTCAAAAGACACAAATAAATAAAATCTATTCTGTATTTATACAAACGTATTTCCATTGGGTAAATTCATCAATCCCTTGTCCACCACCTTCTCTTCCTAGCCCTGATTCTTTAACTCCACCAAATGCTGCTTCAGCACAAGAAATCATTCCTGAAAAGGAAATATTTATCAATTTAAAATTTATTTTTTTACCTTCATTAATTCCAATCATTCCAACTTGAATTGCTTTACTAATTCTATTAATTTGCGAATAGTCCTTCGTGAAAACATAACCTGCAAGTCCATTTCTTGTAGCATTAGCTCGTTCAATAACTTCATCTTCAGTCTCAAAACTAACAAAAAATATAAGAAAATATACTTCCATTTCTTACGTTTGTAAAGCAATTATAGGTCCAAAAATCTCAGCATTTGCAATTTCCATTTCGTTATTAACATTTGTTATTATTGTTGGTTTGAAAATATTTGTGTCCGGAATAAGTTCACCTCCAGTCACAAGTTCAGCACCTTTTTCTAATGCATCTTTTAAAAGATTTGAGACCTTAAATTATTTTTAATAAACAGAAAAACCTTCAAAATGAAAAAAACCTTGTCTGCTGCAGCTTTATTTATTAAAGGCCCTTGATCTATATTTTTCTCCATTCCATGTCCACATTTTAATGTTTCAACTTTATTTTTTAATTTGTCAAGAAATTCTTCAAAGATGGGTTCTTCAATAAAGAAGCGATTGGCTGATACACAAGTTTGTCCAGAACAACGGAATTTAGATGCAATTGCACCCTGTAAATTTACAATTAGAAAAGAAATTATTTTAAAAAAATACTTGAACGGCTTGATCCAAATCTGCGGATTTAAACACAATAAAAGGCGCATTCCCTCCCAATTCAAGACAAACTCGCTTAACTGTTGATGCGGATTGACTTAAAAGTATTTTTCCAACAGCCGAACTTCCAGTAAAAGAAATACAATCGACATCATGAGATGAACAAAGAAATTTAGAAATCTCTGCAGTATTTTCTCTGTCTGCTGGAATAACGTTAAAAACACCGCTGGGTATTCCTGCTTGTTGGGAGATCTTTAAAAAAAGAATTTTATAAAAAATATTAATAAATTACCTCAGCTAATGCAAGCGCAGAAAGTGGTGTGTCTTCTGCAGGTTTAACAATTACAGTGCAACCAGCAGCCAAGGCAGCTCCTATTTTACGAGAAATCATTGCACATGGAAAATTCCACTAAAAAAATTTTTAGGAGTATAAAAAAATTTTAAAAATCAACCGGAGTTATAATAGCCACAACACCAACAGGTTCCCGCGTATGTAAATGTTGTCTATTTAATTTAGATGGGGAAACAATTTGACCATAAATTCTACGTGCCTCTCCTGCATACCATTCAAAAAAGGAGGCAGAATATTGAATCTCTGCTTTTGCTTCTGCAAGAGGTTTTCCCTTAATAAAAATATTTAACATTAACATCGTGGATTAAAAAAATACTTGCTCCATTGTTAATAACTCAGCTAATTGTTCCTCTTTAACCTTCATAATTTCAAAACACTTGTGCAAAATTGCGCCTCTCTCTTTAGCAGTAAACTCATTTGTCCATCTAGAGAAAGACTTGCGAGCTGCGGCCACAGCCTTACAAAAAAATCATTTTAATAATTTTAAATTACAGAAATGTTCTAATGGAAGCCCTGGGCGACTATTTTCAATGGTGTCGATTGATTGGGCTTCTATTAGAACATTTAAATTAAAAATTAATCTTACTATTTGTGCATCTTGAGGACCACAATTAGAAACATCAATAATTGTTTCATTTGAATAAGGATCAACAACATCGAATCGGTGGCCATTTGAAGCTTCAATCCATTTACCTAAATACTTGTGATTTTAATAAGTAAAAAATTAAAAAACCATTTATAAAGGCTCGACCGCCACGCGGCAATAATTCTGTTTTGAATCCCCGTTTTGCTATTTGAATAGCATCCATTTGTTTAATAATTCGAAATATCCGATGATTTAAAATCATGAGGCTAAAATTTCATCAAAAATTTTATTATCAATCATTAGTTGGAAAATTGACCTTTCTCATCACTTACCTTTTTGTCGTTTACCCTTTTGTCATTTACCCTTTTAACATGTCTCCCCTATTTAACCTTTTGAAGTTCCTCGTTGAAATGACCAAAAAAATTCTTGGAAAAAATGTTTGTTCTGTCAACGATAAGCCATATTGTAGAAATTGCTCCTAATGTTCTTGGTGAAGATTTTGTGCCAACATTAGTCGGAAAAATAAATAAACAATTTGCTAATTATGTAATTTTTAACTTAGAGACTTAAAAATTGATTCAAAAAATTTTTAGGTAATTCCAGATGTTGGTCTTTGCATAACCTTTTATGATTTTAAAAAGATTGGGGATTCTTTCATTCTCGTAAGCTTTATGAAATTTAATATGAAAAAAAGTTTCTTTAGCCTGGCAATGCTTCTACTCACACTCCAATAATTTTTCGTTATGTTGTTTTCCAACCATTTATTAATGAAATTCTTGAAGGAATTATATCACAATCTAATAGAGATGGATTAACTTTAACTTTACATTTTTTCAATGATATTAAAGTTGCGCCTGATAAACTTCCAGACGTTTCAAAATTGTTTGTTTTTAAAGGAAGGTTTTTTATTTTTATTCTTTTTTAGTGACGAGAAGGTTCAAATATGGTATTGGGAATATCAGAATGACGACACAGTTACTCAATTTTATATGGATCCAGGAAGGCGTGTCAGGTATAAACTCAAAACAATTTTTTCGATTTCCCATTTTTTAGGTTTAAAGTAGTCTCTGTCAAATATCACAGTTTGGAGCCGGGAACTTCAAGCGATTCTACGAGTGCCATGACAATTGAGGTTTGAATATTTTACATTTATTCATTTCTAAAATTTATTTTTTAAGGCTTCTATGCTTGATATGGGACTTGGATGTGTTGATTGGTGGGATCCCGCTGTTTCTGATGAGGTTAAACAAGAAATGAATGAGAATGAAGAACAGATTGAATCATAAAATTGTTTTTATTTTTTGAATTAAAATATTTTATATTGATTTTCCCTTATGAACAGCAGTTTTATGCTTTTAAATATTTTTATTGTCCTTAAGTTGCTTTTCTAATTTTATTTTTAATTCGTTTAGAAGATTTTTAAAGATGACAACCGTTGAGAAGCCTCAAGTAACTGCACAACCTGTTCAAGTTTTTGGCCGAAAAAAGACTGCTACTGCTGTGGCATATGCCAAAAAGGGAAAAGGATTGATCAAGGTTTAAAATTTTATTCATTTTTTGAGCTCATTCATTTCCTACTTTTCAGGTCAATGGCCGTCCTTTAGAATTTTTGCAACCTGAAATTCTTCGTATCAAGCTACAAGAGCCATTGTTGATTGTAGGAAAGGACAAATTTGCTGGAATGGATATTCGCATCCGTGTCAAAGGTGGCGGTCATGTTGCACAAATTTATGCAATTCGACAGTCAATTGCTAAAGTTTTGGTGGCTTATTACCAGAAGAATGTGGATGAGCAAAGTAAGAAAGAATTGAAGGATCAACTTGTTGCTTACGATCGTAATTTGCTTGTTGCCGATCCGAGACGTCACGAGCCGAAGAAGTTTGGAGGACCTGGTGCTCGTGCTCGTTACCAGAAATCTTATCGTTAAGAAGTATGAAAGATATAAAATTGTGTGTTACGAATTAATTGTTATTTTGTTGGGATAAATTTGAATAAAAAGAATTGTTGTTGACTTTTCTATTTTGTACAAAACACAAGTACTAACTTTACACTAACTATAAATTTATCAAAAATGTCGAGATTTTAAAACAAATTTTTATTGTGTTAATAAATTAAAATAAAAATGTTTTACATCAATTGAGACCTGTAATAATTAAAATCCAAAAATCAAACATTTCTTCAAAAATTTCACAAATCTGTGCCAACCGGCGGAACTTGATCACCCTGAGATTGTTGAATTGAATTTTCACCATCTCCATTAATTCCATCCAAATCATTATCTTCATCAATCATCGCTTCGTTTTCATCCTCTATAAATTTCCAATTGAAGTTTTGGAGAAAAATATTTTTAGTCATAACAAACCTGCTACTGTCCCATTGTTAAGGTCTTCGTCCCATTTGATTGGATAAGTTGTTACACGAACGTCTTCAGTGACAACAGTTCTTTGTAACTTGAAAATATTTTTAAAATGTTTAAAGTAAATTAAGAATTACCTTTTCAATTATAGGACGAGGAGGTGGGTTTTCGATCAATTCAGCGACAATATAAGTATGCGTGATGAACCAACCTAAAAATTAAATTAATTTCTTAATTCATTAATTTTCGTTTTTTGAGCGCTAGAAAACTTCTCTTTCGCCGTAGGAATAGAAAAAGTCCGTAAAAAGCCCGCAAAGAAAAATATTTTTATTTTTGACTAACCAATCTTCATAAAAAGCTGATCACGATATTTACATTTCAGCAACAAAAGTGTAACATCCATAAAATCCTCTGGACGGAGATTTTGTAATTGAGGCGCAGGAGCCTACAAAAATAATTTAAATCTTTAAATAAATTAAAATCAACAAACTTCAAAGTCGAATTTATGTCGTCCTTCACGTACTTGTCCAATAACTACAGAATCGAGTACTTGGTCGTGTTCTTCTTTTCCATCAGTTGCAACAAAAACCAACTCCCATTCAACCTCTTAAATAAATTTAAAATAAAAATTAAAATATTGGGAAAAAAACCTTCTTTAATATTCTCGAATAATTCAAAAGTTATTTCCAATTTAAATGGATCTGTTGGTTTTGAAGGATTGTCTAAAATACGAACACCAACTACATTGACACGCGAACACATTTTAAAATATTTTTTGTATCTAAAATAGAAATTATTAAAAATTAGTGCAGGTACAGGCTAAAGCTTGTTTAGGATTTGTAAAGTAATTCATGGCGCGCAAAAGCGCCAGATATTCGGCGCAGTAAGGTTCGGCGTGACAAGCTGATTTTGGGAGTTAGAATTTTAAATGCTATGATAACTCATTTGAAAAGAGCTGGGTGTGCAACCAAAATCAGCTTGATTGGACGACTTCGAACAAAATTATGATGGGTTACGCCGAACCGTGCCGCGCCGAAAATTTTTCTTTCGCGCGCACTTTTGTAGTGCTTCTAACTTTAGCACCATGATGGGCGCTCACGATGGTATGGGATGTTTGGGTGCCCAATTGTAAAATTTTTTTTTAATTTTAAATTTTTTTTTTAATTTTTAAAATTTTTTTTAATTTTTAAGTGCTTTGTGTTTGTTTGGTCATACCAAAAAATAAGAAAAATCTATTCTGGATAAACTTGTTGATTTATTTATTAATATTTATTTGTTTATTTACTCGACTGAGAGGTTATATTGACTTCAATGTTTGTCTTTTTTAGGATCATCCAAACTTTCTATTGTTATTTTTATGTGAGAGTGAAAGGTCTAATAACTCCATATTCAATTATAATGTGATATTCTTTTATTGAAAGTTGAGGATCTCTCTCAAAATGACTTCTATAGAAGAATGCAAAAATTGTTAACATTTATTTGTCAAAGTTCATTCAAAAACAAGATAATATTTGATTAATATTATTTAAAAAATATTTTTTATAATGTATTTACAGTAATTCTTTATTAGCCATCTTTCCTTTTTATTAATTCAAAGCTTTAAACGTCTTCGTGTGGGAAATTTTATAAAGAGAGTAATGACGTTAATTAAACAATATATTTTCTTTATTTTATTCAAGCATTTCTTGGAGAAAATAGAAAATTTTATTAAGGCATCTGTTTAAATTTTCTATCATTTCTTTTTATTTCATCTGCCAGCTTTTCAAGTTTTTATGATTGGTCGGACAAAATAATTGTTTTAACGTGTTTCCAAGACGACCAATTTAAAATAATAAAAATCTTCAGGGATGGGTGTTTTAGGTAATGCAATAAAGTTGGTGGCCCTGTTTTAGTTATGAGATGATTATGAGAAAGTCATCCAATAAATAAATGTGAAAAAAAGAGGAAGCAATGTTTTATAAAAGAGGAGGTATACTGTCCCTACCCTCCTCTTTTTTTTTAAACCCCTCTTTTTTCATTCTCGTCTTCCTTTATTCTCGTCTCCCCCTTTCTTCATCATCATCATTCCAATTTCTTAACAACATGGAGAGAAGGAGAGTAATGTATTTATTGAGGAAAAGGGCATAAACCTTTAAATAAAAAATTATATATTTTTTTGCCTTTCCCCTCCCCTAAATACCTTTTTTAAATGTGTTCTAATAAATATTTTATTTTTTGCTTGCTCATCGGTTGTGGCCAAATCAGTTTAGTTTGGCTGGAGATGAATTTTTTGGTTTGTTTGGCTGTAGCTCTTCTTTCACCGCTTCTTTCTTCTTCTTTAGGCATTTTTTGAAAGGATGCCTCATTCTTTATAATTTGGTTTAGTGTTTTAGTTAAATCATTAGAATGCAAATTAGGCAATGAAGATGTGTGCCAAAAAGAATGGGGGGAGGGCATAAAGGGAAGTAAAAAAAAGTTGGGGAAGAGGTTCAACCAACAAAAATATTTTAAACAAGTGACAACCATCGGCTGCATTTTTGACATAAAAATAATTGTTTCAAGCGAAATTCACCTGCCTCCCATCAATCTCTTCTCCCTCAATTCCTTTTTTAAGCTTTTAATATTGCACATCCTCAAAACCATTAATAAATAAATAAGAGAATTGTTGGCACATCCTTCAAAGTATAAAAATATCCCAAAATTTTTAAGATTCTTTTTAACATTTTCTTTTTTCTTCTCTAATAAAAAACCTTTTTTAAAGCTTTTAACGCCTTGAAGTGTGAAAATCAAAAATATGCATGACTAGGCGCTCTTCTAGTATTTTTGCTTCGTCATTTAAACACACACAACATCTTCAAATTCATTGAATTCTTAAAAATACTGTATTTTTATTTAAACACTCCTCCCATTTTTCTTCAAATTTTAACTTTATTTAATATTTTTATTTCAAAAAATCTTTCCAAAAATAATTTTTTGAATCTTCTTAATTAATAAAAACCACCCCACCATCTCTTTTTTCTCTTCATTCTTTTTTCGGGAATGCCTTGCATTTTTGATTGCCATAGTCTACTAAAATATTAGAAATACTAGTAAATCTACACTTCCCATCCCCCTCCTTATTTTCCCTCAATAATACTTATAATACTCCAATAACAACAAAAATATAAAAACCTTTTTCTCCTTATTTTTTAACCAGTCAATTTGGCCTTCTAGAGAAGATTATCTCTTTTCTTATAAAATTGCCATATTGAGGACATAAGTGAGGTTAAAAAATAAAAGCAGGTGTTCGACTAATAAATTTGTTAGATCGCGGCTTATTGAACAACTTAAAAATTAATTTAAATATTTAATTGGTATATAGGGGGAAATTGAATAAGACGGTGTCCACAAATGAGAATTATGTACAGGTAAAACATTGAGAAAATTCCATTGCTCGATTGGAAAATATAGTGTTGTCGAGTTGTTCATATCCGAATATTTTCTAAGATCAATACTCCACAAGATTAAGATTGGAAAAAATCCAAGATGTCTTGAGTCGAGACTCAACTTCTCTGCTATAAGATGTTCTGTCTTTTTCCCAATTGTCTTTGGTCCTTATATCCTTTGGCCAAACGTAATTAAATTTAGTAAAATTTCATTATCTCTAATATTTTTAAATTCAAGTTCAATCCTGAGTCTTTTCGAGATTTTAAAATTTATTTTTAATTTTCAGATTTATTTTAGCTTCTTTTCTTTCTTTGTTTCTCCTTTGTCTCTTCTCCGTACCGTAATAAATTTTAGAGCTAGAAAAGCATTGAATGGCCGCAAAAAGAGTGGAAATCTTTTTTTAATTTTTTAAATTTATTTTAACTTTTTTTTTTATTTTAGAATTTAAAAAATGTCTTCAATTTTAAATCAAAACGAGGAAAATACAAAAAACGTTAATTCATCAATAAATCAAGAAAATGCTTTATTTGGAAAGGAATGCGAGCAACAAGAGGTATTAAATTTAATTTTTGAATTAAAATTGTGAGTAGAAAAGAAGCTTTCCCCCCAGATGTCCCATTAACAAAAATTTTTTCTTAAATTCAAAAAATAAACCTCCAAATGTTGTTTTTTTAAATAAGGCAAATAATTAATTGTATATTTATTTTGAGGAATATAAATTCAAGAAAGGAGCATTTCCTTCTCTATTATATTCCCCTCCTTAACAACACAATAAACAACACTAATGGACTGACTTTTATTATTATATTCACCTTTCCCCCAAAAAATTTTTTCGTTTCTTCTTCCTTAGTTTTGGGCCGTCTTTTCAATTTTTCGTCCATTTCCTCTTTTTTGCTCTTCAATTTTCTTTTCTCTCAATCCTTTTTAGGCCAATATTTGCTTTAGGCTCTCCACTTGGCCTTTCTTAGGAAATAAACTCACCTTTGGCAGAAAGAAGAGGAAAAGGGAGAGGAATTCCGATCCGTAAGGCCCCCATCTAATTGGAATTGGCCAACAGCCGGTCTACAACCAATTATCTCTTTTTTTGTATTGTTTACCGAGAATATAGGAGGAGTAGGAGGAGGAGGAATAAGAAAATAGGAAGCAACAAATTGCCGTCGGCATTCAACCTTTTTGAGGCCCTTTTTTCAATTATTTCCAAAAGATGCGTCCAACCGCGATGATGATGTGGTGGTTCTACTACTAAATATTCTCTTTTTAAAAATATTTTAAAAAAGATTCTTTTTTGGTTTACTCTCCCGGATGCTTCCAACCAATAATCATTCAACAAAACAATTATCTTCTTCTTTTAAAAGAAAATATATTTTAGCTTGTCTCTTGTAGAACTTCTGCCCTAAAGATTTATTTTCCAGCCGAAAATATATTTTGGTGTATATTTGAAACAAAAATAAACCTATTTATTTGTTTTATTTGAAAAAATATAAAATTAACACCTTTATACCTATGTTGGATAAATTTGCTAGAAAAAATTTTTGAAATGGGACAAGGGAAGCAGGGGGGTCGGTCAGAAATGACCCACGAAAAATTAAAATTTGGGGGATTAATACTAACTAAATTTTCAGATAAAAATTTAAATTGAAAAAAATTATTTTTAAGGAAACTAATCAAAACCAAAGCAATTATATTGATAATCCTCAAGAACAACAACAACAACTTACTGAAAAAGAACGAATGATGATGACAGGTGAGAACAGTAATATGGAACGAACGGAAATATTTGGGGAACTAAAAGGAAGAGAAAGGTAAATAAAAAATGATTTTTTATTTTCTAGAATTGGCACTTTCTTATAAGGATTGGGGAAATGTTATTTGTAATATTAGGTGTTAGAAATGAAATTTTTTTGATTGAGATGGAAGAAATAACACAAAATATAAGGTGTGTATTTACTCTTCTTTTCCTTATTTTTTAACAACAAAAGCCCTTAAGTGTTTGATATTTTTATCCAAAAAATTATATATTTACACATATCTCGATATTGCCGATTAAATTTCTTAGTCACGCCTTTGAAAAAAGTTTTTGACTCTCAAAACTGTGTCCATCCAACATTCATTCTAGAAAATCTTTGAAAAATCCTTAAATTCATTTTTTGGCTTTTAGAAGCGAATATATGTATAGAAGGGAACGAGCCAACATAAAAAATAAATTCACGATTTCGGGGAATCCAGGATCCCGACACATAAAGACGTCGGTAAGTCTCGATTTTCGGGAATCGAGACTGCTCGTTCCCTGAAGTATTGTTAATCTCATTGGATTTATTTATAGTAAATAGCTACACTGAAATGCCTAGGACCTACAAATCTTCTCTTATAGTTTTTATTTAATCCTCTCAAAAAATTCCTGCACCCCAAAAAACTAACACCTTTTCAATACCTTTTTTTAAAAACTTTTATTTTATTTGGCTCTAAAAATTCTTCTTAAACAATAAAACTCTTCCAACAAGTGCTTCCAAATATCCTTTTCTTTTTTCCCCATTCTTCTCCAGAATTTTTATATATATCGCGCATTATTGCCTGACCTCTCTTCTTTATTTGTCTCCTTCGCCTATTTTTGGATTCAAAATATTCATTTTGCTTTTGTAAGGTCAGGATGGACACAAAAGATTTTTTAATAAAAAATGTAAAGGATTTTCTATTTTTATTTGTGTTTATCTCACAAAAATTGTAACAAATCCTTGTTAATTTACAATCATTTAAGACCGTTATTTTGTGTCCTTTTCCAGGTCTTACCTTTCTCAAAAAATTGTCTTTCGACTTAATATATTTTTAAGCTAGAAAAATTTTTCTTAAAAAAATTTCTTTTTATTTTCCTTATACGGAAAGATATATTTTTCAATTATTTTTTTTCTAAATTTCTATTCACCTCGCACTTTCATTTTCTTCCATTTTTCATTCAACGCCGAAAATGGGACGAGCGGCACAATTTTCACTTTTCTTCTTCATTTTTCCATTCACTTTTTCCTAAGCCCTCCAGTCATTCTTTTATTCCTTTGTTTTCATCCGCTGCTGACCCAGATTGCGCCATCCGCGTGGAGAAGTAAAAAAGGAGGAGAGTGAATGAATGCCTGCAGATTTAAAGAAACGTAATGATCGTGCAATTACTTTAAAAAAAAGAAAAGATTTTTTTTCTTAAAAATTAAAAAGTGAAGGGGGAGTGGAGAGGGGAGAGAAATCCTCTCTCGATCATTTTCTTTAAAAAAGAAGTGAAAGCTAAAAAAGGAAAAATTTACATCCTGTCCTCCTTTGCCCTTTTAATGATCTAACTTTTATGAAAAGATTGGTGAAAACAAAATCTTTTATTTTTTATTTGGGTTCATCCGTATAATTGCTCTTCATCCGGAACTGGCAATGCGCGAAAAAGGATAAAGAAAAGTGGGGGAATAAATGAATAGAAATTTAAAAAAATGTGCAAGAAAGTGAAAAGGGTTTTCTTCATCTCTCCTTTTTAAAAATTAAGTTCATTCACAAAAAAATTTCCAAAAATCCAAAAAATATTTTTTTTTATTTTTTAAGCAGTCCATCATTAATATCAACAACAACAAATTCACGTTCATTAGAATCCCTTTCACGTCAATTACTTAAACGCCGTTATTATTATCGTTCTTCAATAAATACAGAACAACAACAACCAAAAACCTCAACAGATTCAGAACAAAAAAGAAAGGATGGCCGTCATCGACGTCGAAAACAAAGCCAACCAAAACCTAGACCTCGTATTAATTCTTTAGATTTGTTAGAAGAAGATAAACAAAAAGAATTAAAACATCAAATAAAAAGTGAAAGTGATAAAGAAGATGATGAAATTTTGAATTTAAATAGAAGGTATTTTTTAATAAAATTTAATAGGGAAAATATTAGAGTTCAACACCGGGCCTGGGTTTTTCTTGTTTTAGTCCGGAAATCGGGTATTTTGCTGAAATCCGGGTTTTAGGGTTTTTAGGCCCGGAAACCTCTGCGCGGGTCAGTTCAGGTAAAACCCACTGGGAACAGGCCTGGGAATTTGAAAATGTCTAACTCTAAAAATTAAATTAAGTTAGGGCACAATTATTCTCCTTATTTAAATTATTTCTTATAGGCAATCATCATCCACTAATCCCCATCAACACCGTCAAAGACGTGCATCACTTTGTGGTCTTCCCTCCTCAACTATTGGACATCGCTGTTTACTTTGTTCTAAAAAATTTTCTTCCGCCGGGTTATTTTAAATTTAAAAAATTTTCTAAAAATATTTTTTCCTTTAAAAAAAACAATTTTTAGAGGCTTAAAACAACACGGAAGTTCTGTCCATCATTCACCCAGTTCATTACATCCTCAAAAACCTTTTCGTTGTAATTACTGCCCCAGAGCATATACTCAACATTCAAATCTTTGTAGACATAAAAAAATACATTCTGAACGTTTAACAACAGAAATATCAATGAAGGCTTTTAATTCTTCTTCCAATTCTTCTTCAAATGCTAATTTAAATTTATTTAAACCTTTATTGCATTTAAACAATAATTTACAATTAATTCAACAGCAACAACAAAATATTGAAATGCAGGATAATAATAAGGTTCTTTTGATTAATTTTTGTTTAGAAATACAGGCGGACCTCACTATAAGATACCCCCAAAATTAGAAAACTTCTATTTAAAAGAAGCTCTTTAAAATGTGTTTGGTTATTGGATACGGGAGGGGGACCTAAACGATTCCCTCTATTTAATTTTAATATACACCTCAGTAAAAGGTCCGAATTTTTTAGCCCCAAAGGTATACCTTATAGTGAGACTGTTTATAATTTAAAAAATCTTCATTTTTAAAGCTGTTCGTTCCCTCATCTACAACACCAACAAATCCTTTAATTATTATGAATAGTCCATTTTCCTTAAATAATTCTTTATCTAATCAATTATCTGCAACACCATTTTCTTCTTCTTCCTCTTCTTCAAACTCTTCATTAGCATCTTCATTATTTCTTAAACAAATTCAACAACAACAATCAACTCATTCTTCAAATAATTTATTTTTAACACCAAAATCAACAACAACACAAATATTTCCTTCTCCAAATTTTTGGCAAAATAATAATCAAAATAATTCTTCTTCTCTTTTCCCTTCATCAAATAATTTTTGTTATTTATTACCAAGACATCCATCTACTACATCATTAACACATTCTTCTTCCTTTTTGGCTATGGCAGCTGCTGCTGCTATGGCTAGAAATTTAAATTCAGGTAATTTTTTTGAGAAGGGTTTTTTAAATATTTTTTTAAAGTTAATAATCCTTCATTTAAATTAAACAATGGAATAAATATTGAAAATGAAAATTTGTTTACATCTTCTAATCTTTTTAATAACAACGACTCTATTCGAAAAACTAAATTGACAAATTCTGATGGGGAAAGTTCACCAGATCCAAGCTCTACAACTGAAGAATGTGGATCTTCTGGTTTATCTCATTTGGACATGTAAGCCTTTACTTTTTTAAGAAAATTAAAAAATAATTTCCACAAGCGGACTCGAACCCAAGACCTCAAGATTATGGGTTCTCAAGTCCGCTTAGGGGGTCATGGGTTCGAGCCCGCTTGGGGGAAATTATTTTTTAATTTTCTCCTTTTTTAAGAAAAAGAGTTAATAATATTTCCTGTAACATATATTCTCTTTTTTATTTAAATAGAGAACATCGGCAATCCTCATCACCAAATTCTTCTTTAAACACTTCTGGAAGGAATAAATTAATTATATCATCATCATCTCCACTTTCTGATTTATCAATTTCAACAATTCCTGAAGGACAACAAAAGAAGCATGAAAAGGAAGAAAAATACGAATTAGGGCAACAACAACAAACAATTATAGATCAACCAACATTAGCTTCTTTATATTCTGCTAGTGCTTTTCTTGGATTATTTCAAAGAGGGGGAGTTGGAGGAGGAGGTTGTATAAATAATATTCCTGTTACACAACAATTTGTAAGTTTAATTTTATTTATTTTTTTTGTAAGTTATTTTTATCCTAGAAAAATCGTATACCAATACTTTTGTCTTTTTAATAAAAAATTATTTCCCTATGCGGACTCGAACCCACGACCTCAAGGTTTCAAGACTTGAATCATAACCTTGAGGTCGTGGGTTCGAGTTCGCTTGGGGAAAATATTTTTTTAATTTTCTTAAAAGGCAAAAATCTCCTATTTTGAGCTAAATAGGTTATTTTTAAAGGAAAATTTAAAAAAATTTTTTAAGTCAGCATTATCAAATCAATGGCAATCAACAACAACAAATATTAATGATAATAATTCTCCATCTGTTATTAAACTGGGACAAAAACAGCAAAAGGAAACAAAGAACAATATAAATGAATTATTAAAAATTAATCAAAAAATACCAAAAAGAAAATTAGAAGGAATTGGGAAAATTAATCAAAGAAAAGGCATTAGAAAAAGTAGAGAAGGCAAAACTAATGGAACAAGAATTACTGGACAAACAATTAAAGAGCGTTATCAATGCAGATTTTGTCAAAAAGTATTTCCACGATCAGCTAATTTAACTAGACATTTGAGAACACATACTGGAGAACAACCATATAAGGTAAGAAACAAAAATTGGAGAACTGATGTTTAAATCTTCTTGTTAAACGTTCATGTTCAGGTGGCTCAGTCGGTAGAGCCCTTGTACGGGGTGGCGGGATGATGTAAGGGGTCACAGGTTCGATTCCTTTTGGGTTCCTTTTTTCTCTCTTGACTTCTACTTTACGCCTTAATAATCCTTCTTGTTTGCCTACCCCATTGAAATTATTTTTTAATTTTTTTTTTTTAAATTTATTCTATACAAATTCTTTATAGTGCCAACATTGCGAACGTTCTTTCTCAATAAGTTCAAATTTACAACGTCATGTACGTAATATACACAACAAAGAAAAACCTTTTCGGTTCGTTATTTAAATTATATTTTTAATTTAATTTAATTTTCACTAGTTAGATGTTCACATTGTGACCGTTGCTTTGGGCAACAAACAAATTTGGACAGACATTTAAAAAATGCTAAAGGACATCACGAACAAACTGAAAAAATGCCTGCAGATTCGACAACTAGTAGTGGACAAATTTTATTAAGCAGAAAAAATTCTTTTTCTTCAAACAATTCTTCCACCCCACCAATAATTCAATCGGCAAAAAATAATAAAAAAATAAAAGGAAACAACAATAGTATGTTTAGCAGTATTTCTAATTTTTTCTCTTCCCAGACAGAAATTAATAATAATTAAAATAATTAAAAAAGAATTTTCAGAAAAAAATATTTTATTTAATTTCCCTATTATATTTGTAATATATTTTAAAAATTGTTCATCCATCTAATATTTTCCTCTAACATTTATTTTACTCATTTTACCCAAAAATTTTAATATTTTTAAACCCAAAATATTTTCGATTCGTTTTGTGACAACAAAATTTTATTAATATAAATTACAATTTTATATTATTCTTCAATATATTGTATAAATATGTTTTTAATTAATATACAAATATATTGTCCAATAAATTCTCCCCTCCATATAATGAGCCTCGAAAAATCTCGAAGAATTCGATTTTCGAAAAAAAGTGTGAGAGAAGTTTATGGCACATTTTTTACAATAAATTAATTTTTAAATAAATATAGGTATTTGTCTTTTCAAAATTAAAATAAAAATTAATTAAGAATACCAAAATCATTTAAAGTAAACTTCTTTAATGGTTTATTTGTTTTATCCAATAAAAGAGAAACTTCCTTCAATATATTTTCGTGAACATTTTCTATTGAAAGTGAAGCATCAATTCTCTTTAAAAATTAAAAAATAGATAAATTAAAATTAAAAAAACCTTCCAAGAATTTTTGTCAAAAAGCATTTCCATTTTTTCATAAACAATTTGTTGAAATTCGCTTTAAAAATTTTAATTTAGTTAAATTACTAGGATTTTTCTAGACATAAGGAGGAGGTCCGGAAAACTTTCGAGGTGGTAGTGGCATGGAATGGATAGGGCAGGCCCGTAACCAGGGGGGGGGTGAGGGGGGGAATTCCCCCCCCCCCGAAATGGGAAAAAGGAAAAAATTTGGGGAAGGGCTGGGGCAAAAAAGTGAATTTTTTTGGCCTACGGCCTTCGAAATTTTCAAAATTTTCGCCTGCGGCGCTAAAAAAGGACGAAATCTGGCTTCTTGAGGTCCAAAATTCAAAAAATTTTCGCCTGCGGCGCTGAAAATCAAATTTTTGGCGCCTGCGGCGCCGAAAAAGTGAATTTTTTTGGCCTACGGCCTTCTAAAATTAAAAAAATTTTCGCCTGCGGCGCTGAAAATAAAAATTTTTGGCGCCTTCGGCGCCAAAAATTTGGCGCAAGCAAATTTCCCCCCCTCGAAAAAAAATCCTAGTTACGGGCCTGGGATAGGGCATTTTCAAAAATCTCAAATTTCTCAACTTTATCCTAGGGAGCACACCACTTAATTATTTTACCTTCTTTCCATTATTTCCTCTCCAAATCCTCCGCGTTTGCTTGTATTTTCAGGAGAGACATCAAAAAATAAAACCAAATCGGGACGAATTAAACCAACTTCCGGCTGACAAGCCCAACATTTATTAATTCCTTTAGCCATAGAATAAGCAATTCCAGAATAACTATAACTACAAAAAATAATTTTTTAAAAATCTTCTTAATTTAAATATTTACCGATCAACAATTAAATTCCTTCCGGAAAGCAATTCTTCCCTCATTTTTGAATTTAAAAGCCATCGATTTGCAGAAAATAAAAGATGTATAGCTTCAGAATTCTCATTTAAATTTTTTGCATTTTTGAGGAATTTATTGATAGCAGGTCCCGTAGTTGGTTCTTCTCTGTCTATTAATAATAATGGTTAAAAATTATTTAAAGAAAAAAAACCTGGAAAGCGTTGAATTCTAGCATCAATACCCAAACTTTTAAAATGTTCTAACAGGAGACGTGCTTGAGTTGTTTTTCCACTTCTATCAAGCCCTTCCAAAACAATTAATAAACCTCTTGATGTGAGAGTATTTTGCGAACTTCCCATAGCTATATTTATATATTTTGTTAAAAACTAATAAAAAAATATTAAAAATAATTTTAAATAATTATTTAAAAACAAAATTAAAAACATTTAAATATTCCTCATTTTATCTAACAAACAAATCATTTCTCCTTTAAAGGAAGTCAAAAAAACGAGAAAAACAAAATTCAACTATTTTAATGAAAAGAAAAAAAACTTGCTTTTACTTTTCTTTATAATATTCATCTAAATATACTCATCTTTCTTTAATTCCTGTTTAATCTACCAATGATATAATGCCTCCTTTGTATGATCAAAATCATTTAATATAAGTCCTCTATAAAAAAATAAAATTTTAAAAAGGGGTTAACGAAGTCTAAAAAACCTGATAACAAAGAACATCAACATTATAAGAAAATAATAGCGAGCAAAAAACTCAACTGGATTCGGAAAATAAGCACCACTAAAATAATCACGGCGATACAGATAAATTAAACGACAGAATTCCGCCCAACTTAAAAAATAGATATAAAAATGTTTGAAAAATGGCAATCATCTAGTTTACTAGTCCCTAGAAAAAATGCGGAAGAATTGATCTGTCGATATTTTGAGGTTTTCCAGTAGGCAATTGAGTGTGCCGAGAGACCCGAATTCGACAAGGTAGAACCTGGGTCATGGAAAGTGTTGGAACACATTAATTATTGGAACACCTACTGGAAAACATCAAAAATATCGAAGGAGCACTTCCTCCTCATTTTTTTTCTAGGGACTAGTAAATTAATAATTACTGAAAGAATTACATGGCTGAAGGCGAATAATCACGACGTCCAAACCAAGCACGCAGATCACGCAGTTTTACTTCAGAGAAAGGAATATCCTCTAAAAAATTATCTTGTTAATTTAAAGATAAAAGGAATAACAAACGATTTTTCCCATAATAACGCCAATGACAATAAATTCCATGAACACGAGGATTCCAATCCTTTGAATAAAGTCCAATTTCTGTCTTGTTAAACACATTATTGTAAAAGTAGACTCCTTGGCGCTCCATAAAACGTCCAAAAGCCTTGTTAAAACTAAAGAAAAAATTGTTTTTTTTAGAATTAAAATAACAAAAACATACGTATTATAAAACCAAGGCATTGGAAAATCCCGAGGATTTTTAGGTTTTTCGAATAAATATGGCTTTGGTGGCATCTCCTTACGAAACCAATCCACGACACGATCCAGACGAGCTTTACCTCTGATTTGAGACATTTTGCAAACTAAATTATTTATCTATTTTTTATATATTTCTTTTGCCATTTAAAAATATTTGTTTCAGGATTCAAAAATCTGCGATATTTGGCATAATGCAAAACATTAAGAGTAAATGACACTTCATCCAAAAATCAATAATCGATTTTTGATGTGTCATTTAGTGTTCTCTGTTGTCCATTTATAGCAAAAGTGTTCTACAACTTGGAGCGTAGCTTTTTCTTTTTTGGGGATTAACCTTTTTAGAGGGGTGGGGGGGTAGTAATGACTTGCGGACAAGACTTGCTTTTTTTCAATTTTTGAAAAATGTATCCAATTTTTTTCAGTTCTTCAGCAGCAGCAACAACAAAAGTCCCACATATGGGCACAAAAGGGTACCCACAAAAGCCCCGGAGTCTCTTCGGAGATATTTGGGCAAAAGCCCCGGAGTCTCTTCGGAGATATTTGGGCAAAAGCCCCGGAGTCTCTTCGGAGATATTTGGGCAAAAGCCCCGGAGTCTCTTCGGAGATATTTGGGCAAAAGCCCCGGAGTCTCTTCGGAGATATTTGGGCAAAAGCCCCGGAGTCTCTTCGGAGATATTTGGGCAAAAGCCCCGGAGTCTCTTCGGAGATATTTGGGCAAAAGCCCCGGAGTCTTTCGGAGATATTTGGGCAAAAGCCCCGGAGTCTCTTCGGAGATATTTGGGCAAAAGCCCCGGAGTCTCTTCGGAGATATTTGGGCAAAAGCCCCGGAGTCTCTTCGGAGATATTTGGGCAAAAGCCCCGGAGTCTCTTCGGAGATATTTGGGCAAAAGCCCCGGAGTCTCTTCGGAGATATTTGGGCAAAAGCCCCGGAGTCTCTTCGGAGATATTTGGGCAAAAGCCCCGGAGTCTCTTCGGAGATATTTGGGCGATGGCTTCACTCCAACAGTGCAACGATTAAACTCCAATGCTCTCGTCTACATGGTTTGTTTTTTACTTTATTAAATTCGCAAGTTTTGTCCGCAAAGTTTCCCCCATAAATAAGTTTATCCGTTCCCAATGTTAAAGCCAATTAAATGGTGGCCAAGTTATTGTCAAACGAGAAGACATACATCAAATGTTCCATTGGTTAGATGCATTGATTTGCTTGTTTTGAATGGTTGATCTTTTGTTAGGTTGTTTTTATCTTCAAAATTTTTTTTATTTACTTAATTTTCAGCTTTGAGAGAGTGTCCTGAAGCTGTTAAAATTTTGCAGAGGTTATTTTTAATCATTACTTTGGTTTCAAGATTATGTTTTAGGCCGGTGAATTGTTGCGGGAAGACCGTCTGTTTGATGAGTATGCTTTGGAAGAACAAGAAGCGGCAGAAAAAATGACTGAAGAACTCCAATCTTTCGTTAGAATTCAGCAAATTAGGTTTGGAAATTAATTATGGTTATTTGGTTTCCACAATTTTTTCCCGTTATCAATGTCTAAATCTCCGTTCAGTTGCTTCCCTTGAGTATCGTGACCTGTAGGGTGTTTTATTGGCTTGCGAATTGTTATCCTTTCCCAATGTTAAAGCCAATTAAACGGTGGCCAAGTTCTTGAAATGAGAAGACGTACAGTATATGTTCAATTGGTTAAATGTAATGATTTGCTTGTTTTGAATGGTTGATCTTTTGATAGGTTGTTTTTATGTTTAAAGGTTTTTTAATTACTTAATTTTCAGCTTTTAGAGAGTATCCAGAAGATGTTAAAACTTTGAAAGAGGTTATTTTTGGTTATTTACTATGGATTCAAGATTATTTTTTAGGACACAGAATTGTTGGGGGAAGACAATCTATTTGATGAGAAGGCTTTAGAAGAACTCGAATCAGCAGAAAAATGACTGAAGAACTGCAATCTTTCGTTAGAATTCAGCAAATTAGGTTTGAAAATTAATTTGATTATTTGGGTTCCATAATTTTTCGTTTGTCTTTCCAAGTTTTTTCTCTTTTTAGAACTTAATAATTTAAAAAATCCCCTTTATCGATATTTAAATTTCCAGCCTCTCTATTAACATTATTAATCTTTTCCATTATATCCTTTTGTCTGCGTTGCCGTTCACGTATTTTGTCATATTCTTTTTTATATTTATGAAGAACTGTAGGCGGGTAACTTCCATAGAGAGAACGGGCTGTTGAAACTATTCGATTGCAATTAATCTCTGCCGGGACCTAAAATTTTTAAATATTTTTAAAAGACGACGGAAGAACGCACTCATTGGTTGGGCGTTCCTGGCGGAGACAGTCAAGCAGTGGCAGTTTTTGGTTGTGAATGTTTGGAAGGGAAGGAAAGTGTGATTGAGATAATGGTAATTTATTTTTTTTAGTTAGGAGGTTTTTTGGGTGGATTTCTGAATGATTTTGGGATTTAGAATTATTGATACAATTGAATGTATCTGTTTTTTCTTTTCGTTGTCCCAATATCGTCGGAGCATCCTCTAAACTCCTCGGGAGCATACTCGTATTCCCCCAAAGAACATTTGACTTTTTGTTCCATCTGTAACAGATTGTTTTCTTTGAACTTTGTATGGCACCTCCATATACTTTAGCTAAAAGTGGGGTGGAAAATTTGTGTAATCCCCCCAAATCTACCCATTGCATCAAAAATTTAGGGAAATATTGAGCTTGAAATGGGGTCTTAATTCACGTAAAATCCTTTTTTCTTTCAGACTTGAACAATTCCCAGCAACAACATAAACAGGAAAAACAACAACAAGATGGACATTTAATGGATTTCAAGCGAAGTGGTGCTTCTACAACAATCTAATTTGAATTTTTTGTTTCTTTTTTTGTTTTTTTTTTCTTTTTTTTTGTTTTTAATTTGTTGGGTTTTTATTTTTGTGTATAAAATGCTTTAGCTTTGTTTTTATTGTGTTTTGTAGAAACTTAGATTGATTCCCTGTTGTTTAGAGAGATTATAAAGGAGAAATAGTGTAGTTAGAGAAAAAAATAAATATAAGTAATAATGGCCGGTTCGGTGCTCATTTTGAGAGCGGAATGGGGAAAGTTGAAAACCCGAATTTGGTGAAAATTAGCAATTCCTTCAAATAAATTATCGATTACTATTGATTTTATATATTATTTTGGAAAGAATAAATATTTTAAAAAATAATTATCGATTTTATCGATTAATATCGATTTTTTGAAAATTTAACTTTTTAAAAGTATTTTGAAAATACGTATCGATTTTATCGATTGGTATTGATTTTATCGATTGATATCGATTTTTTGAAATTAAAAATATCTAAGAACTATTCTTAAAAATAATTATCGATTGATATCGATTAGTATCGATTTTTTAAAAAATAAAAATTTTTTAAGAATTACCCTCTTCGCACTCAAATGCCGCACCCAACCGTCTTATTTAATTTCTTTAATTTTAAGTAGCCAGACTCAAGTGTCCAATACTCAACAGAATTAATTTTTGGGATAAACTGTCATTTATTTGGCGCAATAGATATTACGCCAAATTTTGGCAAATTTTTAAATTGAATAAAATTTCAAATTTTCCACAAAATGAATTTTATTTTTGTAAATTTTTTTGGGATTAAACCAAACAATTTTTTGGTTGTTTATTAAGACTTTGAAGAATAAAATAATATAAACTAAAAAACCATAAAGTATTTATCGTGATTTAAAAAAACTGGAAATTTTACAAAATGACAAAATTAAAATTATCAACTGAAATATGCTCTAGGATTACTCAATCTTCGTAAATGTGTTGTTGCTTTTGTTCCTGAAGTTGTTGAAGAACCGAGAAGTGAAGTATTTGAAGAATTATTAGAAGATGATGAAGTAACGAAAGAAGGCAATATTGTTGCTAATGAACTTCTTTTACCACGAGGAAAATGCATTGAAGCGATATTCCGATACTGACTTAAAAAACAGAATATATTTGTTACAAAGTTGATTCTGATTTATTAATTCTGATTTTTAAAATAATTCTGATTTTTTATTCTGATTTTTAAATTCTGAAAATTGGGTTTCCCTTTCAGGTACAGTAACCTTTTCGCTCTAAACTGTGGCACTGAGACGACCGCATTTAATTATGTTCTCTAACAACTTTTTTTTCTATTTTATTTTGTTGTCTAACACACTATTTCTTTCTTTTTTGTTCTCTAGCTTTGTAGTTGTCATTTCTTTTAATCGGGGTGGGGGACGTTTGAGTATCGACAACGGAATAGCGTTTTATGGCCATAACTTTTTGTTACATTAATATAGGAAAGAAATTTATATATTATTCGAAAGGTCTCGAGATGCCGCATCTTTTTTATAATTAGACTAATCCGATCTAAACGTCTATATTTAAAGTTATAGGTGATATACCATATTTCAGGCAGAAAAAAGCAATTTTATGGCTGTAACTTCTTTTTGAATGTTAAGATTAGATAGGTCCAGTTATAAAAAAGGCTCAGAATCTTGAGAGCGTTCGAATGATATGAGAATTATTTGAATAGGGCGGAAATACATGTAGAAATACAGTAGCTATCCCGCTCTCAGATTTGGCACTCAACCGACCCTACATTTCTCTAACCCTAATTCTATTTTCTTTTTCTCTAAATTAAGGGACAAAATGTCATTTATAAAAATTTTACATCTCTAAACCTCCACTTACTCCATCATATTTTTTCTCTACCTGCTACATCACATCTTACTTAAAAAAGAGAGAAGGTAGATTGCCGACGGTTGAGTCCAGGCGCCAAGGCACTTAATTGATCATCAAATTAATCGCTTATACACTCAAAATGGAGTAAAATTGAGCTTCGTTTTCTCAAACAATTAGCATATTCACGTCAGACCTTGAAATTCGAAAAAAACGGGCCAGATGAGGTTACAAAAACATCCAAAAAATGTAATTATTTTCTCCAGAGGATACAAACCCTACAAATACCAAGTAATGGCCCAAGGTATGGCTCAACCCGCGAGACTCAATATCAATTATCCTCAACCCCAAAACCTGATAACGTTTGACAATTTTTAAATTCTTATTTGTAAACTCAAACAAAGAAACAAAAAATCGTTAATCTATTTATACAAAATTTTTACCATCGGCTAAAATTTAGAAAAATTATTCTTAATAAAAAAATTTAATAAAAAACCAGTAAAAGGAACAGAAAAAAGCAATTGCTCGTCAACATCGCTGTGAACAAAATCTTTTCTAAAAAATTAAAAATTTTATTCCAAAAATTTTAAATTAAAAAAGGAAAAGGAACCCCCTCTCTCTACCCCATGGTTACGGCCCTGAACCTCTGCCTATTTTTGCTGCGGTCGGCATCCCTGGCTTCCTCCGCAGCAGCAAAAACCTCCACGATGACCACAAGAAAAGAGCTGAAACAAACGATCTTACAATTAGTCAAACTTGTTAGATCGAGTTGATTTTGGTGTCATTCGACTCACATCATCTAGTCAAGCTTTTCGAATGAAAAAGAAAAAAGCAACAAAACCTCTATAGTTACTTCCCAAGGGAAGCAACCGAATGGAGATTTGAACATCGATAACGGAGATTTTTTTAAATTAATGTTTTAAAAAGGGACAAAACTTGAAAAGACAAACGAAAAATTATGGAAACCAAATAATCAAACCAACCAATTAAATTTCAAACCTAATTTGCTGAATTCTAACGAAAGATTGTAGTTCTTCAGTGACTTTTTCTGCTGATTCGAGTTCTTCTAAAGCCTTCTCATCAAATAGATTGTCTTCCCCCAACAATTCTGTGCCCTAAAAAATAATCTTGAATCCATAGTAAATAACCAAAAATAACCTCTCTAAAAGTTTTAATAGCTTCTGGATACTCTCTCAAAGCTGAAAATTAAGTAATTAAAAAACCTTTAAAAATAAAAACAACCTATCAAAAGATCAACCATTCAAAACAAGCAAATCATTACATTTAACCAATTGAACATATGCTGTACGTCTTCTCATTTCAAGAACTTGGCCACCGTTTAATTGGCTTTAACATTGGGAAAGGATAAACTTATATAGGAAAACCTTGCGGACAAAACTTGCGAATTAATAAAGTAAAAAAGCTAACCATGTAGACGAGAGCATTGGAGGTTAATCGTTGTGAAGTCATTGCCCATATACCGCCGAAGCGATACATTGGGACTTTTGCCCATATACCGCCGAAGCGATACATTGGGACTTTTGCCCATATACCGCCGAAGCGATACATTGGGACTTTTGCCCATATACCGCCGAAGCGATACATTGGGACTTTTGCCCATATACCGCCGAAGCGATACATTGGGACTTTTGCCCATATACCGCCGAAGCGATACATTGGGACTTTTGCCCATATACCGCCGAAGCGATACATTGGGACTTTCGCCCATATACCGCCGAAGCGATACATTGGGACTTTTGCCCATATACCGCCGAAGCGATACATTGGGACTTTTGCCCATATACCGCCGAAGCGATACATTGGGACTTTTGCCCATATACCGCCGAAGCGATACATTGGGACTTTTGCCCATATACCGCCGAAGCGATACATTGGGACTTTTGCCCATATACCGCCGAAGCGATACATTGGGACTTTCGCCCATATACCGCCGAAGCGATACATTGGGACTTTTGCCCATATACCGCCGAAGCGATACATTGGGACTTTTGCCCATATACCGCCGAAGCGATACATTGGGACTTTTGCCCATATTTCGCCGAAGCTAACATGGGGCTTTTGTTGTTGCTGCTGCTGAAGTTGTTGCTGCTGCTGTTGTTGTTGCTGCTGTTGTTGCTGCTGCTGCTAAAAATTGGATACGTTTTTCAAAAATTGAAAAAAGCAAGTCTTGTCCGCAAGTCATTACTCCTCCCCACCCTTCAAAAAGTTAATCCCAAAAAAGGAAACACCAAGCTCCAAGTTGTAGAACATCTTTGCTAAGCACAGAGAACATTAGATGTGTCATCAAAAATCGATTATTGATTTTTGGGATGAAGTGTCATTTATTCTTAATGTTTTTCATTATGCCAAATAGGGCAAATTTTTGAATCCTGAAACAAATATTCTTAAATGGCAAAAGAAATACATACATATAACAGTTTTTAAACCGCTTTATGCATTTCTAATTTTAAATTGGAAATTTGTTCTATAATGTCAAAAAAATAGAGTAAGTTTTCAGTCTGTTTATCCACGCCTCACACACTTATTTTTTGGTTTTTGTGAATTTTTCAGTAACATTGTTTTGTTTTCAGATATTTTTTTGAAAATGACATCACAAAAAATTGTTGAAAAAGCTTCTTTTGACAAAGCTTACAACTTCTATCGCAACAAAAATGATCAAGCAGCAATTGGTGTGCTTCGAAAATTGAATCAAGATGAGCCACGAGTTATGGAACTTAAGGCACAAATTGCCTATAGAATGAAGGACTTTGAAGAAGCAATGAATTTATTAAGGTTATTTTTTAGAAAATAATTTTTAGAATTTTAATTAATTTAGAAAATTATTGCGAACACATAGTGACGAATTTGACGAAATCCGCCGATCAAATTTTATAGCAGTCCAAGCCCGTCTTCATTCCCAAGGAAATACTCAAGAAGTAGATCTTGTTAGTCTGGATAAATTTAATTTGATGTTCAATGCAAGTTGCCATTTAATTGCAAGTGGAAAATTAACAGAGGCACATGAATTGCTTTGCAAGGCTTTAGGTTTTGTTTAAAAATTAAATCTAAAAATTAAATTTTTCTAGAAGAGTGTAAACACTCTTTAGCTAAAGAGGGACTTGATGAACTTGCTATTAAAAGAGAAGAAGCTCCTATTAGAACGCAAATTGCTTATGTTCTGAAGGAAATGGGGAATGACAAGGAAGCATTAAAAATTTATCTACAAGTCTTGAAAACAAAGTAAAAATGTTTTTTTTAATATTTTAAGAAGTAATGGGAAGCTTAAGAATAACTCTTGAATATGACAATTTATATGTCGTTCGACTTTTTGACCCCCTTCCAGGCCCGTAACCAGGGGGGGGGGTGAGGGGGGGAATTCCCCCCCCCCCGAAATGGGAAAAAGGAAAAAATTTGGGGAAGGGCTGGGGCAAAAAAGTGAATTTTTTTGGCCTACGGCCTTCGAAATTTTCAAAATTTTCGCCTGCGGCGCTAAAAAAGGACGAAATCTGGCTTCTTGAGGTCCAAAATTCAAAAAATTTTCGCCTGCGGCGCTGAAAATCAAATTTTTGGCGCCTGCGGCGCCGAAAAAGTGAATTTTTTGGCCTACGGCCTTCTAAAATTAAAAAAATTTTCGCCTGCGGCGCTAAAAATAAAAATTTTTGGCGCCTTCGGCGCCAAAAATTTGGCGCAATAAAATTTCCCCCCCCCGAAAAAAAATCCTAGTTACGGGCCTGCCCCCTTCCAAAATCAGCTTGCTTTCTCCTATGGTTTTTGGGGTTTCACGGGTCTGATATCGGGAGATCCACTCACCGAGCTCTTTTGTATGACATATAAAGTATTTTTAAATCTCACCGAATTAATTTTTTTTAGAAATTTGGAATGGAAATTAAGATCAACAATTTTGACTAACTTACAGGCTGGTTATGAAAAGTTTGGGAAGCGTTGGAGAGCTATAAAGCCAAAGTCTGAACTCGCGAAAGAACAAAAGGTAAACTAATTAGAAATTATAAAAAATAAATTTAAATTTAAAGGTTAAAAAGTCACTCCGAAAACGAAAACGGCGGCTGCCAGCAAATTACGACCCTGCAGTTCAACCAGATCCTGAACGTTGGCTACCTCGACAGGAACGTACGGCATATCGTAAGAAAATGCATAAAAAATTCAAGGATCGGGAAATTGGAAAGGGGACACAAGGAGCTGCTGCTGCAACTACTTCGGCTAATATGTAAATTTTTTAATTGATTAATTGAACTAAAAATTTTGACAAAAATTTGGATAAGTGAAACTTTAAAATATTTATATTTTCAGTGATTACAGCACGAAATCTGCTACAGTTGGGACTGCTCCTGCACCAACATCATCATCACAAGCACCACAAAAACCTGCAGAAGGACCTCGACAACAAAGACCAAACCAAGCCAAAAAGATAAAGAAAAAGAAGGGGGGAAAATGGTAAATGCATATAAATTATTAGCTAAATTGTGTTTTTTGTTTAATAAATAAAATTTTGTTTAAAATATTTAATAATTTTATTTTAAGATAAAACTATTTTATATATGTCTATATTTATATATAGGTATTTTTGAGTAAATATTTAAAAAAAAACTAATCTTTTGACTAAAAAATTGGAAATCCATTTTTAGTATAAAAATATACAACAGCTATAGCAGCTACACCTCCAAACACAGCAAAAGGTCTAGCAAATTCATACACGTTAAGACGTAGAGAACTTCCCCTTCTTTCGAGCAACATTTGCATATTCTAATAAAATATTTTTTATAAAAAAATTAATCAAAAAAACCTCTCTATTAACATTATCAATCTTTTCCATTATATCCTTTTGTCTGCGTTGCCGTTCACGTATTTTGTCATATTCTTTTTTATATTCATGAAGAACTGTTGGAGGGTAACTTCCATAGAGAGAACGGGCTGTTGAAACTATTCGATTGCAATTAATCTCTGCTGGGACCTAAAATTTTTAAACATTTCTAAAAAAATTTAAAAAATACATGATTTAATAATTTGTGCATTAATGGCATTTCTTTTTCACAATTTAATATTTCTTCTCTTCTCTCACAAATTAAAGCTGCACTAACATATATAGGCATAAGATAATCAGAACATAAGAAAAAGTCAAAGAAGAGAGTCACCTTTAGTAAAAGAAATTTTTTAGGTAAGAAATAATTTCAAAAAAAACCTGAGAATGATGTTGTAAAGCATGTGAAAACCAAGTCACTTAATTTAAAAAAATAAAATTTTATTAATAAAAAGTCTGGCATTTCTAGCTACACACGAGGAGAAAAAGTTGGGGTACATGTGTGCAAAAATAAATTCTCCACTTTTTGGGGATTGGGTTTCTAGACCTCAAATCTAATCCTTATTGTTAACATTTTATGACTCCTTTTCTACATTATTAACAAAAAATAAATTCCTTACATGGCCAACTAAGAGCAAATAAAGTACCCAACTCCAAACCACGCAGTTGTTCTTCAACTTCTCTGTCATGCAAAAATAAAAGAACATAAATATCATCCAATTCTTTTAAAACACTTTCTTCCAACGAACAAGATAAATAATTGCCAAAAGACCCGCGCTGACAAATAGATTGCACTGCTTTAAAAGCCTCATCAGGATCCAATATAAGCAAAAAAGTTAAACAAACATCATGAAAGCCTTTAAAAATAGAATTAAAAATAGTAGGAGACAGGTAAAGGTTTAGCTTAGGGCAAACACCGATCCAGCGACTTCCACGCAGTTATTGCTTATATAAGTGCCTTCACTCACAAGTAGAAGTGAACGAAAACGTTTAGCGAAAGCTGAATGGAATTTCTCCATATTTTTTACTGATCCTAAAACTCGTCCCACACGGAAAATGGGGATCAGAAGGAATTAAAATGGCACAATAACGTTCAAAACCCCTCAAAAATGAATTCGATTAACCTTGATAATAATGAAAATCCTCATTTTGGTATAATATTCGAACAATTAAAGGTGTCAACTGTTGTTGAAGCCTTTCCCTTTCAACATCCTCAATGTCAGGCGGAAACCGCGAAAGCGTTCTTATTACATCCAATTCAACTTGTTTCCAGTCTGGATGTGATTGAAGTTCTTCTATTGGAATTTCTAGAGGCTTTAATAAATTAATTAATTTTATAAATTTAAGAAATAAAATAAACTTGTGAACTAGAAGCAACACAATTGTCGAGAGTAATATCGTCATCTTCTTCTGATGAGTCGGAAAATGTAGATAGAGCAGATTCAAAGTCTGAGTCAGATATGTTAGAAGTATTTGCCTTATCACTATTGTTGTTACACTTAAATTCGACGATTTCAAAGTGTTCGCGAGATGTTGAATTGCAGCGTTTAGCTAAAGGAATACTTTTAGCTAATACAGGCCAAATCCTAAAAATAACCAAATTTATTTCGTTATTTAGAATAAATTGACTAATGAAAGAATTTTAAAAAACCTTTACTTTTTCCTAAAATCATCAGATATTAATCCTCCAGATGAAACAGCAAATCCACAAAAATGTTGAAGGTGGACATCCAAACAATTGCCGGTTTCCATTAAAACATCGGAAATTTTTGAGCATTTCTTCGCCAAAGAGAGGGATAAAGCATTAGAAATTGGTGTTAACAAGGTAGTTTGATCTTCATTAGACGACATTATCACAGAAAATACGAACAAACCAAAAATTGAAAATGATTCTTATTTAAAAATGCCTGGCACTCAAACGGCTTACTTGATGTTTATAAAACGGCGAAATAGCGTTGTAAAAGAAAAAGAGCAAATAAAAATAAATCATGGTAGACATCAGAAGAAATTCGAGTACAACTTGTAAGGGGTACGGCCCACTTAGTCGCGGGCCACTTAGTCGCGACCACTTAGTCGCGACCACTTAGTCGCCGGCCACTTAGTCGCAGGCCCACTTAGTCGCAGGCCACTTCGTCGCGAAGGTACTTTTTTCCAGGTCGCTTAAAACTTAAATCAAAGGTAATATCGAGGGATTTGGATGTGATATCGAGGGATTAAATAGTGTAAAGCAGATATAGGGATTGAATATCTGGGGATTTGGCTTTCCAAAACTTGGATTGGCTTTCCAAACTTGGATTGGCTTTCCAAAACTCACTTGGCCTTCCTAAATTCACAAAATTTTGCCTGCGGCGCTAAAGAGGAATGAGGAATATTTTCGAAACTTTGCATGGATTAATGGGATTTGGAGTGAGATCTGTCGGGATCAGAGCTGCGTCGAAACAAAAAAAATTATCGAAAACCGGAACTCGAAAATCAAAAGAAATCCAAAAATATCGAAACCGAATATCGAAATTTTATGAAAAAATTCGAAAATCGGAAATTCCGGTTCCGGGATACGGAACTCAAATTGGATCCGGTTCCGATTCCGGTCAAAATATCGGTTCCGGTGCAACACTGCTTTTTAGCTAGTTCGCGACTAAGTGGCCTGCGACTAAGTGGGCCTGCGACTAAGTGGCCGGCGACTAAGTGGTCGCGACTAAGTGGTCGCGACTAAGTGGCCTGCGACTAAGTGTCCGTGTCCCACTTGTAAGAAAGCTGTTTGAGTGCCAAGCAAGAGATGATTTTAGGGAATTTTAAAAGCCAATTATTTGTACTTTGATATTTTTTAAAGTGTGCTTTTTCAGCAATGGCTTTAAAATTATCTTTATTTTACGACATAAAATCTCCAAATTCTTGGATCTTCTTTAAGGTAATTTTTTGTTGAATTTAATTTTATATTTTATTTTTAAAGGTTTTAAGGCAGAAAATACCAGAATGGAGGAAATATCGACAAATAACAATTGAATATTTTCCTGTTAATTGTACTTTTTTGCATAGAGAGATATGTAGGTTTGTTTATTTTTTATTTGTCCATATTTGGTTTTGCTGGTTTTTAATGTGCCAATCCTTTTCACACTTACAATTAGTCGGTGTTTCCTATTTGGCGACACCTCAGTTCACCGACATGTAGGAAGATCAGCGAAAAATGTGTGGGAGGAATGGGATTTTGCTTGACTACAGGTCCATAATTCGGCGGGTGTCAAGCCATTAGAAAATTATCCTAAACTTTTTTGAAAACCTCAATCTCTGGTTTGTGTCAGTGAATGACGTAGACTATTTCCTTTTCAAATTTTTGTAAATAATAACATATTCACAGATGGAACAGATTTGTTGTGTGATATTGTCAACAAAAAGAATTATGCAATTAATGAATTAAATCAAATTTGCGATTTTTACAATTTGGAAAAAACAAATTTTGAAATTGTTTGTTTTTATTTAATTTTTAAAATTAAAAAAAAAATTAGACAGATTTAATGATTCATAGAAGTTCTCGTGCTTTGTATCTATTTTTAAATTTGATGAGACAAAATCATCCAGAATATTATCAAAATCTGGTAGAAAAATTATTTGAAGATTTTTGGGTGAAATTACTTTCGTTTACACACACAGCACATTTTTTTAAGGTTTTTCAAAAATATCATTTAAAAATATTTTTAAATTTTTTTTAGATTGGCCGTGAAATTGGAATTCCTTTTGGAGAGCTAGACAAAACTATAATGCATATTGATGATAGAGATAATCATAGAGATATGATCTCAAGAGAATTGCATTTATTGCTGGAAGAAAGGGTATTTATTTTAAATTTATTAATTTCGGGATCCGAACAGTTTCCCTGATACCTATTATATATTTCCCCACAAGAATATTTTCCTCTCTTTAACCCATGGGGCTGCCTCCCAAAAATTTTTCTCGAGGTTTTTCCCCTATCTGGCAACTGAGAAAAGAAAGCAGAGCCATCGCTCAGGTAGTTCATGTCAGTCAATAGAGATTCTGATACAAGAAAGTGAGCGAGCACAGAAATAACTGCCGCGGGGTCGCGGGTTTTTCTCCTACCCGTTGGCTTTTGCTGATTTTTATTCCCTCCCTTAGTTGCTCGCCTTTTAAAATATGATTTAAATAAATTTATTTTTAAAGATAACATCAATTCCTTGGTTACGAATTGATTCAATTCCAAATAATCAAAAATTGTTTGGATTTACAAATATTTTGAGACTTGAACTTTTGGATGAATTAATTAAAACTCCATTTTATAACCCTTTAAATTATTCAACAGAAGAAATTATTTATAAAAAAGATGAGGAAGAAAAAACAGTTTTGGAGCAGTGGCTGGATCGAAATAGATTAAAAAGGGCGATGAAATTTGTTGAAAAAGTTTAAATAAATTTTTTGAATTTATTTTAGAGATAAATAAAAGTATTTTTAAAAATTAAATTTTATTTTTTATAGAAAAATTTTTTTGAAATTATAAATATTTAAATATTTTTTAAATATAAAAAATTTATTTTTTTTAAATTATTTAAGGGTTTAAAATTAGTTAAAAATGCTTTTTCGCCTGAAATTGGTCTCAAAATGTCCTACAGGTTTTTAAATTTATTTTCTAAACACTACTTGTGATTAAATTTTTAATTTATTTCGGTTTTCCTTTTTTGGGTCTTGTGGGTATTCGTACGTGACAAATTATTTTACATAAAACTTGGAGCAGGAGTATGCCGAAACTTTTAAACGAAAAGTGAAAATCCGGCGAAAAACGACGAGCGAAACACACTCCTGGGTCTGAAACTAATTGCTAAATTTGTCTGAAAAAATATTTTCTAGTGTATTTTTTTACATTTTAACTCAAGCTAAAAAATATCTTATCAAATTCAAATTTTAATTTTTTTTAGTTCTCGTCACTCGTTTAATTTCTGATGCTCCATTAACTGTTAGAGGATCAAGCGAGCCATTAAAGAAAATTTATAAAGATGCAAATCTCCAAAAAGAATTTGAAAAATACGAAATGATGGATCCTGTCGACATTAACGAACTTTCTAGAGTACACCAAGGAATTGCTCGACAACTTGATAAAGTCAATGAAGTTAGGGTCAAAGAAATGTTTATTCGAATTTATCGAGGAATGAAAGTTTGCACTTTTTGGGTACTTGTTGTTTTGGCAATTTATTTCTATGGATGTTATGCACTTGGACAAGAAACATTTTTGGAAGAAATTGATGAAGAAATTGCTATTGAAAGGGGTGAATTAATGGTGGATGATAGTGGAAAGACAATACCTACAAACTAAATTTTGTTTTTTATTTAGAAAATATTTTTTTGTTATATAAATTACAGGTTTTTTTTTTTAATATCTTGGGGTTTAGGAGAGTATTTTTAATATGTTAGTTACGGGGTTTAGAGACATGGCGGGGGAGAAGAAATGTCTCACCAAGGACATCTTATCTTTATTCAGACGACCAAATTTCCTTTGACTTTTTCTGGACGAATTCACCTTTTAAGTGACTGAGGAAGGATGTGAGGAAGGGATGTTTTCTATTGGGAAGGATGAACAGCCTGAGGATGTTCTCTCTTGCTAGAAGACCCTCTTGACATTATATTTTTAATATTTATATTAAACTAACAAGAATTGAGTTCATTAAATAAAATTTAATTAGAAAATTTTCCGCCTATTTGTCAAGTTTTGAGATTCTTTTTTCCAAAAATGGCCGAGAATCTTCTACAACAAGTTGTCGTCTAGTTAAATCTGGTGTTGTATCTCTTCTCCGATTTTTTGAATTTTTAGGCTTTTGTTTTTCAACATTTGTAGATGATCCATTTTTACGTTTACGAGTAAGAAAATTAGTTGTTTTGATTGGACTAGTAACAGACCCCACAGCCATTGTCATTATTGTATTTCCACAAAATTGTTCCCAAGCATACCGGTCTAGTTGAGGTAAAGGACGATTATTAGTAGTTAATTTAGAAGAAGAAGAAATTATTGTTGGGGGTGGAGGAAGTGAAAGTCTGCTGGCTGATGAAATTTTTGGGGAAATTGTATGCCTAAGTGCTGAACTTGCTGACAATTTTGTGTTTAAATGAGAATGAAGAGCTGGGCCAAATACTGAGGATGGATGTTTTTCATTTAGTAATTTATTAGCCATTCTTTCGCCCAATATCTTGAGAAGAGAAAAAATTTTTATTTTTAAACTTATGAGTCACACCCCTCATTTTTTATTTTTTCCTCAATTTCCGAGAAAAGGAACAATAGGGATGAATTCATTACCACTACCCCTCTACCTCCCCCGATCCTCGAGAGAAAGATCTTCAAAATGGAGTCTCGCTAATCCTCGAGAACAGGAGAAGAGGCTAATGGGAAGTCATGACCCCCCTTTTTGTCCCGAATTCTCAAGAAAGGGACTCTGAGGGACTCCTCATTTTCTTTCAATCCCCAAGGAAGTCCTCAAAAAATAATTTTAAAATTAAAAATTAACCGTTCGACAAAAAGCTCTTCTATATTTAGCAGAAAGAATGTTGTAAAGAATTGGATTACATGCAGAATTAGAATAATAACAATATCCAGAAATATAAAAAACAACACTAAAGAGAGAAAAAACAGCAGAAGAAGGATCTTCATTAATTTCCTCGTTATTAACATTTCCCGCTTCATTTAAATAAATACTTAAAAGTCTTTGAATATGAAAAGGTAGCCAACAAAGAAAAAACATTACAACAACAGAAACTATAAAAATTAAAAACTTTTTAGAAATTTAAGAGAGAGGTAAAGCCTAAAGTAGACATCGATCCTGCGGCCTCATGCAGTTACTGCTTTCGCACACAATGCACAGGTGCTCTACCGAAAGGTATTGGCGGATTACTCAAGACTTAGAAAATTGAAACACGGACTTTTTTATACCAAAAACCGACCATATCGCGAAATTGCCCAGACTTTTTTCAACCAGACCCATGCCTGCTCTACCGACTGATGTAGAGCCGGCTGGACTTCATTCCTCTTTCTTACAAAAAATAAAATAAGCAAACCTAATATTTTAAGTAAACTTTTTCTTGACCGCATTTTTTGAGCTCTTTCACCGCCAAAAATTGCTTTTGAAGAACGAACTGATGAACATAAACATTGTAAAATGTGGCAATAAACAAGTGTAATTAATAATGCTGGAAGTAAGAAGAAAAGAAAAAAAGCTGTCAAAATAAAATTGCGTTGAGCTATAGGTCTGTGAAAGTCTAAAGCACAAGTATCCTGCGAAAAAAAATTTTTTTTGAAGATTAAAAAAATTAAAGAAGTTATTTAACGCTTTATTTCGTTCAAATAAAATTATTTCCCTCGGTGAGATTCGAACCTTCATCCCTTTGTGTTATAAATCTAAGAATTATCCCACTTAACTAAAAATGACTTTTTTCTTGGGGTGGATGTACTGTTTGCTGGAGTTAATCTCTGCTACTTTAATATATTTTAAATCCCTTACAGTATTTCTAAGAGTAGAATTATCATCAGAAATTAGAGGTAACAACCATTTTTGCCCAGTAGTCCAATCTGGAAGAGGTAATTTATTAACCACAACAATATCCAAAACAGGAAGAGCAGCAATAAAAGCACATATCCAAACAGCAATAATTACACGAATTGCCCGATCAAGAGTAGAAAAGAGTTTTATTCGAAGAGGAAAACTAAAAATGATTTTTTCGCTGTTATAGGGTGATGGGTCGGAGTGAGAGAAAAAAGATCGGACCCGATTTCTGGTAAGTTTAAATTATCTCCTATTGACAGGGCTCGAACCTCTACCCAATATAAATCTAAGGAATTATCCCACATAACTAAAAATGACTTTATTCTTGAGGTGCTAGCACACTTTGCTGGAGGGTATTTTCATACTTTGCCGTCAGTGTTTAACCTCTGAACAAATGACGGTCCAGGATCCAAACCCGGAACGCGTCATTATCTATCGGATATCAAAAAACGATTTAAAAAAATAAATATAAAAACCAACCAAATAGCCAACCACCGTTCAACAGAAAAACAAGTAATCGTTAAAATAGAAGCATAAGAAGTAAATTCAATCAAAAAAGCTCTCCCTTTACAAACAAATTCTCCAAATTTGTATGGATATAAAACATCAAAAACTCCATAAAGTTCCATTGGAAGGCCAAGAGTTAAAATAAGTAAATCAGAAACAGCCAAAGAAAATAAATAATAATTTGTTGGGTTTTGCATAGATTTGTTTTTTAAAATAACTAGGCAAGTGCAAATATTTCCAAATAAACCAATTAACAAAATTAGGCCATAAATTATTGCTGTTGGAACAATTATTGAGGACTTTAAAAAAGAAATTTTTTTAAGAGAATTTAAAGGAGACACCTCATTAGAAGAAAAATCCCCCTATAAGATACACCTCCCTACAAGAAACCCTCACTATAAAAACCCTCCTTTATAGGAGACCTCCAATATTAGATTTGTATTCCTCTACAAAAGAGACACTCTTTAAAATTCGGTTGGATTGGGTAAGGGAGCTCCCTAAGCGAGACCCTCTATTTAATAGACCCTTCATTATAAGATACAATTTCTTCACCCCAAGGGGATATCCAAAAAGGAGGTTCAACTAAACCATAAAAAACAAAAAAAAACTTACAACAGCACAACGTTCACCCAACTTTTCCAAAACATATTCAGTTATATTTTCGAATAAATAATGTAAGGGAGAACACGAATTTTGTTGATTTAATTTATTCATTTTTCTAAAAATTTAAAAAATAAGCAGCTAAAAATACTTTTAAAAACAAAAATAATCAATCTTTAAAAACAACAAAAAAATATATTTAGGTGGGTGGAAGAAGAACGCGTATTTTCATGGCTCGTAAATTTCTGAAGAGACGGGGGGCATCATATTTTTTACTTTAAATTTTCGCTTGAATAAATTTTGTTTGTTTGGTTGAAAAAAGGGCAGGCTTGCAAAATGAGGTAAATGACGCTAATAAGTGAAGACTTTTGACAAATTAATTTTATAAAAAAATAGAGGAGGGCTTCTTTAATTTAAAAATATCAGAAGCCAAATAAACGGCAAAACACAAAATTCTCTTGGGAAATAATTAAAAAATAATTTTTGAAAAATAAGAATTAATATGACCTAAGCTTTTTTTAAAAGGGGGAAGAAGTCTTTAATTAAATATTATAAGGAAAATTTGTCTGGTTTTTATGTTTGAAAATAGTGACCTAAGCTTTTTTTTAAAAATTAGTAAAAGTTAAATGGAAAATTATTCTGACGACATTTGCGGTCCGACATTTGTGAACAAAATAGGCTTATTGAAGATGAGATCCAGAAAAGATCTGGTTCTTGTCTAGTACCATCTCCTAAACATATATTCTTATATTGGCACTACAGTACTCGTTACAGTACTCATTAAAGTACTTTATATACCCAAAAATTTGTGGATGTTCGCAAATGTCGGTACGCAAATGTCGCTCTACCTTCTACGTAAAATAACTTTAATTCCACTGGGATAGTAACATTTATTTTTTAAATAAAAAACTTTTATGTAGTAAAAAGAAAGTTTTTAAGCTAATAAATAAATAAATAATGAGGAGGAAAAAAATTATTTTTAAAAAAATAAATTAGCTAATTTATTTAGACAATTCTACAATTTTTTGAAGGGCAAAAGTTCCTTTTTTAATGGAGTATTTTAATAACCGGAAGAGATAAAATGGAATAATTTACTAGAAAGGATGCGGAATTGAAGGAAAAAATAGTTGCGATTTGTGAAAAGGTCAAAAAATTTTTTTTGGATTTTCTTGGGGTTTTTGGCGATTATGGCATTTTTTTCGGTACACCTCAATTGAGTCCCGACTCAATTGAGTCCCGGACCCTATAACTTATGAAGGGATGGTCACTTTTTTTTCTCTTGGTACCATTGGATAGGGCATTAAATAGGCTACAATATACCAAAAAATCAAAATTCCTGACCGACTAGTAAAAAAGTTATGATCGATAAAGTGCCGAAAAATCAGATTTTTTTGAAAAAGTTAGTTTTTAGATCATAACTTTTTTATCAGTTGGTCAAAAATTCTGATTTTTTCGTATATTGTAGTCCATCTAATGCTCTATCAAATGGTACCAAAAACATTAAAAATCATCAACCCGTACTTGAGTTATAGGGCCGGGACTCAATTGAACTGCTCCGATTTTTTTTGGATTTTTTGGCATTCTGTTGAAAATTTTTTCTTTTGGCGTTTTTCGATTTTTTAAAATTTTGTTTTTCAAAAATAAATTTAAGAAGACAAAGTACTTATACTTTTAAAAAAATATACTTTTTTTGGAAGAAAAAAATGCCAAAAAAGAATTATTTTACATAAAAGCAACAGGTGCTTAAAAAGGAAGAACTTGAGAAATTTTTAAAAATAATGACAGGCGCAAGGAAAGGAAAATGAGAGGGGGAAGGAAATGAGTGAACAACTTAAAGGAAAGGAAAAATAGATTCATAAAAAAATATTTAAAAGATAACAAAAAAGAGAAGAAAAATGTTTTTTAGAAAAAAAGAAATTTGAGAGGGGAGGGGATTTAAAAAAATTTTTTTGTTCTTTAAACGTGTAAACAAGAAGAAGAACATGTTTTTTTATTGAACAAGAATTAATCGTCTTTTTCCGAATATCAAAAATCTCTTTTTTTCTATTTTTATAAATTATTTAAATTGAGAATTGTTTAAAAGATGAAATAAAGGGGGGAAAATGTGTGCATATCTTGCTTAAATTATTTAAAACAATTAATTTTTTTAAAAATTGTAGAAATTAATTGAAATTTGGTTAAAAATAGAACAAAGAAAAATAATTTATATTTTTTAATTAACATTTTTTAATAAAAAAATTTTTTCTACAAAAAAAATCCAAAATTTTTTTTTAATTTTCCACCCAAAAAATGATTGGCACAAACTTTAAGAGAAATGTAGAAGATCAAAAAAGGACGAAAAATAAATTCAAAATTCAAAAAATAAATTAAAAACGATTTTTTATAAAGTTTTAACAAAAAAATCACTCAAAACAAAAATTATTATCCCCAAAAAGACTCGAACCCGGCTCCAAAATACATTGCTGATAAATGTAAAATTCCACTTAACCACGCTTACTTCAGGCAAAGACTAGCCGTTTCGTAGCACACAAACTTTTTCTGTCTACAAAAAATTTCTAAAAAAATTTTACAAAATTAAAAAAATTTCTCTACAAATATTTCCCTCCAAAAATGAAGTAAAAAGTTGGTAATAAATTAGGTGTACTAGTTATGTACGTATTTGATGTATGGGAATATTAATAAAAAAATTTTCTAGCAAATTACACTAAAAAATAATAAAAAATAATTTTTTGATGTACTTTTATTTATATTTAAATGTCTAATGAGAATGTGAAAAAATAACACAATTAATTCATTTCTGTCATGAGAAAATGCAATTTGATGCGCTTTACTTTCTTCTCGTTTGGCACAAAAATTTAAGAGAAAGAAGATTAAAAAAGGGACAGAAAAAATTCAGAAAATTTAAAAAATAAATTAAAAATCGATTTTTAAAAATTTTAACAAAAAATCAATCAAATTAAAAAAATTATCCCCAAAAAGGATTCGAACCCTGCTCACAAATGCATTGCTAATCACAAGCAAATTCCACTTAACCATAAATGTGTCTACTTGTCGAGGCACCAAAGTGACCTATTTCCGGTATTAAAATAGCCGTTTTGTCGCCGACATTTTATCGAATTCGTTAGAAATTTTGATAATTTTATTTTAACTTTTTTTCTTTTAAATTATTCAAGTGACAAGTAGATAGCGTCATTTTGATATTTTTCAAAGAAGATTAAAAATTAAAAATAAAATTTTTTTTAAAATTATATCCAAAAGATTAAAGCACTATATACAGATTTAAAAATGTCTTCATCTTTAATTTTCATTTTTCTTTAATTTTCTTTTTAATATTTTTTTGTCATCTAAATACCTATACCCTTTTTATTTTATTAAAAATAAAATATTAATTAAAGGGTATTTTTTTTCTTTTCAAAAAAATTTTTTTTTAATTTTTAGGTTGTCAAGGTGACTGCGCAAAATTAATTCAAATTAAAAAAAAATAAAAAAAGGAGAGGAGGAAAAAAAGAAAAAGGGAGAGGAAATATGAAACAAAAATAGAGGTTTTTTATTCAAAAATTTTTTTTTCAAATAAAAATTAATTTATGGATCCATTACTGGACGGAACTTTACATCGTGGAGGAGCTGATGCTTTACGTATCTTTAGGTTATTTTAAAATAATTTTAGTTATTTTTTATAATTCTTTTAGAGAAGCTTTTTTGACAGAAATTGGTCCTTCTGAATTTGAAAATAATAATGGGCGTTTAATTTCATTACGTGAATTATTGGATGTAATTATTTGCAGTGGAAAGGATATACAAATTGAGGTAAATTTGAAAAGAATTTAACTTGGACTTCATTGTAAGATAAGAAGCGTATTGAAATGCCAAACCCTCGAAAGCCTTTGAAATGCCAAATAAGGGAAAAGTCCTTGACATTTTTTGGGGCTGTAAAAACCGTTTCTTTTGAGGCTTTTAGTATTGCTTAGGCAGCTCCCTCACTCATTGTCAAACAAATTTTAGAAAAAAATGTATATGCAAGGGATAATTTTTCTTATCATTGCGATGCGAAGTGATTTCCATTTTATTGCAAATAAATTTAGAACATTATTAAATTTTCAGGATTTGCTTCGATTACGTCCATACGCAACAGAAAAAGGTTGTTTTTTGAAGAAATATTTTTTTTTATTTTTAAATAATTTTTGTAGACGAGATATTTTCTTTTGAAGAATGTTTTCAGGTTTTGTTTAATTTGAAAAATAATTTAAAAAAAATTATTTTTAAAAGATTTATCAAAATATTCCATCCACTGGTTTAGACGAAATTTACGATTTATTTGAATTATTTGTAATAACTGAAAATGAAATAAATTGGGAATTATTAAATAATAAAATGTTGGAATTAATTGAAACAACAAACAACAACGACGACAATAATTATTTAATTAATTGGCTAAAATTAAATAAACAAAAGGGAACGGACATTGAAAATGTAAATAAGGGTTTTTTTATTTATTTAATTTTTAGAAATTAAAAAAATTTTTGAAAAGAAATTTTATTGAAAAAATTCAAAAAATATTTTTTTTGTTTTTGTGTGAAAAATTTTTTTGTTCAAAAAAAACAAAAAGGAACAGCTTTGTTCAGAAAAATAATTTTGAAAAATTTCTCCGTTCACAGAATTTTTTTTTTGTTCAAAAGAATTTTTTTTCTTTGTCCAAAGAAAACAATTTCTCTTTTAATTTAATTTTTAAGTTAATTTATGAATTAATTGAAACCAAGAAGAGATTACGCCTATTAAATTCGCAAATTGTTGAAGAAGAAGGGCTTGAATTGAATAATAATAATTTTGGAGAAGGGAATAATTCACATAAAGGTAAATTTTAAAAAAATATTTTTTTTATTAAAAAAATTTTTTTGAAAATTTTCCCTCCAAAAAATCAATTAATTTTGTATTTCCATAGTTTGTGCAAAAATAAAATAGAAAAAAATATTTTTTTCGTGACCAGATGAATTGTTTTGCAAAATAATAATAAAATAATACTTAATTAAATATATGTGAAGGTGGAGGGAAAATAAAAGGAGAAAAAAAGTTGGAAAATAATAAAAATATATGGTAATGTATTTAAACATTTTTATTTGTTTTTATATTTTTTTCTCCACCTTCACATTAAAGTTTATTTTTCTATTTATATGTCAGGTTTATTATATTCTATTGTTAACTGACATGAGCTTTAATTATAAAAAATAAACCTGAAATACAAAATCAACTTGATTTATAAAATAAGCTTGAATTTTAAAAAATAAATTTAATTATAAAGATTGAACTTAAATTATAAAAATCAACTTGAATTATAAAAATGACCTGAATTATAAAGATTAAACTTAAATTATAAGAAATAAACTTGAATTATAGAAAATAAACCTGAATTTTAAAAAATAAACCGGATTATAAAAATCAACTTGAATTATATAAATTTAACTTGAGATATAAAAAATAAACTTGAAATATAAAGATAAACTTGAATTATAAAAAATAAACTTGAAATATAAAGTTAAACTTGAATTATATAAACTAAACTTGAATTATAAAAAATAAACTTGAATTGTAAAGATTGAACTTGAATTATACAAACTAAACTTAAATTATAAAAAATAAACTTGAAATATAAAGTTAAACTTGAATTATATAAACTAAACTTGAATTATAAAAAATAAACTTGAATTATAAAGATTATATAAACTAAACTTAAATTATAAAGATTGAACTTAAATTATAAAAATCAACTTGAATTACTAAAATTGCATTATTTAAAAATAAACCTGAAATATAAAGTTGAACTTGAATTATATAAAATGAACTTGAGAACAAACTTGATTATAAAGTTTAAAACCTGAATTATTAAAAATAAACATGAATGTTATAATTCAGGTTTATTTATCAATAGAATATAATAAGCCTGATCTATAAATATAAAAATCAACTTTAATTTTATTTTTTCAAGTTTCCAATTGTTCCTTTATGTTGTCCCGTTGCGAGAGTGCGGAATCTCTAAGCTCTCTTTTTTCAAATAGAAATAGCAACACAAACAACAACAGACAAATAAAGGAATTTGAATATTCTTCACCAAGAAATTTAACTACCCAACAACAATTAAAAGAATTTGTTGAAGAAAAAATTCAATTAAAAAGTTTAATAATTCAGAGAGAAATGACAGAAACCAATTGTATTGCTTTTTCTTTTAATTTGGAAAAATCAAGAAAATTGAAATTGGGAATTTGTGTTAATGAATTGAGTAAGTTAAGAATTTTATTTTTTATTTTAAAATACTGTAAATTCTCTAATATAAGCCCTGGGTTCTATTTTTCAAGATATCTCTTTGATTGAGCTTCTATTAGATATGGGAGCTTCTATTAGAGATGGAGTTTTTATGGGAGAGAGGGCCTATATTTTTCAATGGGTCTCCTCGGGAGGACTTACATATATTAGAGAATTTACAATACTAGCGGAGTTGGTCGGCCTTCGGCCGCCCCACCCCGCTAGCAAAAACAAACCAAAAAACAAACTCCAAATCAACTTATCACAACTCAAGAATTGGCCCTAATCCAATCATAAACATAAAAAAATGATCATCAAAACATTGACCAGCATTAAAACAGTCCTGATTACCAAAACATTTAACAAAGCAAAGCATCTAATAAACGCACCTGATAGGATACACAAAGGCGCTTGTGTAACTCCGCTAGCATAACAAAACTATTCGTCTTAAGATCCGATTCAAAAGCCTTTGGCCGACCAATTTCGCTTACCCATTTTTCTCCTCACAATTCCGCCTACTTCACAATTACCCAAGTTTAAATACTCCACCTGCTTCACAATTCACCTTGTTTCAATATTCCGCCTGCTTCTCAATCCCCCCTTTTTCAATATTCCGCCTGCTTCACAATCCCCCTTCATTCTCACTGCTTCAATATTCCTCCTGCTTCACATCCCCCTTCATTCCTCCTGCTTCAATATTACGCCTACTTCACAATTCCCCTTGCCTCACAATACCGCCTCCTTTAAAATTCCCCCTGTTTAAATATTCCACCTGCTTCACAATTCACCTTGTTTCAATATTCCGCCTGCTCCACAATTCCCGTTGCTTCACAATTCCCCTTCCCTCACAATACCGCCTGCTTCACAATTCCACCTGTTTCAATATTCCGACTCCTTCACAATTCCCTTGCTTCACAATTCCCCTTGCCTCACAATACCGCCTGCTTCACAATTCCACCTGTTTCAAGATTCCGCCTGATTCACAATTCCTTGTTTGAATATTCCGCCTGCTTCACCATTCCCCCTGCTTCAATATTCCGCCTGTTTCACAATTCCCCCTTTCAATATTCGCCTGAAATTTGACGCCTATCATTTTACACATGAACGTTGACGTCTAGCACTTCTAATGAACGTTGACGTCTAGCACAGGAACGTTGACGCCTAGAACTTGACAAATGAACGTTGACGTCTAGCACCGGAACGTTGACGCCTAGCACTTGACAAATGAACGTTGACGCTTGGCTCCTCTCCAGCAGGACACAGGACTCCAGCAAAAGTTGACGTGACAGAGCACAGTAGAGTTGAAAATGTTTTGGTAGCAGTTGAAGACTGAGCAAAATACCCTGCTTTTATACTATCTGCTTACCCTCACAACTTTTTTCAACAGGCAACGCTTTACTATATAAGCCCCCTTTTCTTCACTCCCCCAAATCATTTTACTATAAAAACCCACTTGTCTATAAAAGGACAAACAGACAGACGGACAAACTCTTCTCAATTATATAATTAGATTTTTGAAATTTATTTTTAATTTTTAAAAATTTAGTTGATTCGTCATTAAATCGTTTTCATAATTCAATTCAAGGGATTATTGTAAATTTTAAGAATATTTTAAAAATTTAATTTTTTTAAAAAGATGTCTTCGGAACTGGATTTACAACAAAAAATCTATGGTGTTACTAAACGAAGAGAACAAGGAGTAAATTTTATTTAGGGAAAATTTTTTTATAATTTTATTTTTTAAAGATGGCTACAACAGAATGGGTTCAGGTTAATTTTTGAAAAAAAATTTTTATTTATTTTTTTCTTTTTTGTTTTAAATTAATTTTTTAGTGAACTCGAAACCACTAAAAAATATTTTCTATTTAATTTCCAATTAAAATAAAATTTAAAAAAATTCTAAATTTAAGGTGCCTGCTGGAAATCATTTAATAAGAGTTAAATTTTGTCGCGTATTAAAAATGGTTGAGACAGAAAAATCTGATAGAATTATTGATGAAAAAACTGGGAGATTGACAAAACCATTCAAGTTTTTTTTTAATTTTTAAAAAATTTAAAAAAATTTAAAGAGTAATGCTAATGAATTTATTTGATATTTTTGATTTGGATGACGATGGACTTTTAAGTCGAAGAGAATTTGAAGCTTATAGTATTCTTGCTGGTACTGGACCTGTTAGTGAACAAGTAAAGAAAAAGAATTTATTTTGAAAATTTTATGAAAATTTTTTTCAAAGGAATGGACACGTATTTGTACAGATTTTGAATTAAGACAGCAACATATACCAATGAAGACATTTGTACAAATGCATCAAAAAGAAGCAGAAAGTTATGGCCCAAAAGGAAATTTGGAACAAATGTGGAAAGCTGTTAGGGCGCTTGGACATAATCGACGATTTTTTATGAGCACAGTAAGAAAAAATTTTTTAATATAAATTTTTGGCACTAGTCTAGTTTATGAGTCCAATGAAGGTTTATAAGTCCAATAAAAATTTTATAAGTCTAGCCAAATTGGTGAGTACCTTGATTCATTTAAAGGTTCATTGGACTCATAAATTAGACCAGCTCCAATTTTTTATTAATTTATATAGACGTGTCCACTTCGTTTAACATTACATTGTTCTGAAGGCCCATTGCTTATTGAACCATTTCGTGTTGACCGATTTTATTCGGATGAGATAGACAATCTTTTAGCTGAACATTTTTGGGAACAAGGAAAGCCGTTACCCTATTTAAAAGAATTTACAAGTCTTCGCCAATTTAAAGCTGATTATTATGTTGTGTTGATAGCTGGAAAAACAAAACAAACAACACATTATGAGCTTGACTTGAGAGGTTCGAATAATGTAAATATTGAAGGAAAAGAATTAATTATTGACCAAAAAGTTCAACCAAATATAATTCAGGTTTGTGGTTTTATTTCTTAGAGGAGCGCATCGCAATACCAAACGCCTAAATGCCAAACCCCCGAAAGCTGCCAAAATACCAAACCGAGCAGAAATACAAATATAGGTAAAGGTTGTTCCAATTAACGTGGAAGTTTGTTAGTAGACCATATTTTGGTATTTCGGCGTGTTTTTTGGAGGTTTGGTATTTCGATACTTGGTATTGCGGTATCTTCTCTTTTTTAAATTAAAAAATTTTTTATTTTAAAGATTTTAACTGTTGTAATTGCCCAGTCAGAAAATTGGTATTTAAGTGTGAAAATGAAAGGAGCTCCAATAAAATCTGAAAAAAGAAAAGAAGAAATAAATGTTGAGAAGATTAATTGATCAAAATGGTTTTCTAGTCTTAAAAAAATTTTTTTTTAATTTTACAAAAAATTTTTAGAAATAAGTATGACATACAAAGTTTTTTAAATTTTTTTCTATCGGCACTCAACAAGCCATGTTTAAATTATTTTTTTTATTTTTCATTTAGTTTATGTTAAAAATGTCAAAATAACAAAAAGGTTTTTTAAGCCTTTTAACGTGTTTATATTTTTTAATTTTATTTTTAAAATTTTTTAAAAATAATTTTTGTTTAGAAAATAATGTCTTTAGCCGATTTTGTGAATGAACAAAAGAACAAATCAGGAAATAGAAATTATTTTAATGTGGCAACATTTGGTTCTAAAGTCAGTAAATCATTCAACGGATTCTTCAAAACAAGCGACAGTATTGATGACACGGAAAGATTAACGAGTGAACCTGCACAGAATGGACAGCTTCCTTCGAATAGAAATAGGTTTGAAATATTTTTTTATAAAATTAACCTGTTCTCAATGTTAGGGATTCCTTTGTCTTTTGGTGTAAGGGATGAAGTTGATTTTCATTGTGAAAAGTTATCAGTTCCAGGCATTTTTTGGAATTCCTAGGTTTTTTCTGGTCTGGAGTTTATCTGTATTAAAGACCTGGGTCAGTGGATTCGAAAATCTTACTTTTATCTATGCTAAGAAAACGTCTATAATTTTTTCTAGGCCTGAGTCTTTCCTAACTGCAGATTTTGTGTTGAAAATCCAGACCTTTTTCCGACTAAAAACGTGGGTCGATGGTTGTCCAGACCTTTAAAATCCAGACCTTTAATCCAGACCTTTAAAATACAACAAAATGTATTTGGTGTGTATCTCATATTAAATTTTTAATAAAAATATTTTTAGACGTACTGGTTGGATGAGCTTTTCCTCCTCTTCTTCAACTTCAGTAAATGGCCAAGTAACTGCAGATGCTAATCCATGCGGACTTAGCCGTTTTCAACGCATTGCAGCGTTTTTTCTTTGTTTGTTTGCTGCTGGATTTTGTTTTACCACGGTTTTTTTTTGAAATTTTTTAAATTAAAATTATTTTTAAATATAGGCAATGATGTTGTTACCAATCTTAATTATTCAAACAAGAAAATTTGCAGCTTTAAATACCCTTGGTTCTGCTTTTTTTGTTGTCAGGTTTTTTTAAAGTTTTTTTTCAAAATTATTTTTCCCCTTTAGTTTTGGCTTTCTTTGGGGACCAGTTCCTTATTTTAAATTTCTCTTCTCTGAATCTAGACGATTAGTGACTGCTATTTATTTAATCAGTGTGATTACAACCCTTTATACTTCTTTATGGCTTAAAAGCACAGTTCTTACAATTATTGCTTCGAGTTTTGAGGCTTTTGCTTTAATTTGGTAAATTTAACTTTTTTATCTAGTCAGACCTCATTATAAGATACCATTCAATCTAAAATACGTTTCTTTAGATTTTGGTTGCCCACTAGAATTTAGCTGGGTCTAGGCTAAAGTCTGGCGTTTCTATGCCCAGAGAACGGATCCCCAGGCATTTTTGGACTTTCTAGGAGTTTTTCTATCCGTGGGCTTTTTAGGACTACAAACCGGGTCAGTGGTTTCAGAATTCAGACTAGGTGCAAGGACCTGACTGAAGGATACCCTCCCTCTATTTAAGAAATTTTTTAATTTTTATTTTCAGGTTTCTCCTTTCTTATGTTCCAGGAGGTGAAAATGGGCTTAAATGGATGGGTAGAATGGCCAAGATGGCATTTTGTACAAAACAAGCATCTACTCTAGTCTTGCCTATTTAAATAAAAGGTCATAATATTTTATTTTTTAATTATTTTTTATAAAAAAAATTGTTTAAATATATATATATATTAAATATTTTATATATTTTTGTGTGTTGTACAAAAAAATATATTTTTTAATTAAAAAATTTTTAAAAATCGAAATTTACAATAATAAGGAATTTTAAGAAATTTGTGAACTTTAAGGGTTAATTTCTTTTCTATTTTTTCTCTTATTTCCTTCGTCCAACTAAAATAATCTTAAAAAGGGTTTAAGCTTAGGTAAGCGTTGCACGAAGCTATAGGGAAAGGGAATTGGATACAGGGATATCACGAACTTCTTCCTGTTTTTTTCCTGCTTAATTCCCATAACTAACCCGACTCGGAACCCCGGGGGGTTTTTCGAAACCTGGCAGGCTCTACTTTTTCCCATCCCATGACGTCCTAAAAATTAGAAAAATCCTTAAAAAATCCCTTAAAGTTTAAAAATTCCCTGACAAATTTTTTAAACAAAAAATAATTAAATTAAGAAGTCATCATTCTAACGAATTCTTCATAATTTATCTTTAAAAATAAATATTTTTTTTAAAAATCCCTCTAATTTCCTACCTGTCCATCCCCATCAATATCAACTTCCTCAATAATTTCATCAACTTCATTTTCACTAAATTGTTCCCCCATAGTCGTCATAAAATATCTAAATTCATCTGCTGTAATATATCCATTCCCGTCTCTATCAAAAACTCTAAAGGCTTCTCGAATCACTTTAAAAAATTATTTTTAAATATTTTCTGGGATCAGCCCAGAATTACGGGGAACATAAAACGGAAATTCTCCTGTGCCAGACTGTTAGATAAGGTAAAAGGGAGCAGGCCTAAGTATACCTCCAGAGCCAGTTCACCACTAGGATGTTGATCTCTAGGTTGGTGTCCTCCCGGAAGTTTACATTCTGTGGACCGTCCCAATTATAAAAAAATTAATTTACATACTTTCACTATCATTTTCCTGAAAAATAAATTTTTTTAAAAATTTCTATCTCCTCCCTTACTTTATTCATTCTTTTCATCATTTGACAAAATTCAGCAAAATCTATATTTCCACTTCCATCAATATCAACTTCATTTACCATATCTAATAATTCTTGTTCTGTTGGATTTTGACCTAAAGAGCGCATTGCTACACCCAATTCTTTTGAGGAAATTGATCCGTTCCCGTCCTATTTTTAAATTTATTTTTAGTTTGTTAGTGAATCTCTCACTATAAATATGTACATCCTTGGGTTAAAAATTTGTCTCCTATAATGAGTTGTTTATTAAATAGAGTCCCCCCTATCCAGTAGCTAATCGAATTTTAAAAGGGTCCCTTAAATAGAGGTGTATCTAATGTTTGGGGTATCCTATAGAGAGGTAACTTATATTGAGGGTATCTTAAATAGAGGGTTATTGTCCTAGGCAGCTCCCCTAACCAATAACCAACCAAATTTTAAAAGGCGTACCCTAAATAGAGGGAGGTTTATCTAATTTTGGACGTATCTTATTAGAGGTTAAACTTTAAAATTTTAAAAAAATTTCCCCTTACCTTATCAAATAATCGAAAAGCTTCTTTATATTCAATCATTTCTTCTTCACTAATTCCATCTAAAGCCGTGTCAGCCAATGCTTGATTTTTCCATCTATTAAATAAACTTAATTTTCTTGTTGACATTGCTGCTGCTAATGAACTTGCACGTGATTTACGTCTATCTCTTTCTGTTTCTTGTAATTGGGAATTTTGAATGTTTGTTGTTCTATTAAATGTTGAATTTTGTCTTTTTAATTGGTTGACATTGGGGGAACGAGTAGTTGATGTGCCTGGCAAGCTGTAAAAATGGAAAGATAATAATGATAATTTTTGGTGAAAAAGGAAAAAAAAGGAGGACCACTAAAAACGGTCGAACCTCATAAAATACTCCCACCTCTATTTAAGAGACGGTCTTTAAAATTTGGTTAGTCATTGGAGGGAGGTAGCCATTGGTACCCTTCATTTAAGATTCCCTCAAGTTAGAGGCTTGACTTCAACTCAAGATACTTTTAAATTTGATTGGCTGGGTGGGGAGAGGTAACTAAGCATTATCCAATATTTAATAAACACCTCTTCACCCGATATCCAAAAACAATATTCGACTAAACACCTCATATACTAGAGAATAAACAAACTTTATAGCATTTGTCGGTGTCCAACCACCATTTATTGTATTATTTGTCCTTATAATACCCGTATTAATTGGCAAATTAAATTCGTTGTTAGTTGCAGCAATTTCCAAATTATTTTGAGTTGTTGTTGTCCTTCTTCGTCTTTTGGATGGACTGCTCGAAATTGTTGGGGAAGCAAAACTTGTAGTAGTATTTCTTCTATCCCCTCCTCCAAGCATAATCATTTTTGAAGGATTAAAGAGCGCAGAAAAAAGGCAAAAATTCCTTAAAGTTAAGGGGAGATGAATGACGAGATTTTTGAGAAAAGAAGCTTTTTTGACTTTCTTTTTCTTTAAATCTAATCTGACACTCTTTTTTTTTCTTTTTTATGTAAATATTTACTTAATATAAATTTTTTTATTTAATAAATTCAATCTGCATAAAAAATGTTTTTTTTTTCTACGGAAATTAAAAAAAGCAAAGATGAAAAAAAACTTGGGGAAGGAAAAATATTTTTTATATTTTGCTTGTTTGTTTGTTAAGGAAACAAAACTAGCCACCAAATGACGAGATTGCTTGTGTCCTTTCCTTTTATTCCAAAAAGAATTTATTTGTGTGTCCAATGAAAGGAAACCCAAAAAATATAAAGAAAAGAAAATGTGACGGGAGGGGAACAAATTGGGGGGAATGTTCTCCTTTAAAAAAATTTTTTTTCTTTCTTTTATCGGGTGGATTAGTTAAGTAAAAAAGAAGACTTAAAAATTATAAAAAATACATATAACAAAAAAAAAATAAAAACCATAAATGGATTTGATATTTTATTAAATATTTACTTTAATTAAATAGGGATTAACCCACAAGATCAACGTCTTTAAGAACAACACCCTTGGGTCTTTAGGAATTTACCCAAGAGATCGACACCTTACAGATTAACACACTAGATTTACCCAAATTTACCCAAAATTTACCAGGAATTTACCCAAAAAATCATCCTAAAAATTCCAGGAAAACCACCTTGGAGATCAACACCTTAAGATGAATTAACCCACAAGATCAACACTTTAAAGAGCAACACTCGAAAAATCCTAGAACTCACCCAAGAGATCGACGCCTTAGAGAACAACAACCTGGATAATCAGTAATTCCTAGGGATGGACCTCATTGAATATTTAATAGAGTGGACCATATTAAATATATTTTTTAAAATTTGAAGAAAAAAACGAAAAAGTATTGGAAATTGCCAGCCTCTATTTTCTTTGACGTCTTTGCGCAAAAAAAATAAAAAAAAAAAATAATTTTTTTCTTGGGATATCTCATTAGTAGAATATTTTTTCTACAAATCCTTTCTTTATTAAAAGTATGGCAACATATTTTTATTTTTTACTTTAAAGGACAATAATTTCTGTGAAAAATATTTTTCCGTTACTTAAAGCTTTTTACGTGTTCGCGCATTTCTTTTTAATTTATTAAAAGAATAAAAAGATAATTTTTGTTTTTAAAAAGGAAAATATTAAATTCTTTCAAAAATTCTTTTAAAAAATTCCTTCTTCTTTTCATCCTTTTCAGGCATTTTTATTACTCAAAAAAACATTTTCCCTAGAGAATACAAGAAAAATAAATAAATATATGTTTAGAGAGATTTGATATATTTTAAGGGGAATATCTTTAAAAAACTATTTTTAAAAAAATCTCCTTTTTTAGTTTACCGAAATAAAATATTTTATAATAAATATACTTTTATTTATTCTCAAAGGATCTTTTTTAAAAAATCCAAAAATAAATTACCCAAAAAATTTTTAAAAATATATTTAATTGATCAATTTGTCTAGGGGGTTCTAGAAAATTTTTCTTAAAAAATAATCCTACATTTCGTTGTAAATTATTTTATATTTTCGTTAAATTAAGTGTGAAACAAGTATATAAATACGAGAATAATGGCAAACATTTAGTACAAAAAAAAAGTTAGAAAAATAAATATTAAATATAAGCAGAACAGCTAAACCTCATCACATGATATACCCTGATCCGAAAAAAAATTTTTAAACCCGGTCTGACTTTTTTTCGTAACCCGACCAATCCATCCCCACTTTAAGAGGGGGGATGGATCCATCCCCACTTTTCGAGCGTATCGAAAATAGTCTTTTATAATGAGGTGTTCCTTAAATATAAGGTCTCCTTAGGCAGCTTCCCCCAACCCAATAGCCAGCCAAATATTAAATAGTCTCTTAAATAGAGGTTTACTAATATTGGGTTATCTTATATAGAGGTTCGACTGTAACTGCCTATTAGCTTAAAGGAATTTAAAAGAGATTTACTAATAAACCTATCCAGACGGAACATTTCTTCTTCCTTCTTTTAATGAAATAGATTCTTCAAAAGTATGGGTATTTAATTTAAATCCAACAATAGTTAGACCCTAAAAATAAAATTTTTTAAAATTATAAAAAAATTAAAAAAAAACACAAAAGTAGCCACACTTGACCCTGTTGCCATCCCAACAAAAATATCTGACCAATGATGCAAATTATCCCTAATTCTTGTATAAGCAATGAACATGGCAGTTGAAAGAACACAAATTTGTAAAAGAGGGATTACAACAACGTAATTAATTAGAGGTTTTAATCGACAATGTAAATAAAGCTGTAAATAAAAAATTTTAAATTTAAATATAGGACGAGGATTTTATAAAAGGACACTCCCAACACGAAGCATTAGAGCACTAACTGGACCTTCCTATGGGATGAGGACTTCATAACACTCGAAGAGGACTCCGGAGACTTCCTTAATAGAACACCTCTTAATCCGACCACACAACTTTAGAGCAATAGACGGACATTCCTAATAGGTAATTAATATTGAAGGACTCCATAGAATACCCTAGCTCCACTACCAAGCTTCAGAACACTATATGAACCATCCTAGCTTTTAAAAAAACTCTAACAATAAGTTACATACAGCAGTGAAGACAGCAGCGCACATTGATAAACTTGAATGTCCACTGAAAAAACTTAGACGACCCTCAAAAATCAAAGAAGAATTTGAAGTATTTCCACAAGTATAATTCTCAACATAAAAATGTTGATTTTCTGGAAGAGAACAAAAATGAGCTTCTTTTTCCTTTCCATTAATTAGAGGGTCACATATTGCCAAAAAATGTGGTCGAAGTCGTCCAACAGAAAACTTGGCCAGTGAAGTGAAAATTAGTGTAGCAAGGATAGCAATGCAGAAAAATCCTTTTTTAAAGAAAATTAAAATAAAAATTAAAATAAAATATTTTTTATAAAAAAACCTTGAAAGAAAACCAAACGGATAAACAATCGAACACGAAAAGATTCTCCATGTTCATAAATCACCAAATGTTCTGAAGCTGTTCTGTGATCAACTAAACGCCAATATTCGCCAATAATAAACTGAAATATAGTAATTTCATTATTTGAAGTTCAAATGTTTTTGGGGGTTTGGAATTTCAATGTTTTGGCATTACAAGACGTCTCCAGTAAATTGACGTCTCCATTCCCTATAACCATTCCACGCCTATAACAGTCCACACCGTCACAATTTCGTTTATGATTTTCGAATCCTAGACGCCCTAATAGGGTCCGATGAAGAGGAGAAATCGTGGAATGGATGGGCCCAGAAAGAAAGAAAACCTTACCGTTAAGTTAGTCACCAATAAACAATAAAGAATCAACATCCAAAGAGGAATTGTTCCAGTTTTATACGGCAAACGAATAGAATTATCATCGCAAAAAAATCCACGAGTGAAAGGCCCAAGAATGTGAAGGAACGCTTCAATCAAAGCACCTAACAAAAAATTCATTTTTTAAATAAAATAATTAAAATTACCAAAAATAAAAATCAAAGCAAAATTGATTAAAACACGCTTAATTGGCAATTTAGCTTTTGGTTTTAATCCAAGAAACGAAGCAATTCTTGTCAGAAAAGTTGATGTTGTTGTTGTACGGTTATTGAATTCTCCACACTCGATGGAAACATCTGGTTGAATTTCTCGTTGATTTTCCATCAAAAAAACTTTAAAAATTAATTAAAATTTAATTAAAATTTAAGCAAAAAGAAATTAAACAAGATTAAAAAAATCTTTTAAAATAAGAAAAAAAAATTCACAGAAAATATAATTTACCCAAAAAATTCAGACAAAAATTATCGGGAATAAAAAAGAAAGTTGAAACAGAAAAATTAATTTAAAATTCATGTAAATATATCAAATGAAAATTCAAATTTTTTTAAATAAAATCTTCCCATATTTTTATCATCATTTCTTTTTTATCGCCATAACAGCAGCTGCGGCTACCCCAAGAATTGCAGCCCCACCAAATCCAAAAGTTAAGGCCAACCCAACAAGGCCATCTAAAATTAATTTTCGTGTATTTTATTTCGTTTATTCCATAAAAATAAAACTAGGGATTTCATGGGTTGTAAGAAACATGAACCGAGAAATTTTCCAAAGCCCGGTCCAATATTTTCCCCTCTTAACCCCTTAATGACCTGATCCAAAACCCACTTTTTTGCGACCCAAAACCGATTTAAGAAAATCATTAGAACCCTGAAATTCCTAAAATAACCCGTTGCCTGACTTTTTTACCAAAAAATCCCATCCCTTTCCCAAACCTCGTTTCATTCGTTGCTCAATAAGTTCTTTCAAATCCAAGGCTTGATGATTGTCACTCTCTGCTGATAACAATAAATTAATATATTCCAAAGCTCTGTCATATTCCTTTAAAAATAATTTTTTTTAAATTCATTTTTAAACTAAAAAATTAATACTTTAATACGAGTATGAGCAATAGCAAGGTAATAGACATAATCACGTTTTGGCATATCAGACTCAACCCTTTTCAAAAGACCTTAAAATTAAAAAAATTTATAAATAAAATTTAAAAACAAAAATACTTTCGAGAATATAAATTCCTGTTCTAACATCTTCTTTGGTTGATTTAATCAAAGCATGAGCATAATAAAAGGCTGTTTGAGCAGCAGGAGCTCCACGCCTGCTTTCTTCAGCATATTGTTTCCTGAATTTTTCCAAGTCCTCTGGATTCACAATTTCGTCAACCTGAATAAATTTTTGAGTTTATTGGATAATTTAAATTAAAAACTCACTACAAAAGCAACGTCCATAGCAAAACACGAGAATTCTTAAAAAACAAAGTTCTAAAATCAAAAAGAAATTTTAAAAAAATTAAATGATAAGTAATGGTTTTGAAAACCAAAAAACATTTTCTAAAATCAAAAATATAAATTTAGAGCAAATTTAATTTTTTTAGAGTCAAATCATCTATATTGTAACAAGCAAAAGTAAAGAATATTAATTTATTTAACTTAGTCTTTACTTTCTTCTTTACTTTTCTTCAATTTCTTTCATTTCGACTTTTCTTCCTCCTCCAATTCTTTAATGCGCTTCTTGTGTCGCTCAATCACATCTTGATGATGTTTTGCTTGCTCCTCATGGTGTGATTGTTCACGGACCAATTGTTGCTTGAGCGCTTTGAGTTGAGCTTGCTTCTAAAAATTTAAAAAAATCAAAAACTATTTTAAACTAAGGTTAGAAATGAACGCGTTGATTTATCGAAACCCAAAGATACCAATTAACAACCAGTCGACCCAATTCTAATTTTAACTAAAGCAAACCAATTTGTGAAAATATTCCTCCTCACGTGCAGCTTCCATCTTTCCATAAGCACCGCCAGCATCACGAATTGAACCTCCACTTCCACCTCCCTTTCCAGCGCCACTACCCATGTCACCCATTTGAGAAAACATTCGCGAACTAAAAATAAAATATAATAAATTAGAAAAACGAAAAAAAACCTGGAGTTAAACGAGCGAACAATAACTTTGGTTGAAAACATTTATATATAACTAAATAAAAATTAATTTGTTAAAGAAAGGGTAAAATATGTAAGTAGTAAAGAAATCAACTTATCAAAAAAAAGATGATAGATTTTTAAATTTATAAAGATCAATAACAAAAGAAAAATAAAAAAGCAAGATAGAAATATAATAAATAACATTTAAAGCAATAAAAAATTTTTTGTAAAAATTAGAGTTCGAACTTTTCACATTGCGGAATCAGTATCCGGGTTTTTTCAGCCGCGAAAAACAATTTTATCGAAATAGAATTTGGAGAACCCAGTCCGGGTTCGTACTCTACCAAAAATGTTAATAGCGCTCAGAATAAACTGTCGACATTTAATTCAGAATTACGTCCCTTAAAATTGTAATAAATTTGATCATCATAGCGCGAATAACAAGAAAATAAGTCAACACAAATACCCAACACAGAAATATACCACTTAACCAACGAACTCTTATCACGCAAATGGAATATAAAACATCAAATAATTAATCAAATTCGTCATCACTAAATGCATCTTTATAAATTTGTTGAACTTGTGATTCAGTCGAATCAAAAAGTAAATTGTCCATTGCTGGTTCCCATATTAAAATTGAACGGTCATTTGAGGATGTAACAATCTAGAAAAATAATTTTTGTTAAAAAGGTAAAAGGTTATGCTGTTAGCTCAGGCAGGCATAGATCCTGCAACCTCCTGGTAGTTATTTCTAGGTGTTTTCCCCCGTACAAGTACTCTATAGATAAGTTAAGTTACTCGAACCATGAAATTTGAATCTCGGAAGTTCTGCGATCCGAAACCCAACTTTTTCGTAACCGGCCACACCTATTCTACCAAATGAGGTCCCAGGGTGCGCTTCCACCATCTTTTAAAAAAGGTTTTAAACCTTCGCCTAGTCTCTTCTCTCTTATTCAACAAAAAAGTGAAAAAAACCTGTTGATAATTATAACGATATGAACATGAAATTACTCGTTGAAAATGTCCATGAAGTCGAAGAACATTGTCAGATTTTAATGGAATAAGTTTACTAGAATTTTGTGAAGGATAGACATTAATTAACAAAAGATCATTTGCAAAAGGAATAAAAGCCCAAAGTTTTTGCCCTTCATCACTAATTTCAAAATTTGTTGGAAGAGCATCTTGAGAAGGCAAATCGTCAAAATCTGTTAACTTAAGTAGAAATAAACGTAAGAATATTTTAAAACAAAAAACCTTCATCCAAGATAAAAGTTTCAAATTTGAGTTCCAAAGACAAAGCTTTTGATCATGTGACATTGAAATTAAAAAACGACCGTCAGTAGAAGCACGCAAACAAGTAATTCTATCAGCATGTGTCAGTTTCCGTCGTTTTGGTGGAGAAGGTTGACTCAAAAAAGGAGATGAAACTTCTCTCAATTTTGCCCTTCCGCTTCTAAAATAATTTGTTTAAACGTGAAAAATACCTTAAAAGTTACCTAATATCCCAAAGAGCAATCTTTCCTAAATCACTTCCAGTTGCCAAAATATATTTTGATGGAGAAAGCCAACGAACACTATAAATTCTTTGTTCTTTTGCACGAAGATTTTGAGGAATGTGACCAATCCTGAGCGAAAAAATTTATTTAATAAAAACAATAAAAAACCGTGGATCAATAAAAGAAACATTTGAGGAAGCAGTTGCTACAGCAATTAATGAAGAAGCATTAGTGCTCGAAACAGTCCAATGAAAATGTGAAACTGGTTGAATAAATTTAAAGTCTTCAATCGATGTAAATACTGACGAATCCCAAATCTGTTTTTAAATTTATTAGGGTACTAGTTAAGTTTACGGCTCCTTTTTCATTAACTCTACTTGGTGGGATAAGGCCTTCAATTAAAAATAAGAAGAATAGAGTTGGTGACTCTACGGCCATTTTTACTGAAATTTTGAAGCCCTATAACTATCCGAAAATGACTCCATAGCAAGAAATCCTCTGTCCAATGATTCCAAAAATGTATATATTTTAAGTTCGGAAGGGTCCCTTGTAATAAAATATTTAATAAATGAAAGGAAACAGGAGCCCATAAACGCTTAAAAACAACAAAAAAAACACAAACCTTCAACAAATTATCCATTCCTGTAGTAACAAAAATAGAAGTGTCAACAGGATACCACTGACAACCATTAACCATATGGTGATGATTATTTTTCTTTCGAGTTTGTATTATTTTGTAGTTGAGAGGATAAGTTTCCGAAATAGAATTATAATTAGTATAAGATTCAAAATCAATAATGGAAACTGCTCCTCTTGAATTTCCGCATAGAAGACTAAAAAATATTTTTTAACTTGCCGTTTATGTGACACGTTTTTCAACTCTCCCATAATTTACAGCTTTTTGCTGTGGCACAAAGTCAATCTGGAAGGATTTGTTGTTAATAGCGAACTATGGGCTCTAAAAAGCAGAGTTGGTACTTATCCCCACAGATCCCAGCTTGATTTTGTATCATCGGAAAATTGATAGAATTCTGGGAGAGACGAAAAAAGGTCATCTAAACGTCAATTTATTAGAAAGAATTCTTTAAAGAAAATATAAAATTTACAATCGGCCATCAATCCGTTCAAATGCCATAGTTGATGTCCCTGAATTTGTAGTAACTTGGACCGCATGCCTACAACTTGAACGTAAAGTCGAAATGCGTCTATCAATTATTTCAAGCCGATCCAAACGACTTCCTTTGCCGCTATTAAAAATAAAATTTAATTTTCAAATATTATTTAGAGAACTAGCTACATTTCTCTGTTTTGAAATGCAAACGTGTAGATATTAGTCATCTATTTGTAAATCGCGAAAATTTTAGATAAAAGACTTTGTCCTTGCTGACATTTTGGGCTTTTACCCTTTTTGGCTATGTGTTTTTGGCATTATGCTTAATTTAACGGCAATTGTTCGGGACACGCCCGAAAAGGCGCGGACCAAAAAGGCGCGACCGAATAGGCGCCGGCCAAATTGGCGCCAAGCTTGTTCAATATTTAATTAAAAAATGCTCCTCCAAATCCTAAAAATAGATCGATTCTGATAATCCCGGACTAGGGTTGTCGGTACCGAAAAACCGAATTTAATTGATTATAATCAGAATATCTAATTAAAAGCTTGGCGCCTAATCGGCAGGCGCCTATTTGGCCGCGCCTTTTCGGTCGCGCCTTTTTGGTCCGCGCCTTTTCGGGCTGTACCCCAATTGTTCTTTTGTTAGGTCGACAGAGAAAAAGTTCGTTTTGTAAAATTGATGGATGATTTTTCGTTCAAAAATTTTGGATATTTTTTAGATATTGGATTTGGTTATACTTTGGATAGATTAAAAAAAAACTCTTTTTTAATGTTAAACCTTGTTTTTAGATTGGATTTAAATTCTTTTTAAAAGAAACATTTTTTGTTGCAAAGAAATATTTGGTTATTACTTATTTATCTACAAGTTTTGTTTACAAATTTTTTTCTGCTTTTCTTATTGGGTTGAATTTATTAGTTCTGCGTTTTAACTATTCGTATCAATTTTAGATTTTCAATCATATTTACTTGTTATTCTAAAATGCAACGACGTGATGGAAGAGGTGATGGCCGTCAACAGGGTGGAAATGGTAAATGTCAAAAGGGTGGTGAAGGTGAAGGTCAACAGCAAGATAAAAGCGTTGCTGGTAGTTCTCATGATGCACATGGATCCTCCAAAGTAAATTTAATTGAGAGACAAACTTGTTTTAATAAGTCCAATAAAAGTTTCTGTTGATAATTTGAATTCTCGATTTTTAGTGAAATTTAAAATCATTTTTTTAACTGTTTTACTCAAATTTTTATTTAGGTTTATGGAGAACAACCAGCAGGCAGTTCATCAACTTCTTCACAACCAACTGTGAAAAGTACACTAAATTATGCAAGAGCTGTAACTGGTAAACTTCCGCAAAAACAATCAGGAGGGATTTTGACTGAGAAGGTTTTATTTATAGTTGTTTTAATTTTAATTTAAATTCACTTTTCTAAAAATCTCTGAATCTGTTTATTTAGTCCGTAAAATAAATTTAAGCTTTTCTAAATACCCATTTAATTCGTTACAATTTAGTTGTTATATATTAGCATGGAAGAATGGACAAGGTTGAAAAGCATAGAAATCCTGTGGAAACAATCTCAAATCGAGACAAAGGTTTGAACTTTCCATTCATTTTTTACAAGTTTCAGTTATAAACATTTTATTTCTGATTTCTTAAATAACCGTGTTAATTTGTTACAATTTAGGCAGGAAGTTTTAATTTGCAAGAATTTTTACGGCTGATATATAATGAAATCCAGATGAAGGTTTGAACTTCTCATCCATTTTCTTTCATTAATTTATAGGAAAAAATTGATAAACTTATTTCGGAAAATGAAGTTTACAAATGTATTGAAGAATCGAGGAAAAAATTGTGGACAATTATGCCTGACAAAGTTAATAAGAAATTTTTTTCAATTTTTATTTGAATTTAGTCTAAGCAAGAAATCTATACGCCTTCTAAATTCATTGCTGAATCCAAAAAATGTCTGAAAAATAATCCGCCAAATTTGATAATGAGTAGTGAGAACGTATTAATTTTAGTTTTAAACTTTTTAAAATGAATTGTTTTTTAGGCATGGGGTGGATTTTGTGCCGCTGTGGCCTTGTTCTTCAAAGACTTAGTGATTAAATTAGATGGGGTTGAATTTATTGGAATAAATCTTCTTACCCACTCTGCGACTGTCGGAATGGGTTTTTTCTTGGCTGGTATGATGTCACGTTTTTTATCTAAATCTGGTAATGCACTTGCTGTAGAATATGCCATAGAGTTCGTTTATTTTTATAATAATCAGTATTGATAATTGGGTAGTTAGAGACGGGAAAAATCGAATTAGAGCGAATTAGGAAGCGAATACCTCGAATTCAAAATTTCGATTTTTTCGGCTTTCTTTTCGGATTTCCTAAACTTTACAAATATATTTGCTTTCTAATTTTATAGATGCCACAAAAACTTTTATAGAGGGTTTTTGATCTATACCCTGGTTGAGGAATTCATTGTGGAAATAGAGAATTACATTAAAAAATTGGATGGGCTAGACAAGAAAACTATTGCAGCGAATTTATCTCGGTGTGTGACAGCAGGAAAGTATGAAAAACCAAAAAAAACTCTTTATTTTAACAAAAAAAATGGTAAAGACTTTATTTGCGGAGTCGAATATTCTTTTGAATTGGAAATTGATGACAAACCGGAGCAGGATGTTTAGTCTGGTGTTTTAAATGAATAAAAAATTATAGACAAATTTAAAAAATATCGAATAAACCTCAAATTTTAAAATTTTTTGTTGCATTATATTGAATTACCGGTAATTTTTTGTTTTCGCTAATCTCTGATTATTTTTTTGTGATAAAAAGATGACTATAATCGTTACCCCTTTTCAATTGTTTTTTAAATCCATTTTCATTCCTCAAGTTCTCTCTATTTCCTATGTGTGTATTCAAATTAGAGACATTAATAAAGGAATAAATAAAACAATAATTAATTTTTTGTTGTATAGAAATATTTTGTTATTAATGATTTATCTACTAGTTTTGTTTGAAATTTTTTTCTGCTTTTCTTATTGGGTTGAAGACACATAGTCGCCGGTGACCGATTGACATCGACTTTTAAAAATCGGTTTGCGTAGTCTCTGTTAAAGTTTTAAGCGACCTTAAAAAAGGATCCTTCGCGACTAAGTGCCGGCGACTAAGTGGGTCGTACCCGAATTTATTAGTTCTGCGTTTTAACTATTCGTATCAATTTTAGCTTTTGAATCATATTTTCTTGTTTTTCTAAAATGCAACGACGTGATGGAAGAAGTGATGGCCGTCAACAGGTTGGAAATGGTAGATGCCAAAAGGGTGCTGGAGGTGAATTTCAGCGTGATAAAGGAAGTAGTGGAGATTATTGTGATCAAGATAAAAGCGGTACTGGTAGTTCTCGTGATGTACATGGATCCTCCCAAGTAAATTTAATTAAGAAACAATCTTTTGTTTTAATAAGTCCAATAAAAGTTTCTGTTGATAATTTGAATTCTCGATTTTTAGTGAAATTTAAAGACAGATTGTTTAGAGATTTTTTAAAATAATTACTCAAATTTTTTAGATTTATGGAGAAAAGCCAGCGGGCAGTTCGTCAACTTCTTCACAACCAACTGTGAAAAGTTCACTAAATTCTGCGAGAGCTGAAGCACCTAATCCTGATGTTTTGCAAACTCAAAAGGTTTCAGTTATATGTTTTAAATTCGTCTTTTCTTAAAATTGTTGAATCATTTAGTCCGCAAAATAAATGTTAAGAGTTTCGCTTATCAAACAAATAAAATGTGTCTTTCTATTGTAATAAAATGAGCCGAGTTCGAATATCACAATAAAAGTGCTCACATCAGAACAGTCGGAAATAATACATTTTTTGACGATTAAAGGATTCAGTTTTCCCGCTTAGGTTTGAACCTTCGATCACAAAATTTCATGTTTTATGGTTAATTTATATATCATTCTAAATATCTTGACGAGCTGAGTCGAATGACATTGATATCAGCTCGATAGGATGATACTAGACAAAGGTATGACCAACTGAATCTTAGCTGAAAAAACTTCTCGTTCTGTTACAGAGGTTTTCAGTTTTCTGAGGTCGAAGAAATACACTTGCCGATCGTTTTGAGCACTTATATTGTGATATTCGAATTCAGCGCATTTTATTACATCAAAAACACATTTTTAGTTGTTGATAGCGAAACTAGCCAAACAAATTTTTGACTTTCTAAATCAACATTTTTATCCCTTTCAATTTAGATGATAGATGTTAACATTGAAGAATGGACAAGGTTGAAAAACTTGGAAACCATGTGGAAACAGACTCAAATCGAGACGAAGGTTTAAACTTTCCATTCATTTTTTACAAGTTTCAGTTATAAACATTTTAATTTAATTCTGATTTCTTAAATAACGTGTTAATTATTTACAATTTAGTTAGGAAGTTTTAATTTGGAAGAATTTTTGCGGTTGAAATATAATGAAATCCAGATGAAGGTTTGAGCTTCTCATCCATTTTCTTTTATTAATTTATAGGAAAAAATTGATAAACTTCTTGCGGAGAATTCTGATCTTTACAACTCCATTGAACTATCAATAAGGGAAGGTTGGACAACTATGCCTGACAAAGTTAATAAGAAATTTTTTTCAATTTTCATTTAAATTTAGTCTAAGCAGGAAATCTATACGCCTTCTAAATTCATTGAAGAAGCCAAACTATGTCTGAAAAATAATCCGCAAAATTTGATGGAGTGCAGTGAAAAAGTATTGATTTTTTGAACTTAAAAATGCATTGTTTTTTAGACTTATCAAGGTTTTGCTTCAGCTGTGGCTTTGTTTTTAAAAGACATAGAAGTGATTGAATTGGTTGGGTCAAAATTTGTTGGTATAAATCTACGAAGCTATTCAGCAATCATCAGTATGGGTTTTTTCTTGGCTGATATGGCATCAAATTTTTTTGACGAATTTGAACTTGCACGTGGCGCAGGATGCGCTATTCGGTTCGTTCATATTTATAAATATCATTAGTATTGATAATCGGGTAGTTGTAGAATTCAAAATTTCGACTTTACAAAAAATGTCAGTTTATAATATTCGACCTAAATACATCACAGACATTGACCATTTTTAGCCTTAATATTTTTTGCTAAAACCCAAAAATTTTTTGGCTTTCCTAAACTTTACAAATATATTTGCCTTTTTAATTTTATAGCTGCTACAATAGTTTCCAATATGGCTATTTAACTCATAAGCTAATTGAGGAAGGCATTGAGGAAATAGAGATTTACATTAAAAAATTGAATATGCTGGACAATTACAAAAGATTTATTGCAGCAAATTTAGCTACTTATGTGAAAGAAGGAAAATATGAAGAAACTCAAAGAATTCTTTATTTTAATAAAAAGAAGGTCAAAGACTTTATTTGTGGAGTCGAATATTCATTTGACTTGGAACTTGATGATAAAAAGGCAGAGGATCTTGAGAATAGCGTTTTGAAATAAATAAAAAAATTTATATTATTGGCTAAACATTTTGTGACTTTAGGCATTTATTGGTTTTTTACTGATAATTTGGTTATGTGTTTTTGCTGATTATTATTTTTTGTGATAAATTGATGACTATAATTGTTCCTTCCTTTTTAGATTGTTTTTTAAATCCATTTAAATATTTTCCATTTTATTATTAGTTGTACGCAACATTTTCAGGTTCATTGTTCTTGCTATTTTAAATTATATATGTCGACAAATGCATTTAAATACCAAAAGTCAACTTCATTTTCCATTTGCAACAAAGAAAACCAATTGTTTTACTGCTGATCAAAAAGATGTTCTCATAGATGTGATCTATCAACGCCCTGTAATTTGGGATTCTTCTCTGATTGATTACAAGAATGTTAGCATTAAATAGTATTTTTTAAATTTTATCTTTTTATTAGAGAAATTGAGGCCGGCCCTGGAAACCGATTATTTGATAAAATTCGGGGTTTCTTGGGTTTCGTGTTTTTAGTATTGTAGTCCGGTAAACCCGGCCTGGATCTTGCCTCAAAACTAAAGCCCGTCCCGGAAATTTGAAAATGTCTAACTTTGTTTTATTACATAATTTTATTTATTTTTAGCCTCAAAATAGGATTGATGCCTTTGCAGAAGTTGCTAAATTATTCTCTGACGATAATTATGAGTATACTGGTATAATTTTTTAAAGTTCAATTAAACCGAGTAAATTCATTTTCAGGAGCACAAATAGAATATGAATGGGAAAATTTGCGCGATACTTTCAATGCAATATTGGCAAGACTTCCACTTGGAGGAAGCCGTGATGATATTACTTGGCGTTATTGGCCAAAGGTTTATTAAAAAATTAGCTATATATTTTTTTTATTTTTTTGTGTTTCTAGTTGCAATTTCTTGCTAAATTTGTAACTCCTATGCCAGAAAAATCTCCTGTAAATGATGAAGATCAACAAAGTGGTGATGAATATACAAACGAGGCAACACCAGACAAAATGACAGGCAAAATTTTTCTTACCGCCGAAAAAGATGAGGCTCTTATATCTGCTATCAAGGATCGTCCTATTATTTGGGATTATTCTCATCCTTATTACAATAATGTAAATGTTTTATTTTTTTATCGTCTATTAGGTTTGTTCACGAACGGTTGATTTTTGTGGTGCCCATTACTCGTTTGTTTATTTTTCAGCGTATGAAAAGAGCCTCTACTTATGCTGAAGTTTCTCGTTTTGTTACAGAGGTTTTCAGTTTTCTGAGGTCGAAGAAATACACTTGCCGATCGTTTTGAGCACTTATATTGTGATATTCGAATTCAGCGTATTTTATTACATCAAAAACACATTTTTAGTTGTTGATAGCGAAACTAGCCAAACATATTTTTGACTTTCTAAATCTACATTTTTATCCCTTTCAATTTAGATGATAGATGTTAACATTGAAGAATGGACAAGGTTGAAAAACTTGGAAACCATGTGGAAACAGACTCAAATCGAGACGAAGGTTTAAACTTTCCATTCATTTTTTTACAAGTTTCAGTTATAAACATTTTAATTTAATTCTGATTTCTTAAATAACCGTGTTAATCTGTTACAATTTAGTCAGGAAGTTTTAATTTGGAAGAATTTTTGCGGCTGAAATATAATGAAATCCAGATGAAGGTTTGAACTTCTCATCCATTTTCTTTTATTAATTTATAGGAAAAAATTGATAAACTTCTTGCTGAGAATTCTGATCTTTACAACTCCATTGAACTATCAATAAGGGAAGGTTGGACAACTATGCCTGACAAAGTTAATAAGAAATTTTTTTCAATTTTCATTTAAATTTAGTCTAAGCAGGAAATCTATACGCCTTCTAAATTCATTGACGAAGCCAAACTATGTCTGAAAAATAATCCGCAAAATTTGATGGAGTGCAGTGAAAAAGTATTGATTTTTTGAACTTAAAAATGCATTGTTTTTTAGACTTATCAAGGTTTTGCTTCAGCTGTGGCTTTGTTTTTAAAAGACATAGAAGTGATTGAATTGGGTGGGTCAAAATTTGTTGGTATAAATCTACGAAGCTATTCAGCAATCATCAGTATGGGTTTTTTCTTGGCTGGTATGGCATCAAATTTTTTTGACGAATTTGAACTTGCACGTGCCGCAGGATGCGCTGAAGAGTTTGTTCATATTTATAAATATCATTAGTATTGATAATTGAGAAGCAAAACTCGCACAAGCACCTCGCCGCCGCCCCATAGGTTTATGTTGCTTGTTTTTGTGTTTTTAATTTTCGAATATCTTTTCAAATTTTTTCAATTCATTTCATGGGACGCATAAATCGTCATCGGCCGCATTAACTTGACAAGAGCCAAAATTTTTTGGCTTTCCTAAACTTTACAAATATATTTGCCTTTTTAATTTTATAGCTGCTACAATTATTTCCAATATGGCTATTTAACTCATAAGCTAATTGAGGAAGGCATTGAGGAAATAGAGATTTACATTAAAAAATTGAATATGCTGGACAATTACAAAAGATTTATTGCAGCAAATTTAGCTACTTATGTGAAAGAAGGAAAATATGAAGAAACTCAAAGAATTCTTTATTTTAATAAAAAGAAGGTCAAAGACTTTATTTGTGGAGTCGAATATTCATTTGACTTGGAACTTGATGATAAAAAGGCAGAGGATCTTGAGAATAGCGTTTTGAAATAAATAAAAAAATTTATATTATTGGCTAAACATTTTGTGACTTTAGGCATTTATTGGTTTTTTACTGATAATTTGGTTATGTGTTTTTGCTGATTATTATTTTTTGTGATAAATTGATGACTATAATTGTTCCTTCCTTTTTAGATTGTTTTTTAAAACATTTAAATACATATTTTCTATAATTGATTTATTGTTAATTGTACACAACATTTTTAGGTTATTGTTTTTGCTATTCTAAATTATATATGTCGACAAATGCAATTAAATACCAAAAGTCAACTTCATTTTCCATTCGCATCAAAGAAAACCAATTGTTTTACTGCTGGTCTAAAAGATGTTCTTATAGATGTGATCTATCAACGTCCTGTAATTTGGAATTCTTCTCTGGCTGATTACAAGAATGTTAGCATTAAATAGTATTTTTTTTAATTATTATCTTTTTATTAAAAAATTTGTCGGCGGCTCTAGAAACCGATTATTTGATAAAATTCGGGGTTTCTTGGGTTTCGTGTTTGTAGTATTTTAGAATGGGAAACCTGGCCTGGATCTTGCCTCAAAACTAAAGCCCGTCCCGGAAATTTGAAAATGTCGAACTTTGTTTTATTACATAATTTTTATTTGTTTTTAGCCTCAAAATAGGATTGATGCCTTTGCAGAAGTTGCTAAATTATTCTCTGACGATAATTATAATTATACTGGTATAATTTTTTAAAGTTCAATTAAACCGAGTAAATTGCATTTTTAAGGAGCACAAATAGAATATGAATGGGAAAATTTGCGCGATACTTTCAATGCAATATTGGCAAGACTTTCACTTGGAGGAAGTCGTGATGATATTACTTGGCGTTATTGGCCAAAGGTTTATTGAAAAATTTTGAAAAGCTTATCCTTGCTTCTAGTTGCAATTTCTTGCTAAATTTGTAACTCCTATGTCAGAAAAATCTCCTGTAAATGATCAACAAAGTGATGATGAATATACAAACGAGGCAACACCAGACAAAATGACGGGCAAAATTTTTCTTACCGCCGAAAAAGATGAGGCTCTTATATCTGCTATCAAGGATCGTCCTATTATTTGGGATTATTCTCATCCTTATTACAATAATGTAAATGTTTTATTTTTTTTATCGTCTATTAGGTTTGTTCACGAACGGTTGATTTTTGTGGTGCCCATTACTCGTTTGTTTATTTTTCAGCGTATGAAAAGAGCCTCTACTTATGCTGAAGTGGCTAAAATACTTTCTGATGATAATCATAAATATTCTGGTATTTTTAATTTATTTTTATTGAGCAACTTTATTTTAAGGAAAAAATTTAAAGTTGATCTGGAGAAGTTTGATTAAAACTTTCAGAGACATTTCAAGGAGAGTTAAATCAAATGTTGGAGCTGATGATAAAGTTACTTGGCGTTATTGGCAAAAGGTTTATTGACAGTTAAAATTTTTTTAAAATTTCTAGTTGCAATTTATAACTCCTGAAAAGGCAGATAATGCAAAATCAATTATAATAAAAGACAGAATTTTTCTTACCGCCGAAAAAGATGAAGCTCTTATATCTGCTATCAAGGATCGTCCTGTTATTTGGGATCGTTCTCATCCTTATCACAAAAATGTAAATCAGTTTTATTTTTTTCCTTTTTTTGCCTATCAGGGTTGTTCACGAACGGTTGATTTTTGTCTAGGACAGCTTAAATGGATAATAAGAGCTTTGAGCAGCCACCAAGGGCGTAGCTTCTTTCTCTTTTTATAGGTGAAAGAATTCACTTTTTTGATAATTTTCTTCAAAAAATTTTCATTTTCCTCCATTTCAGGAGGAAAATTTTCCTCCATTTCAGGAGGAAAATGAAGGCTTCCCCTGGACCGCCCTAAGTCCTCACCTGGACCGCCACAGGCAATAAATTGCCGGTCGTGAACCAGAGGGTGTATTTCGACCGACCTCTGCCGTTAAGACCTATATTTTTACTCTTTTTTTCAGAATATACATCGATGCAATGTTTATGCTGAAGTGGCTGAAATACTTTCTGATGATAATCATAAATATTCTGGTATTTTTTTTTAAATTTTCATTTAGCAAATTTATTTTAAGAAATAAAAGTAAGGAGTGTCTGGCAAAATTTACTTGCCACTTTCAGAAAGGTTAAAGCAAATGACCTAGCTGCTGATGATACATTTACTTGGCGTTATTGGCAAAAGGTTTATTGAAAAGTTAAATTTTTATTTTTTTTAATTTCTAGTTGCAATTTATGGCTAAGCCAAAAAATCAACAAAAACCAGTAAAAATAACAATTCCCGAAGAAAAAAAGGATGCTCTTATATCTGCTTGCAAGGATCGTCCTATTCTTTGGGATCGTTCTCATCCTGATTACAAAAATGTAAATTAGTTATATTTTTTCCTTTTGGGGCCTATTAGGTATGTTCACGACCGGTTAATTTTTGCTTGTGTCAGCTCATCAGGTTAATCAACCGGAAATTAACCGGTTGTGAATAACCTACTATTCGTTTATGTATTTTTCAGTTACGAAAAAAATCTATTGTTTATGCTGAAGTGGCTGAAATACTTTCTGATGATAATCATAAATATTCTGGTATTTTTTTAAATTTTTATTCACATCAGCAAATTTATTTTAAGGAAGAGAAGTTTTCTTGGTCTGGAAAAGGCTTCGTGAATATTTTGTAATACTTAAATCAACTGGTTTAGCTGCTGATGATGCATGTACTTGGAAATACTGGAAAAATGTTTATTTAAAACTTAATTATGTTTGATTTTTTTAAATTTAAGTTGCAATTTATTGCTAAATTCGTAACTTCTCAACAAATTAGCAATAATAAAAAAATAAAAGATCGAGTCTTTCTTACCGCCGCAAAAGATGAAGCTCTTATATCTGCTATCAAGGATCGTCCTGTTATTTGGGATCGTTCTCATCCTGATTACAAAAAAGTAAATGTTTTTTTTCTTGTTTTTTGTTTGGTGCCTATTAGGTTTTTCACGCCCAGTTTATTTTTCCAAATGGTTGTCGGAACTGCTGAAGTTAATCTATAAAATTTAGATTAACTTTTTTTTTTACAACTCTGGTGCCTATTACTCTTTTGTTTATTTTTCAGTTACGAAGAAAAGCTACTGTTTATGCTGAAGTGGCTGAAATACTCTCTGATGATAATCATAAATATTCTGGTATTTTTATTCTAATTTATTTTTATTGAGCAAATTAATTTTAAGGAAGAGAAGTAATAATGGTTTGGAAAACTTTGCTTGCCACTTTCAGAAAAGTTAAAAGAAATGACCTAGCTGCTGATGATACATTTACTTGGCGTTATTGGCAAAAGGTTTATTAAAGATAAAATAATTTCTATTAAATTTCTAGTTGCAATTTATCTCTAAACCTGCAAAATCAGAAAAGCCACCAAAAAGCGTTAATAAAATGAAATTAGGCAGAATAATAAAAGACAGAATTTTTCTTACCGCCGAGAAGGATGAGGCTCTTATATCTGCTTGCAAGGATCGTCCTATTCTTTGGGATTGTTCTCATCCTTATTACAAAAATGTAAAGTTTTTTTATTTGTTTTTTTTTTGTATCCTGTTTCTGACCTGATGCTACTATTACCCTTACCTCTTAAATTAATTTTTTTCAGATTGTTCAAAGAGCCTATGCCTTTGATGAAGTGGCTAAAATACTTTCTGATGATTATCATAAATATTCTAGTTTTTTTAATTTTATTGCTCTAAGCAAATTTATTTTAAGGAGTAAAAGTAGGGTTTATTTGGCGAAGTTTGCTTTCCACTTTCTATGTAATTTCAAAGGGAGTTGAATCAAATGGAGAAGCTAGTGATACAGTTACTTGGCAGCACTGGCACAAGGTTAAGTTTAAAACTTAAATTTTATTTTCGCGTTTTTAGTTGCAATTTCTTGCTAATAAACAATTTCTTGCTAATAACGAGCAAATAAATAACAGAATTGAAGAGCAGCCTGCTAGTACTGGAACACAAAAATCAAAATCATCTCAAGAAGATTTTCGCAAAGGCAGTCAAGACTACGTTTTGTTTACTTCCGAGCAAAAAGAAGCTTTTATTGATGCTATTCGGGAACGTCAAATTATTTGGGGTTTTATGCCACGTAACTTCGAGGAGGTTAGTTTTATTAAAAGTTAGATTTTCTGTAAGACACCCATTAATATGAACCTTTCACTAATAGGAGAGCTGTAACTATAAGCAAAGCTCTCTGTTTGAGATACATACAGTTAAATTATACCCAATAGCGTATCTTATAAGGTTTCTCGTTCTAATTATTTTTATTTTATTAGTTTCAAGAAAGGAGAGCTGCCTATAATGAAGTCGCTGAAATTCTTTCCAACGATAAATCAAAATATACAGGTTATTTTTTATAATTTAAAATTTAAAAACTAAAGTTTTTAGGACCAGAAATGCAATATTTGTGGCATAATTTACGTGTTGCATTTCAACATAGGTTGAAAAAAGTTATTGCAAATGAAGGAGATGATAGTAAAATTACTTGGATTTATTGGAAAAAGGTTAATTAAAAATTTTTTTAGAATTTTTCTTTATTCTTTTTTTAGTTAAAATTTATTGAAGAATATGAGCGTACAAAAATAAATATAAGAATGTATTCAAGTTTTAAATTTTAAAAAATAAAATTTTAATATTATAGGCCCGAGCAAGCGTCGTCTCTTAATTCAAAAAAAGCGGGCGAAGAAGAAGGGGAGGAAGAACAAATAAACGAGGTAAATAAAAAAATTTTTAATCTTTTTTGTTTAATCTTTAGCCGTCTACGAGTGATAACTATTATCATGCTTCTCAAAAGGAAAAAGGTTTGTTCAGTTTCTATTAGAGTTCGAAGATTAAAAAAATCCTGATCTTGCTTTAGGTTAAGGACCTTGGCCTGATTCTTCTTTATTTTTCAGATTTTGACAACTTGACTTCTATGACTGTTGATTTGTCTAATTTTGCCATCTTTCCTGATGAAGTTGAAAAGGTTTTTTTTTACTTTTTTCTACAGATCACAAATACATTTTAAGGGTGTTAAAAAGTTGGATGGCCATGTCCATGTTAAAACAAGAAGTTCGACATGTAACAATGATAATATTTTGTCAATTAATGCTAGTCCAAAGTTGACCAATTCGAGTAACTCGACAAACAGCCAAATTGATGAATGGAAGAAAAAATCTCGTCATTTTACAAATTGTGCACATACGGATACATGTGATCCTTTTGGATTATTTGAGGCAAATGAAGAGAATATTTGTTTTAGCTGTTTGGAGATTAGAGCTAACTTAAGAGAAAAGGTTTGGAAATATTTTTCTATTAATCTTGCTATAAGATAACTCCAAAAATTTTTATGAGACGCTCTTTAAAATTCGCTTGGCCATTGGGTGGGGTGGCTGTCTAGTCGATACCTTCTACCTCATTATAAGGATACCCTCTATTTAACGTACATCTCATAGGAGACGATTTTTCTAAGGGTTTTCTTATAATGAGGATTGGCTGTATTTAACTAAAATATTTATAACTAAAGGCCATTTTAATGTGGGACGGTGAACAATTGGAACAACAACTTTGTGATTATGCATATTTCCATGCCATTAAAATATTTAATCCTAATGCTGAATATCAATTTGCTAATTCAAAATGTTTGTTTTTAAAATTTAAACTTTAAATAAAATTTTTTTTACAGCTCAACATCCTTATTTCCTTTCTTATAAAAATATTAGACAACAAGTAAAAATTATTCTTAAAAATTTGTCTTCTTTATTTAATTTCCCTTCTGAAATGATTAATGCTGCAAAAAGAGCTTTTATGAAACAGACAAAAAATAATCAAAACGCTTTGAGAATTTCTACATATTGCAAGGTTTGGAATTTTTAAAAAATAATATTTGAAGCCCAAAAAAGAGATAGAACCTTCGATTATATTTCCTAGATAAAGATTCTATACCGATTATGGATGTCACGGGGATTGAGAAAAAAGTCGGATGAGGACTTTCAAAATTTTCTTTGGATCGGGGTTCGGGGTGAAAATAAGATTGAGTTTCGGACCCGTGACATCCATGTTTCGGTCATTTCAAACTTTTCACTAATTTTTCTTTTAAATTTTAAGATTTGTTGTGAGAAGGTAACTTTTACGACATGTGTTCTTACGTTTGAAGGAAATAAATATAGAAATAATTTTGAATTAATTGAAAATGATGATCCAAAGGTTTTTATTTAATTCAAAAAATTAAAAAAATTTTTAGCCTAATAATTTCATCGTCTGTTTTCGCCATGCAAAATTGTTTTGTATTTATTATCGTCTTCTCCACATGGATTGGAATATTCATTGGAATTGTTATTTGAGGGTTATTTTTTACTTAAAATTTTTTAACGATTCTATTTTTAGATATCTCAAATTCAAAAACGTTTGCCTAATTTGAATGATTCTAATGTTATAAATGCTATTGATCCTCAAATTTTTATGGTATTTTTTTGTTTTAAGATATACATAAGGTTGGGTATACCCTCGGAAACAAAATTTTCTTTAAGTTTTTAGGGGTTTCCGAAAATTCACAATTTTTTCCGGATTCATGTATTTAGGCCTAACCCTACCAGAAATTGGTTTACCCGGTACCAGACTTTTCTCTCAAATTGTGACATCCCTGATTCCCACTTATGTCAGCGTGTTACAAAATATATGTAAAAAATCTTTTTTTTTAAAATTTTTCAGTATATTTCGAAGGAATATTTTTCTTTATTTAAAATGCTGGATGAACGCTTATATGATGGAAGTGATGGAAACAAAAAAAATTTTAATCATACAGTTACGGACTCGTTACTTGAAGGCTTTTATAGCTGGGACAAATTTAATGATTATATTAAGGATATGGGAATATTGAAAAGAATAGAAGAAGAAAAATAGTAATATTTTTTTATATATTAAAAATTTTATACATCTTTTATTTATAAGTTAACACAGCAATTTAACCAACAACCAAAAAATTTTCCCCCCACCGGGTTCGAACCTCCGACCCTGTGGGTATTTTATCGGAAAATTTTCCCACTACACCAAAGTATTTTTCTTTGATGGTTAAGTGGTTTAAATTGCTGTGTAAACAAGGACCAGCAGGTAAATAAAATTTTATTTATTTCTCCGAGCGTGTACTGCCAGTATTTTGTTGAATTATCTCTGTAGGTTGTTGATTAATACTTTGAGATGAAGATTTTTTTGAGGCTCTAGAAGTTGATGAACTAAGAAAACCAGTATTTTGTTGTTCTTCATTTTGCTCTTTTTGTTGTTGTTTTGAAGTTGTTGAACTACCTCCGCCAGTTATGTTTGTAGCAGCGGAAGCTAATTGTCTGCCAAGTTCGCGAGCAGCGATACGAAGACCTGGGGCCTACAAAAGGAGATGAAAGGAGGAAAAAATAATTGGAATGAATGAAAAAAGAGAAACGGCAAAAAGCTATAAAAAGCTAATAGAAAATATCACAGGTCTAGGCTTCTTCAAAAATTTTAGTTGTTGTTGGGACGTTGTTGTGCTGCAACACTAGATGAAGAACAACTACTAGAATCTCTTCTAATCCCTCTACTACTATTTACATTGCCTCTAGTCATTGTCAATGTTGAAGAATCGAAAGAATTTGGTTGACATTTTGTCTTCTTTTCTCGTTCAATTCCAACAAAAGAGCCGGATCTTGAGCCTGAACTTCCTCTCAAACCTTTGCAGGTATTTAAAGTATTCAAGGGAAATTGTGGATTGTCTAAACTTTGTTGATTTGTTGTTGTTTTTGAAGGCGTTTTGCGAGAAGCTTTGCGTGAAATTAACGTTGAGAAGGAGTACTGAAATTAATTAGTAGGCAAAAAAGAAGAAAATAAGCAAAAAAAAGTAATTTAAAAATTAAAGCAGAAAAGTAAAGAAGCCAAAGAAAAGCAAAGTTCTAAAACTAGAAAGCAGGAAAAAATAAAAAAATCTAAAAAACCTTTTTCCCAGAAATGTTCAACAGATCTCGATATCTATAAATTAATTCCAAATTTTCTAAAAAATTTTCGATTCTTCCCCCCAATTTACAAGTCTGAACGAAGAAATCTCTGGTAGCTATCATTCTTCATTAAACAAAAAATGTGATCAGCAGCCTCATCAAATGACCATCGATTCGGATTATTTTTGAGATTCTCGTCAATTATTTCCATTACTTTACAATCAATATTGACTGGAGATTGAGCGTTGGAGTCGATAAATTCATTGTAGATTTCTGTGACTAGGACGGGCACCATTCGGCAACTACATTTACGGAGTTTTTGGACCTAGAAAATAAAAAAAAGATGAGTTTTTGGTAGATTAAGACGAGGGGCGAAATTTGTGGATAAAAAAATTTTTGCGCATAAAAACTTGCGGACGGACAAAATTCTTTAATTTTTGATCAGACGCAAGTTCGACCCTTCAATAATTTATTTTAATTTAAAAAATAACCTCCATCCAAAAACGCAAATTTTCTCCAGAATATTCTTTATCAAGAAATTTTTGTAGTGTTTCTCTTCCAACCTTTTAATTAATTTATAAAAATTTATTTTTAAATTAAAATTAAAACCGGATCAATTAACAATTCTTCAAAGGATTCTTCCCATAATTTTAATCTTCTAGTTGAAATATCGCCAGTTCTAAATTTTTGAAATTTTAAAAATTAATTTTCGAAAAAAACATTTTGTCATGTTGCCAAAAATCAACAGTATCTGAAATCCAGGGATTTGGTTGTCCTTGAAATGGATCTGTAGCTGAACCCAGTTGGACAATAAATGCATCAAATGAAACCCTGTAGAAAATAAATAGATCCTTAATTATCTTTAATAAATCAGACGCCATTATAAAATACCCCCAATACTAACTTCTAATTAAGATATTCTGGAAGGGGGAAGTCGCCTAAGTTATACTCTCCATCTAAGAGACCCTCATTATAAGAAACTATTGGATAAGGAATTTGCTTAAGCACCTATTTAAGAAACCCTCCATTTAAGAGACTCTCATTATAAGAGACTATTAGGTGGGAAATCTGCTTAAACCTCTATTTAAAAAATCCTCCATTTAAGAGACACGTCATTATAAGAGACTTTTTCCTGCCTCAAGGGAGTGTCTTACCAAAATATAAAATAATACCGATGCCCATAATATTGTAAATAACTTTCTGCTAATTTTGATGTCTTCAATACATTTTTAGACAATCTTGTTTGTAATTCAGAAATCTTTTTAAAAAATAATTCTTAATTAAAGAATATTAATTTACCTCAATTTTTAAATAATCTTTTATTTGTGTATATCTTCTCCTTCCAGGTTTTTGATAAAAACGGACTTCCCTGAAAATAAAAGGTTGAGAAAAAAAGGCGGAACGAGGTGTGGGTTGGGCCAAAAAGTTCCAGTTTCGAGTAACCCTTGACAGCTCTGAAATATGTATGGGCCGATTTTTCCCCAAAATTATTTTAAAAAAGAAAACCTTATATTAGGCGTTTTCAAATTATTTGAATTATTTAATTGAGATTCATTATCTTCCATTTGAATAACCAAAGTATTGCAAGTAGATTGTTTAGATCTTCCAGAACGACTTAATTTTCTAATATCCACCTTTAAAAATTAAAAAAAAATAAATTTTTAAATTCAATTTTGTTTACTTCAGTTGTATTTACACATCCAGGCACGGGTCTATGCAAATCCCAAAATGCTCTCTCTTGACTATCCAAAATTTGTCTCTCTATTCTGTCCCGTTTTTTGTCAACCCTTTAAAATAATTTTGGTAAAATTTAAAAAAGATTCGGGAATTCTAAAGGAGGGGGCTTGAAAATTTTTTAAATTTTTGAATGGGGCAGAATCCCGTGCAATTGAAACAATTTGAAAAAACCCCCGAATTTTGAGACTGAATCCTTCCCATGTGAGAACCCGTTCTTTATTAAATTAAAAAAATTATTTCTCTTACTTATATTGCGCCTCTGCTTGCATAAAAACAAATTCCCATTTTCTACTTAACATCTTTTGTAATTTTGCCAAATTTTCTGCTTCAAAATCCTCCAATTCTAAATGTGCTTTGTTTTGCATTGTTCTTTTGCACAAATAAACGGCTTTAAATAAATTGAAATTAAAAAATAATTTTTAGAAATTAAATTTTGAAAGTCCGCAAAAATGTCCGCAAATTTTTCTTAATTTTTGCGGACATTTTTGCGGACATTTTTAAAAATAAAAAGAAACCGTAATCCATATTTTCAGGTTCCCAACAATTTGAAGGCCAAAAATAGGGAGTTTGGAAGCGATAAAAAGAAGTGTCTCCTCCCTTCATTGTAATTACGTGATCATCAACTTGAAATATATATCCGTGTGAAGCAAATAAATGCAGTAAATGATTGGCATCTATTTCGTCAAAAACGTCAATGTGCTGAAAATTAATTTTATTGATTATTTAAAAAAATGCTTACAGCAATTAACCAAACAATCAAATCCTGGCCGGAGAATACAGAAACTATTCTAAAAATTAAAAAAAAATAGAAGAAAAAACTATAAAATCCGCAAGTTCTGTCCGCAAAAAAATGCGGACAAAATTTGCGGACTTTTTAAAAATAAAATAATACTTTGAAAGAAAACTTTTGACAGTTTTTATTTTAATTCCATCCTCAGAATGTAACATTTGACTTTTAAAAAGATTTTTATTTTAAATTTATTTTTCAATTTTTACTTTATTAATTTTTCCATTTTCCTGTAAATAAGCATATTTGGATGTGGATGCTTTTCTTCTGCAAAACTGGTACTACAACTTGTGGTGCTTGTACAATTACTGCTTGCCATTAATGTCTCTGAAAAAAACGTCAAAATCCGCAAGTTTTGTCCGCAAATTTTTTGCGGACAAAACTTGCGGACTTTTTTAAATAAAATTTTTAAAATTTAAAATTATTCTTAAAGGTATTTCCAGTCAAAATAAAATTTATGAAAAAAAATCTTAAGAGAAAAGAACGAAGGAAAAATCCTTTTTAAACATAAAAAAGACAAATAAGCAGGGGATTAAAAAAATATAATAAATTATATTTTTAAATTCTTTATTTTTTTCTGAGAAATATAAAGAAAAAAAAACACGGAAGTATAAAGCAAAAGAATTAAAAGTACATGGTAAATAGAAATATTCGGGCAAATCACGGGATATTTTACCACCCCCAAATCAATCGGTGGATGTATTGACTATGGTGTAGTGGGATAAAATTCAGTTTTTTGAGGGAAAGTGGAAGGGGTTCGATCCTCTTTGATGGTAAATGATTTTATATCAAAAATTTTTCTTATTTTTTTTGTTAAAAATTTCTGTGACTTTTACAGCCTTAAAAATTTTTTATTTTGCTTTTTTAATTCAAAAATATTCAAAAAACAAAGCAAAAACAAACAAACATTTCTTGGCCATTATTTCCTTTTTGTTTAGGAAATGTTTAAAAAGAATGAGTGAGAGGATATATATTTTTTATTGATTATTGAAGACTGTCGGGAATGAAAGTAAAAAGGCTTTAAGAGCAAAAAAGGAGAAAGGAAAAGTAGATATATGGGAAAAAATAAAAAAAATAAATTGAGTGTATTTGAGTGCTTTTTAGTTAAAAATATAAATTAAATTAATTGGATATTTTCATGGAAAATTAATTTTAAAATTGAAGGGAAAAGGGTAAAAACAAGGGGGAATAAGAGAGGATTAAATTGGGGCCCTAAAAGTTCAAAAAATTTGTTAAAAGAAATTTTTTTTGTTTTTTCTATATATCCGGATGTTTAGTGCAGTTTCCCCCCATGGGTACTTATTTATGACGTGCTAGCTACCCATCTTCGAATGATAGAACCAATGGTCCGGTATTGGAGATGAGTACTTTTATTCAGGGTAAGTAGAGCCTATTGCAATCATTGTATTATCCAAAGATTTAGTAAAAATATTTCAGTAAACCTAACCCATGGGAGGGAAACTACACTAATTCCCATACTTCTATATTTGCTTAAAAAATTTTTTGAGGTAAAAAACTTCAAAAAAATACAGCAAAAAACAAATACTTGTAACGTGACAAAAAATAAAAATCCCTCAATTTTTGACTATTCTTCCTTCTTCTTGTAGAGATTGACAAAGAAAGGAAGGCTGATCATTAACAACAACAAAAAAATATTTCAAGTGGACAACAAGAAAAAAGACAATGGCACGTATTCTACAAAATAATTATTATTCTTGTTTTCCTTCTCTTTTTTTATTGTTCCCTCATATTTTTCTAGAGAAACGTCATATCCTTATTTTTGTATATTTTATTTAAATAATGGACCACCAACACTGGAAAATAAATTTTTTTTTGGGAAAATAAAAATAACCACATTAATTTTTATGTTTATTCATTGTTCTCTCTCCTTTTTTAATTCTTTAAAATAAAACAAATAAAAAAATAAATTTTTTTTCTCGCTGTGGACAATGTCCATAATTCTCCTCTCCTTTTTCCCCCACAATTTCCTTTTAATATTTTAAACAAAAATTAAATTAAATAAATCATTTAGAAGCCAGGCCATTCTTCTTCCCAAAAAATATCTCTAATCTTTAATTAAAAAATGTCTCCATCCTCAGGCATTTACAGAAATATTTTTAATTTAAATAATATTTTATTAAAATTATTTTTGATGGCTTTTTGGGTATCTACTGGAATTTATGGAGAAGGTTCATATCAAAATAAAATTGCTGTCGGACCTCTTTATAAGATACCACCAACATTAAATACACTTCTATTTAAGAGACGGCTTTAAAATCTGGTTGGCTACGTGAGGGAGCTTCTTAGACAATACCCTCTATTTAAGATAACCTCATTATAAGAGAAAGACTCTCTATAAGATGCTCTCAATATTAGCTACACCTCTATTTAAGATATCTCTTTAAAATTTGGTACGCTAATGGGGGGAGGGGACTATGTAAAAAATACTCTCTATTTAAGCAACACCTCTTTATAAGAGACTATTTTTTCAACCCTCAAGGGGGTATCTATAAATGAGGTCCGACTATATTTATTTTAATAGAAACACTGTTATCATCAAATCAACAAAGAATATCTTCCCTTCCATCATCTCTCCCTTCTTCCCTCCCCTTTTCTTCATCTTCCCTTGTTCTAGCCGATCCAAACTTTTCTCACCAATCAGCCTATTCTCCCCCAGCGGAGCCCAATCCAATTTTGGCATCAGAATATCAACAAAATGATGACGAAATTGGAGGAAATAGTGAAGTCTTGTATGACGAATCGTCTTTAAAAGAAGAAGAAAAATTAAAAAATAATTTAATAAATAATCTAAAAATTAGACAAAATTTAAAAAAAGATGAACAAATGGATGGATTAGTAGAAAAATCCAAAAAAGAAAAAAATAATTTTTCCTCGTCAGAATCACAAGGGTTAATTAAAAGAAGACAGTTTAGCCAATATGGAGCAGCACAAATTGGAGGAATGCCAGAAATACCTACAGGAATTGGTTAAATTAAAATATTGGAAACAATTGACTATTATCCGGGAGAGTTCGTAGGAGCCGAATAGAACGACACCAAAATTCTGAGGGGCTTATAAATCAGGACTGAGATATAGGGCTCGAAATGGTCAAAAACCGTGAGGGGGATTGCATTTTTGCCGTTCCCCACTAGTACGTATAGCAACTCAAACCCAACCTTTTATTCGTTTAACAAATAATTTAATTTTTAGCAGGTCCTCCAAGCCCCCCAGCAAGTGCTTGCCCAGGAGGCCCAGCTTTACCTATTGAGTGTGACCCAAAAAGGCCATGGCCCCAATGCCCTCCTCAAAGTTATTGTTATGCTACAAATTCTGTTGATATTGGACCTTATTATTGCTGTCCAGTTTGTTAGTTTTCTAATTAAAAATACAATCGAACCTTGCTATTATAAAATACGCCCTTTTACCCTATAACGAGCTGTGTCTTAAATAGAGGTCAATTAGTTTGGGTATATCTTATACTGAGCTTTGGTCGTATTTTCAAGTAAAACACAATCGGACCTCACTGTAAGATGCACCTTTGGGGCTGAAAAATAGTCGCTTATAATGAGTTTTAAATAGAGTTAAATAGAGGGGTTTCTACTATCGGGGGTATATTAAATAGAGTTTTTTTTTATTATTGGGTGTATATTATAATGGGGTATTAATAAAAAATTTTTAAAAAGGGTCAACGTATGGAGCAGCTTGGAGACCAGCCACCCCATTTTATAATTATGTTCCTCCTCCACCTCCAAATTGGGCTGAGCCAGCAATGCAAATGGCCGCATCTCCTCGCTATGGACCTTTCAGAAAAAATTTAAAAGTAAATTTAAGAATATAAATATTTATAAAAAATTATTTAAAGGAACAAAATGGCGAGGAAAATATAAAGGAAGAAGAACCAGAAGAAATTCAGAACACCCAAAAAAGTTTGAGAAGATTATAAAATAATCTTTTTTTGTTTTTTTTAACTTTACTTAATAATAAAAATATATTTAAAAAATTAATATGGTCAACTTGAAAAAAATCAACTTGAAATATATATCCGTGTGAAGCAAATAAATGCAGTAAATGATTGGCATCTATTTCGTCAAAAACGTCAATGTGCTGAAAATTAATTTTATTGATTATTTAAAAAAATGCTTACAGCAATTAACCAAACAATCAAATCCTGGCCGGAGAATACAGAAACTATTCTAAAAATTAAAAAAAAATAGAAGAAAAAACTATAAAATCCGCAAGTTCTGTCCGCAAAAAAATGCGGACAAAATTTGCGGACTTTTTAAAAATAAAATAATACTTTGAAAGAAAACTTTTGACAGTTTTTATTTTAATTCCATCCTCAGAATGTAACATTTGACTTTTAAAAAGATTTTTATTTTAAATTTATTTTTCAATTTTTACTTTATTAATTTTTCCATTTTCCTGTAAATAAGCATATTTGGATGTGGATGCTTTTCTTCTGCAAAACTGGTACTACAACTTGTGGTGCTTGTACAATTACTGCTTGCCATTAATGTCTCTGAAAAAAACGTCAAAATCCGCAAGTTTTGTCCGCAAATTTTTTGCGGACAAAACTTGCGGACTTTTTTAAATAAAATTTTTAAAATTTAAAATTATTCTTAAAGGTATTTCCAGTCAAAATAAAATTTATGAAAAAAAATCTTAAGAGAAAAGAACGAAGGAAAAATCCTTTTTAAACATAAAAAAGACAAATAAGCAGGGGATTAAAAAAATATAATAAATTATATTTTTAAATTCTTTATTTTTTTCTGAGAAATATAAAGAAAAAAAAACACGGAAGTATAAAGCAAAAGAATTAAAAGTACATGGTAAATAGAAATATTCGGGCAAATCACGGGATATTTTACCACCCCCAAATCAATCGGTGGATGTATTGACTATGGTGTAGTGGGATAAAATTCAGTTTTTTGAGGGAAAGTGGAAGGGGTTCGATCCTCTTTGATGGTAAATGATTTTATATCAAAAATTTTTCTTATTTTTTTTGTTAAAAATTTCTGTGACTTTTACAGCCTTAAAAATTTTTTATTTTGCTTTTTTAATTCAAAAATATTCAAAAAACAAAGCAAAAACAAACAAACATTTCTTGGCCATTATTTCCTTTTTGTTTAGGAAATGTTTAAAAAGAATGAGTGAGAGGATATATATTTTTTATTGATTATTGAAGACTGTCGGGAATGAAAGTAAAAAGGCTTTAAGAGCAAAAAAGGAGAAAGGAAAAGTAGATATATGGGAAAAAATAAAAAAAATAAATTGAGTGTATTTGAGTGCTTTTTAGTTAAAAATATAAATTAAATTAATTGGATATTTTCATGGAAAATTAATTTTAAAATTGAAGGGAAAAGGGTAAAAACAAGGGGGAATAAGAGAGGATTAAATTGGGGCCCTAAAAGTTCAAAAAATTTGTTAAAAGAAATTTTTTTTGTTTTTTCTATATATCCGGATGTTTAGTGCAGTTTCCCCCCATGGGTACTTATTTATGACGTGCTAGCTACCCATCTTCGAATGATAGAACCAATGGTCCGGTATTGGAGATGAGTACTTTTATTCAGGGTAAGTAGAGCCTATTGCAATCATTGTATTATCCAAAGATTTAGTAAAAATATTTCAGTAAACCTAACCCATGGGAGGGAAACTACACTAATTCCCATACTTCTATATTTGCTTAAAAAATTTTTTGAGGTAAAAAACTTCAAAAAAATACAGCAAAAAACAAATACTTGTAACGTGACAAAAAATAAAAATCCCTCAATTTTTGACTATTCTTCCTTCTTCTTGTAGAGATTGACAAAGAAAGGAAGGCTGATCATTAACAACAACAAAAAAATATTTCAAGTGGACAACAAGAAAAAAGACAATGGCACGTATTCTACAAAATAATTATTATTCTTGTTTTCCTTCTCTTTTTTTATTGTTCCCTCATATTTTTCTAGAGAAACGTCATATCCTTATTTTTGTATATTTTATTTAAATAATGGACCACCAACACTGGAAAATAAATTTTTTTTTGGGAAAATAAAAATAACCACATTAATTTTTATGTTTATTCATTGTTCTCTCTCCTTTTTTAATTCTTTAAAATAAAACAAATAAAAAAATAAATTTTTTTTCTCGCTGTGGACAATGTCCATAATTCTCCTCTCCTTTTTCCCCCACAATTTCCTTTTAATATTTTAAACAAAAATTAAATTAAATAAATCATTTAGAAGCCAGGCCATTCTTCTTCCCAAAAAATATCTCTAATCTTTAATTAAAAAATGTCTCCATCCTCAGGCATTTACAGAAATATTTTTAATTTAAATAATATTTTATTAAAATTATTTTTGATGGCTTTTTGGGTATCTACTGGAATTTATGGAGAAGGTTCATATCAAAATAAAATTGCTGTCGGACCTCTTTATAAGATACCACCAACATTAAATACACTTCTATTTAAGAGACGGCTTTAAAATCTGGTTGGCTACGTGAGGGAGCTTCTTAGACAATACCCTCTATTTAAGATAACCTCATTATAAGAGAAAGACTCTCTATAAGATGCTCTCAATATTAGCTACACCTCTATTTAAGATATCTCTTTAAAATTTGGTACGCTAATGGGGGGAGGGGACTATGTAAAAAATACTCTCTATTTAAGCAACACCTCTTTATAAGAGACTATTTTTTCAACCCTCAAGGGGGTATCTATAAATGAGGTCCGACTATATTTATTTTAATAGAAACACTGTTATCATCAAATCAACAAAGAATATCTTCCCTTCCATCATCTCTCCCTTCTTCCCTCCCCTTTTCTTCATCTTCCCTTGTTCTAGCCGATCCAAACTTTTCTCACCAATCAGCCTATTCTCCCCCAGCGGAGCCCAATCCAATTTTGGCATCAGAATATCAACAAAATGATGACGAAATTGGAGGAAATAGTGAAGTCTTGTATGACGAATCGTCTTTAAAAGAAGAAGAAAAATTAAAAAATAATTTAATAAATAATCTAAAAATTAGACAAAATTTAAAAAAAGATGAACAAATGGATGGATTAGTAGAAAAATCCAAAAAAGAAAAAAATAATTTTTCCTCGTCAGAATCACAAGGGTTAATTAAAAGAAGACAGTTTAGCCAATATGGAGCAGCACAAATTGGAGGAATGCCAGAAATACCTACAGGAATTGGTTAAATTAAAATATTGGAAACAATTGACTATTATCCGGGAGAGTTCGTAGGAGCCGAATAGAACGACACCAAAATTCTGAGGGGCTTATAAATCAGGACTGAGATATAGGGCTCGAAATGGTCAAAAACCGTGAGGGGGATTGCATTTTTGCCGTTCCCCACTAGTACGTATAGCAACTCAAACCCAACCTTTTATTCGTTTAACAAATAATTTAATTTTTAGCAGGTCCTCCAAGCCCCCCAGCAAGTGCTTGCCCAGGAGGCCCAGCTTTACCTATTGAGTGTGACCCAAAAAGGCCATGGCCCCAATGCCCTCCTCAAAGTTATTGTTATGCTACAAATTCTGTTGATATTGGACCTTATTATTGCTGTCCAGTTTGTTAGTTTTCTAATTAAAAATACAATCGAACCTTGCTATTATAAAATACGCCCTTTTACCCTATAACGAGCTGTGTCTTAAATAGAGGTCAATTAGTTTGGGTATATCTTATACTGAGCTTTGGTCGTATTTTCAAGTAAAACACAATCGGACCTCACTGTAAGATGCACCTTTGGGGCTGAAAAATAGTCGCTTATAATGAGTTTTAAATAGAGTTAAATAGAGGGGTTTCTACTATCGGGGGTATATTAAATAGAGTTTTTTTTTATTATTGGGTGTATATTATAATGGGGTATTAATAAAAAATTTTTAAAAAGGGTCAACGTATGGAGCAGCTTGGAGACCAGCCACCCCATTTTATAATTATGTTCCTCCTCCACCTCCAAATTGGGCTGAGCCAGCAATGCAAATGGCCGCATCTCCTCGCTATGGACCTTTCAGAAAAAATTTAAAAGTAAATTTAAGAATATAAATATTTATAAAAAATTATTTAAAGGAACAAAATGGCGAGGAAAATATAAAGGAAGAAGAACCAGAAGAAATTCAGAACACCCAAAAAAGTTTGAGAAGATTATAAAATAATCTTTTTTTGTTTTTTTTAAAACTGCTATTTTTCGTATGGGTGTTAAAAAAATGAATTCTTGTCGTCCAATTAAAGTAAAAATGCCAAGTAAGGCAGCGGTTAGGGAAATTTTAAGGGGCAAAAAATATATTATTAATAATAAAATCAATACAAACACACATTTCAATATACGGGTTAGGGAGTCTCTAACCGCTTCCGAGCTTAAATCTCGTTCAGACCTTGTTAAAAAATGCTTTAAAATGCGTAGTGAGCACCCCGGTGCTGACTATGTCATTTATGCCTCAAATATAATATTAAGAAGTGAGATTGACAATTTCAAAAAAACTCTTCCAAAAAACTAAGAAGTCATCTCACTTCTTCTATAAATAAATATACTCTAAAGCCGACTATTTCTCATGAAAAAAACTCTAATTTATTTTTAAACAAAAAAATAAAAGGATGTCTTATAAACATTCGATCTTTAAAAAATAAAATCGATGAAATTTCTTGTATTTTAAGCGCTTGTAATTTAGATATCTTGTTTGTAACAGAAACTTGGCTTACAACTGAAACGCAAGATGTTTTTAACCTAGATATACTTGAAAAATTTAATATAGTTTTATGTAATAGAAGTAATCGTAGGGGAGGTGGCTGCGCTGTTTTGATTAAAAAGCATATTAAGTTTTTCGTTAAACAATCCATCTCTAAGTTCAACTCAGAAATAATACATCTACAAATACAAAATTCAAAATGTATTAATTTTATTCTCATCTATAGACCTCCAAATACTAGTATCATTCAAACTAAAAAACTTCTTAAACTGATTGAATCTTTTGTTTCTTTTAACTGTATCATATTAGGAGACCTCAATTTTGGAACCAAGGATCTTAACTGGGTTAATAATATTCCATATTGTAAAAATAGCTTAGGTGATCTATTTCTCAGTTTTTTCAATTCTATGAATTTATCCTCTACTACACCAGGTCCCACTCGAAACGATGCTTATCTAGATGTTTGTTTAACAAATAAACCTGATCTATTTCAAAATATTTATGTTGATGGGTCCTTGTTTAATTCAGATCATGATGCTTTAATCTTTGATTTATCATTCCCTATAATCAAAAAAGAAGTCAAACCAATCAAATATAGAAAATATAATAAGGCTAATACATCTTTATTAAATAGATTTCTATCTTCTATTATACCGATTATATCCACTCAAAATTATTATTTGGAAGATAAATATAATCATTTCATAGACAACATCTTAGCATCTCTTAACTTATATGTACCTGAAAAACTTGTAACTAAAAAAGATCTTAGACATAATTACCCTGCTCACTTGAAAGCATCTATTAAAAAGAAAGCCGAAATTTATAGACAACTTAAAACTGATAAACTAA